ATACAGGTGGGAGGTGTGTTCCTGTTCTGCATTCTTGACACGCCTCTTGGATCATGGCTACATCCACCTTTTCCTTCCCTAATAGTTCAGCCACCTCTCCTTCTTTTGGCCATAAGCCGTTTGCAATGAGTTGTAAACATACCAATCCCATGTCTGGGTCTGTATCTTTTTTCTCTATGTCACACTCAACTTTCTCTTTTGGCCATGATGGTGTATGTAACCTTTCAATCTCTCTGTGCCTCTCTTTCTCCCAGTCTTCTTTGGTCTGTGCAGTTGTGATTGTTCTGTCTGATTTTGCACGCTTCTCCCTCCATTTCCTGTTCCTGTCCATTTATTCATTTTCTTTTCTTTCCCCTGTAGGGGCTGGAGATTAGTGTGTCCATTCTCGTGACGGTTTGTTCCATGTCTCTTTCGCTCTTCCCATACCCAGCTTTATGTCAGCACAAAAATGTTTTATATTTTTTTTATATACTCTTTCAGTGCTGTGTTACAGTATCTTGCAACTTTCTTTATGTCCCATATGGAGATAGTTTTAGTTGTCCTGTAAAAATCTGTTCTTTTTCATTTTCTAGTGTTTGGCAGATGCTCTATTGTTTTTTGTGCTATCTTACAGTGCCTACATATGTACGTGTCACAGCAGCCAATTGCCTTGAGATAGCTTTTAGTTGGACAGTGTGTGGTTCATAACTTCAATACTATCGATTGTTCCCTCCTCCAGAGGTTCCACCATGGGTCAGAGCTGCATGGGGATTCTACAATTTTCCAGGCTTTTGGTGTACTCGTTGTATTTTGTTTATTAACCTCATTATACTGCCAACTCAGGGTTTTGGTAGGTTATTTTTCAGATTTCTCAGCATTGGTAGTTGATCTGTGAATATGACCATGTGCTCTGGTTTAATGTTATTTTTGAATGCTGTGTGTAGCATTTGGAACATCATTAACTTACAGCCTTGTTCGGTTTACATTTAGAGGGTGGGATCATGTGAATTTGCACCATGTGGTCCTTGTCAGGCCTTTGTTTAGGTACATCCTTGATTTTTTTCCATCTCGGAGGAAGCTTTATTTGTTTTTTGAGCTCTTGGCATGAGCTGAAGGATTTTTTCTTTATTCTGGTTTTGGCCAGTTTTTGTGCAAGTATGCGCAGTGGGTCACCATTTTTCAGCCTTCTGTATCTCTCAATGATTATTTGTTTAGCTCTTTCCCTTCTCAGTTTTAGGGGTTCTTTTCCAGACAAGATTTCCCCTGCTGCTAGTAGGGAGCTCTTCATGGTGCCACATATTAGGCGGATTGCTTGACTCTGGACATGGTCTATCTTGTTTTGACTGGTTTTACTTGCCACGTTTTGGATGAGTAGACTGTAGCCTAATATAGATCTCACTGCATTCACATATAATGTTTTCATCTCTTTGGCAATAGCCCCCCATTTTGTCCCAGCAAGTTTTTTACTAAATTGAGTCTCTTTGATCAGCATTATTTGTAAGATCTTCTAAGAATTTGTGTAATTTCAGCTTCTCGTCTAGTACTATCCCTAGATATTTTGCTTTATCTGTTTTTGTCAGCTGTTTTTAGCCAAAAGATAAATGCAAAATGTGTTCCTTAAATTTTGCTCCTAGAGTGAAGGTAGAGTATCTGGGTTTTTTTAAATGTTTACTTCTATTTTCCATTTCTTAGTACGGTATAAACTTTCAGTCTATTTAGTATAATTTAGGTCTTCTTGTAGTTTTTCTTGTATTATCTGAGCATCTTTTCCTGTTTGCCATAGTACCACATCACTGGTATATAATGCCTTGTTTGATCTGATTTGGTCTGGCATGTCATTAATGTAGACCAGGAACAATGTACAACTGAGCGATGACCCTTGTGGGAGTCCTTCCTTTATTGGGATCTTTTTGGAGACTGCTGTACCAAATTTTGTTGATATAGTTCTATTCTTTAGAAAGTCCTTTATCCACCAATACATTCGGCCACCTACACCCAGACTTTTGCATTTTTACCAGAAGTCTTTTCCTCCATACTTTGTCATATGCCTGCCTTAAATCAAGGAAAATGGCCAGGGCACTTTCTTTGTTTTTAAATCCATCTAAGATGTCTTGTGGGAATTTTATGACTTGGTCAATGTTTTGCCTGTTTTTTCTGAACCCACTTTGGTTTGGGTGTATTAGATTATTGAGCTCCAAGTGCCAATACAGATGGCATTGATCATTCCCTCGGCAATCTTCCCTACACATGAGGCAATTGATATTGCTCTGTAACTGTCTACTGCAATTGGTTTCTTTCCCTCTTTTGGTTTGGGGATGATTATGGCATGTCTCCAGCATTTTGGGATAATACCATCTTCCCATGTTTTATTTATTATTTTTAAAAGGGCACCTTCTGTTTAAGGGCCTAAATTGTATAACATGTTGGTAGACACTCTATCTGTGCCTGAAGCATTGTTCTTTTTACACTTAACTGTTGCACTCTTTAGCTCGATTTTGGTGAGTGGTGAGGACATTATATCGTCTTTGTCAATTGTGATTTTTGTCTCTCCATTCTTTCTTTCTTTGTCTATGGCTTAACCTCTTTTGCCCAATCTTTTGGCTTCACACACAGACGCAAAATGCTTGTTTACGGCTTCTGCTCTGCCTAGATCATCCGTGGTATTCCTTTTCTCGTTTGTGTCTATGGGACTAGGGTTTTGTTTAGTGTTCTCTCAATTTAGTTGTTTTAGTATTTTACACACCTTTGTGGAATTCTTAGCCATCTCTAGGCATTTGCACATTTTCTTCCACTTTTCTCTCTTTAGTTTCTTTGAGAGCTTTCTGATTTGGTTTGTTACGGTGTTGCACAATGCACGTTCCTTTTTAGACTTTGGTGTGGATAGTTGTTCTGTTTTCCTTAGTTCCACCAGCTGTGCAAGTTTTCGAGGTAGGTACTTCCCTCTTTCCATTATTTGTGGTATAGCTGCCCTTGCAGCTTTTTGTACACATGAGACCCATGATTCATACCTTTCATCAAGTGTACTTGATTTTTTTGTTCTCTTTGCCTATTAGTGTGTCACATCTCTTAGCAAAAAAGGTCCAATTGGCTTTGCTGTACTGCCATTCGACGACTTTGCTTTCAGTAGGTGCTTTGCTTTTTATGCTATCACTTACTATTGTTACAAGAATTGGCATGTGGTCGCTGCCTATAGCCGCTAATACCTTCTACTCTAGTGCATTCAACAGGTCTGAGGAGACTAATGTCATACCTGGGCTTGACTCAACTCCGTTACCACTCTGTATGAAAGTGTTCTTTGATTCGCAATTTTGTAGTAGCACCATGTTTGTCGTTTCACATAGTTTTTCTTCTGCTCGCCCAGTTGCATTTTCTTTTTTATAGTATTTATAGCCCCATTTTTAGATTGGGCATTTCGGTCCCCAACAATGATAGTGTTCTTGAACCTTATGATCTTCATTGCTAGATCTATAGATAGTTAGCATGGTTGAGAGTATATGTTTATGATCTTATAGGCTTTGCCATTTTCCATACTTTTAGGGCAATCGAGTCTGTGGCTGGTTTTTTGTTCTCTGTTGGTAGTTTTTCCACTGTAAGATTCAATTTTACTAGTGTCACCAGTCCACTGCAGTCTTCACAGTCGCATCTGTAGAGACAGTAGAGACAGTATCCCTCGATACATACTTGTTTTTTCTTCAACCTTGCCTCTCGTATTAATGTGATGTCTACTTGGTTCTCGTATAGCAGCATTGCTACCTGCAACTCTTTCTGTCATAGTCCATTTATGTTTATTTGTAGGCAAATAAATTGGTCCCTTTCTGTTTTTATGCTCTCACTCACCAATATGTGGTAGTTCATTCCTCTTTCTTTCCACCTCTTGCTTTTCCTTCCTTCCTTCTTTTCTGGTGTTCCACCTTCCACACTCTTTTTCTTTTCCTCTTTTTCCCTCGTCGAGGGGACATAGACTGTTGATGGTCCATCCTAAGTACCATTCACGTTCAGCTGTAGACAATTGAACATGGCTGGGACCTGATTAGCAGTGGATGCAGTCATTGCAGTGTTGGCACTGGTTTTAGGAGTGGCCGGCTCCTGGGGTTTTCTTTCCTAGCAATACAATGCATGCTTCAGTATTTTGCACCGTCTGGAGTCTGAATTTGGTTGTGACTCTTGAGATAAGAGAGATTGCTACAGCATTGGCTATTCTTTTATTAAGTAGAGAACACAGCTGACCCGGGGTGTGTAGATGATAGAAACAAGCCCTGACCACAGAAATGATATGAGGAATCATTTTAAGTTTACTTTTAGTGTAGCAACCAAAATCTGTAACAGTGTTGGGCAAGAGGATCTCAGAAGCACCGACTTTTATTGATGCGATGGCATCCTTCCAAAGATTGGCATCAGAACCACATATAATTTTCTCTGTCATATCATTTAATTTAATTCTGTATGATGCCATCCATGATTTCACAAGACAGCAGTCTTCGACAGCCTGAACAGCAGCAACACAGTCCAAAGGATCAAGGTGGAAACTCTTGTATCGTACAGTTCTGAGTCATCCACAAATATTTTGCGGGATATACCATGACTTTCAATAATTCTGCCAAGGCCAAGCTGGCTAGTGACATGGAGAACACAATAGGTCCTAAAACTGAGCCCTGTGGCACGCCGCAGGTAACGAAAGTGTCCTTCGAAGATACATGATTCAGTACAATACGCTGAGTCCTGTCAGTGAGTAAGAAGTAAACCAGCAAAGTGCAGTTCAACAGTAAATTTCTACCACTTAAACATTTTAAGTCATGTAAAGTAGTAGTGCCTGCTAAGGTTGTTAATAATAAAATATCCTCAAATTTGTTTTTAATAATAAATGAGACACCATCACCAGTTGAGGGTCTTTCTCATCAAGCGAATTTAAGCCTGAGCATATTTCATACAGATATAATCTCAAACCATATCATTCAAATTTTACACATGAAACTGATCAGTCATGTATATTTATGACCTTGAAGTGAATTATAATTTCAATGTCAGTTTTCTGAAAGAACTTTATTGTTTTCATAGTTAACTTTAATTGTTAAAGAGCATGTGTCACAGCAGATGATATCAAAATGAAACTCTGATTCTGAATTTGATAATAAATAATAACTTCCACATCTGCATGTATATTTATACATATTTTCTGTTTCATCAAATTCAAAATCCTTGAAAAACACAGTGTCTTGTATTGGTAGATTTTGAACAAGTGTACGTTCATGCCATTTTGCATCATATTGAGCTCGAAGGTGAGGATTGCTTAAAATTTTCCAAGCTCTGTCAATTTTAATGAACATTTCTGTATTTACATTATCTCTTTGAAAGTCCAACCCAGAGTCAGAGGAACTGTGCTGGGGCAATTTGTCGGGGTGGTGCAAACGAACAAGAGACATATATGACTTTTTAAGACTTTCTACTGAGTCTCCAAAGCGACAGTGCAAAATTTCATAAAGATTATCCATATCGCACAATTTGAAAAAACAAATACTGTTATGTCTCTGTTATGGTGTAACGGTAATAAAAACGTATGCATGGGTCTACGAGTAAGCCGCCATATTAAAAGTACAAAGTAAAAAAAACAAAAAAAACATGATGTGGATACATATGTAGCGGTGATAAAACTAGCAGGCTAAACTTTGTTTAGTGTTAGTCAAGTAGCTAAATAATGACTCGAAGAGTATTATATAAATTGTATCTGTGTGGGGCACCCCTAACTTAAAACTTAATTTTTTTTTTTAATAATAAAATAAAACATACACAATAGCAGTAAAAATAACCCCATAGCAGTAAAAATAACCCCCATTTGATAATTACGTTTTCTGTATGATTAGTATGAAGTGGGCTGGTCCACTGTTCCAGTATTAAACAGAAACTCGTCCCTCTCCCCCACAGACAGCGACGAGGCCATGACAGGCAATTCAGGCTCATACCAGCAAGAAGCCAGTATAGGAGCTGCTCATTCCTGCCCAAGACAATCAGGGACTGGAACAATCTTTCAAAAGGAACGGTTGAGGCGACAACACTAGACACATTTGTGTCTGTTGCCTCAAGCCTTCAAACCCCTGGTGCATGATTTCCTCATCAACACCAGTAACAGAAACATTGCAAATCCCATCTACATGCATAGGAGCCAAAATGATCAATAAATTGATCGTGGGCCCTTAAGATATAGAAGAAGAAGAAGTCTGTGTAGAAATTATTATTAATATTAAATTAGACGGTTATTTAATTTTCTTCAACATTTAATTGGAATTCTTCGCTTCATAGCATAGAGTGCCTTACTACCCTTCTAAAATATTTTACTTAATTTAGATACATTTTAAGCAAATCATGTATACTCTTCTTTAAAAGAAAGTCTTTTTTTAATAATTAAAATTTAATTGTGTCATTTGATTTTCCAAGATCAAAGTTCATGTGTCATTCATTTTATATAACTTGTTTCCTGTAGAACTGATATTTTATACCAAACCTTGGTAAAAGTACAAAGACAAATATTTAATTCATAAATAAAATTGAATTGTACTGACCTAGATATCACTTGAATTTTTTAAAAAAAAAATTAATTTAAAATAAGAAACACGGCGTATGGGATAAACTAAAAGAAGGCGCACACAAAAAATGTGGCCAAACAGCCTTCTTCGACAAACACTAAGATGTTGCGTCTTACAATTTGATTTTGATTTTAACACCTAACTCCTTCAGACTGATGGCCAGTAATAACTCCTTATATTGTTAAATAAGTGTTAAAAATATGTTCTTTATAATAAGAATTTCAGCATGTCTAGGTCATTTACTGATTTTTACAACAATTGCGCATATCTGTTTTAACAGATGTAGTATTTAAACTTTTGTTGCAAGACTTTGTACCGGTAACTTGTACTACTGCTGGATTTGAATAAGAGAGAGATTGCACTCGGTTTTAGCAATGTGAAATAAGAAACACTTGGTAGGGGGGGAACCTGAAAATGATCAGAGTTTTTTGGATTTGTTAAACCGCATTATTAAACCTAGCTTAGCGTCTACGTCTACAGTCGTGATAACCATAGTTCCTACTGTAACGCAAAGATAATCCCTTTGCCGACAGCAGAAATGTTTTTAAATTATCTTACCATAAGACATCGGAAAATACAAATATAGGCCTACCCTAGACAAAATTAGGTGTGAAATTTTTGGCAACGTTATTATTTTGTTCAGACTTAAAATTCAAAGCTTTAAAATTTTTAAAGTAGATTTCTAAATATCGCTTCGAGAGATGCGGTTATCTTTGTAATATATATAACAATGGGGCTTAACCGGGTGAAGTTGTTTATTTTTTTTTTTGCACCGGGTCCGGATATTTTGAGAAATATTGTTTGCAGTGGCATAGGAGGTGCGAAGGGAGCGGTCCGCCCCTGGCGGCACTTTTTCTTAAAATGAAGGGCGAATATATTTTCGAAAAAACGCAGATTTTTTCTTGTGGAAAAAGGGGGGGGGGGGCAAAATTCTCGGCTTATCCCGGGTGGCATTAACCGTAGAATCGCCACCGCCTGTATAGAGATATAGATATATATTGTTAATCTACTTTTAAAACGATTTTTACCAGTCACACCCCCCCCCACACACACATTATTTGTCACAGGTTTCACCCCAGTAAATGCATGGTCACTAGTCACTAGTTCCTGTGCTTGGACCTCAGCATCCCCCACCCCACCCACCCACCCCCCACACACACACACTGCACACACACACCATTTTCCCCTGATCCGAAAGCATAGCGTCATTTATTCCTATTACTGCTTTTTAAAACTATTGTCTATATCCATTTTAACAGATTATAATAAACTACAACTTGTTATATTTGGCCGCTGGTAAAAAAAAAAATATTTTAAAATCTGCACATTATGTAAGTCATGGACTATTTAGGCCCTACATTACAGGTCGCAAATTTTAGTTTGGAATCCGTCACGAAATATTTGCAAGCAAATGTTTCCAGCTTGTAGCAAGGGGTTCCTTACGAATTAAAAAAAAAATGTAATTAAGATTTTAAAATATATAACGTTTTATGCATCAGAAGGTTGATTTTGAGAGTTATTAGAATTAGCGCAGCTCATCTTATTTTTAATTTACGACATTCAATTAAAATTTTAAAAAATGGGGACTCCAGACGGTGCAAATCGTGAAATATTTTTTTAAATTCAGATTAAAATAATTATTAATTTATCTTTTTTCCACTTTCATAAGAAATGATGATAATAATAATTTTAATTACTTTAAAATGTTCTGTCGTAAATTTATCAAATATTGTACTTGCCCAAAACAAACCTTGTTCAACCTCTGTCGATTTCCGGAGTTGATATAAGACCTTCATTGAAATTTTAGCCACATTTAATTTAAGGCATACACGAATTACAAGATTGGGCTAAGATGATGGCAATATTCACAGACCTTAGACCACTCATTGCACCACACTATATTACAAATATTATTTTAGCCACTTTATATTTCATTTTAAAAAATACACCGAATGTCTGTAGCTTGCTTTTCAGTTCCTGCACTCTGGATATGGTGAGTAAATTTTTAAAAAATCATTTTTATTTTAGTTTTTAGCGTACTAAGCTCAATGCAATGTAAAATAATGGAAGAGCAGTTTTAATTGATATTTTTCTAGTTAACTTTTCAAAATAATTAAGTAACTTAAACTTATTTCATTATTAAAATGATTTGGTAATCTACCACTTAACTTACTTAAGTAGGCACTTGGCGGCGGCAGTTATGAAAAATCCGTTTATTTTTATTGATTCAAATATGATGCTGGTCTGTGTCAACACACGAAATGGTGAAAACATGTGGATGCACGCAAACTGGAAAGACAGCTTTTAGCACAAGCCGCGATTCTTTCCTTTCCTATTTGCATGATCATGATTTCATGATCCGCAACCAGTCCATTTGCATGAAGACATGAAGATGATAATGATATTTTTATAAACTCCATTATTACCTTGGGGGAGAACAATGCATAATCTCAAACTCTTTCGTCTTTTCAAACATTAAATTATGGCCGGCACTACGTACACCGCGGCGGTGTACCTAGTGAAACTAATGACTTTTGCCTGCGTACACCGCGGCGGTGTACCTAGCTAAATCATGGTCTGTGGCCTGCGTACACCGCAGCGATTTAAAGTAGCAAAACTATGGTCTTTGCGAGTCTTTAACTTTTTGGCCTAACCGGTACTTGTAGATTTAATGTTATACTCGTGTTAAAACTGAAAACTATTTAAAATTCGTTTATTACCTTGGGAAGATATTGAGTAAGTTCCACGCTTATGTGGCAAAGTGCATGTAAAGCATTTCTTATTATTTTTGGAAGGGAGGGGGCTGAGGGTGTAATGTTAAACCATGTTTTATTTTTAAATTTAACCACTTTATTCCCCCCTCCCCCAATATATTGAAATACAAATATATTTATTAATTGTAAGTTTTATCATATGATTGTGAATCTTAATTTGAAATTATTCTCTCATGCCCCCCCCCCCCAACCCAGTTGTTTTTTTTTGGGGGGGGGCATTATAAATATAACATTAAATGTGATCCCTCGGGGCGTGGTGTAAAAATGAATGGGAAGACTGTGAATCTATTTTGTTAAATTTAACCACTTTATTCCCCCCTCCCCCAATATATTGAAATACAAAAATATTTATTAATTGTAAGTTTTATCATATGATTGTGAATCTTAATTTGAAATTATTCTCTCATGCCCCCCCCCCCAACCCAGTTGTTTTTTTTTGGGGGGGGGCATTATAAATATAACATTGAATGTGATCCCTCGGGGCGTGGTGTAAAAATGAATGGGAAGACTGTGAATCTATTTTGTTAGCACCAAGATATAATTACGCCACAAATAGGTCTACACCACGGGAAGAGAATCACATGCTCATACATTGATCATGAAGTCGTGAAGTTGTCCGAGGCATTGTCATTGTGATACCTAGCATGTGTCAACACAAAACAACAGTATGATGATTAATACGAAACACTGCAGTGATTTTTAAAAGTCTTTTAACAATAATTAAATATCATTGATTTAGTTTTACATTGGCATTACACATTAGTAAAAAATGCTGGCAGAGGGAGGGGGGATGCAAAAGGTAAGTTGGATGTGCGGACGTCCTTTGGGGACAACCCCTATCCTGAGCCGTGATTTGTGAATGCCCCCTTTTTGGTTAAGTCTCTGCCCACAACTTATCACCACCCCCCCTCCCCCAGCAAGGATCGATTTCCTAACAAAAAAACAACAACAAAAACAAATACAAAAACTTTGACATAGCCCAAATCCTGTCCCAAGCCCATTGTGCAATGGTTTCTGTGAGAAAACGTTGTGTTTTACCCTGAGAATAGCACATGCCATGCCATTCTGGAAACAAAGTCCGTCATGAAAAGGGTAAATACAGACCTATGGCTTTGCTTTACAGTTTGCTAGCGCTCCACAAGTTTCTAAATTCGAGGTGTTTTCAAAAGATTTGCTGTGAGACTGAGTGTTGTGAATGAACCTCTGATATCGTGTGTACATTTTGCCAATGCATAAGGCATAGTGAAAGCAAGATGGTTCAAGGTTGAAATACGACCATGTACATTAATATTCATATGGTATGAATATTATTCATACTGGTATTTTCTTTGGGTGTTCGTAAAAGTAAAATGTAAATATTCAACTACACGAAGAATGTTAAAATACAATAGAATAACAGTTACTTAGTATTCATAATGTTTCTCTTATACATGTTACATTGACATACACTATACATGATCAGCATGTATTACATGCGCTTTCAGAAACTTTAAGTTTGTTTTCAAATGTCTAAAGTCTTATTAATAAATTTACCGGTATTTTCAAAGTCAAAGGCCGGCACAACTTGTTGAAACACTTATATATATATATATATAATTATATAAAGTGTAATATAAATAAATATATAAAGTGTATTTAATATAATATTTAAACATATATTTAAATTGTTTAAATTGCTACAAAATATTTTAAACTAAAATGGGAGGAAAAAAAACTTGATCCCCTACTGAGATTTGATCTCAAACCATATTATCGCCAAGCGTCCACTCTGCTACTTGACCACACAAGATTTTCTCTAACAAGCATATCTTAAAACCAGGCCAATGGTACATTTTTGCCGCGGTGTACCCAGGCCAAAGCCCACGCTTTCACTAGGTACACCGCAGCGGTGTACGCATCCACTTCGTTAAATTATTTAAATTTTCATTTTTCAAAATTGTTTAAATTGTTTTATTGTTTATTTTTAAATTTTGTCTTGGATCATTTAAATATGTGCTGAAATGAATGTATACAATTTCATAAAAAACATTTACATCTATTTGGATTAATAAAATAATTTTATCTTAACAATAAAACAATAAAAGTTTAAATTGCACTTTAAACCGGAACAAAAGGGTTTTTTTCATAACCGACCCTTCATCATCAGTCAGATTCAGTGGGCATTTGGGCATGGGCCCTTCATCATCAGTCACATTCATTGGGCATTAGGGAACATGCTCTTCATCAGTCAGATTCAAAGGGCATGGGCCCTTCATCGTTATTCAGATTCAGTGGGCATTTGGACATGGAACCTGCATCATCAGTCAGATTCAGTGAGCATTTGGGTATGGGCCCTTTGGAAAGTGGCAATTATGCACTCTCTACAGCTGTTCTTTGTTAATATATGAGGTGTTAATGTCATCTGGTGTTTTTGGTAGGTATTTAAGAAATTGTCTTGAAGTGCTGAGCAGTGGAAGAAGTGATGTGTTACTGTCTCATCTGGATGTCTGCAGAGGGGGCACATTGGTGTTTCATGCGGTTACGGTTGGAGTTATGTTGTATGTGTCCTGTGCACAGGCAAAAGATTATGACCTCTTCTTGTCTTTGGAGGCAATACATTTATTGGATCTTTATTGTCAGGACGGGGCATGTGTGTGAAAACACATATTCCTGTTTAGCCCATAGCCAATCCGTAGACCCTTACATTGCTTTAAACCTTGTTTTTAAAATTAGTAGACCCTTTGGTTGTATTAGTAATTAAACAAAATTAAATTTCACATTTGAAAGTATGCTGTAATAGGGTTAGGCTTTTTATGGCCAATGAATAAATGAAGATTTATTTCAAAGTATGCTGTAATAGGGTTAGGCTTTTTATGGCCAATGAGTTAATGAAGACTTTACTTCAAAGATTGCTGTAATAGGGTTAGGCTTTTTATGGCCAATGAGTCTATGAAGACTTTAAGATTAAGGTGGGTAGCAATATAGGCCAACTGCATAAGGATTAACTGCTTTAATTATATATTTATGATCAGACTTAAAACCACACTGCAGACCTGCAATCTTTTTCAATCATAACAAAACGTGAATGTCATGCACTTAAAAAAATGTAGGTCAAATTAACTTTGCAGTAATGAGACTACAACTACACTTGCTTATCAAGCCTGAGTCTGTATTTTTTAAACTATTAAATGGTATACCATATTTACTAGTGTATAGGTCACACCATTAGTGTGTCTTATATTTGCTGTTGACTTGCAGAGAATTCACACTATAATTTGGGGAGTAACATAAATAATACCAGACCTGTTTACCCTCAAACTCTTAAAATCGTACAATACCATCACAAAATCATTCAATACATTATCTTAATAGTAAAAACATAAAAATGCAGTAAATATAAGTATACACCTCTAAATCGTACATTGTACGCCAAAATTGTAAGAGCAAACAGGTCTGTAATTCTAACATTTTTGCAGACTTGGCTTAATTAAATGGTTTGGCATTTTTTTGTATGGATTCCAGGGCTGCTCTGTTTTGGATGAAAAATTGGTTAATCGATACAATCCTAAAATCACTTGAAATTTAAAGTCTTTTCTTGTGAATCAGATAATAAATAATTAACATCGGCATTGCATAATGAGCAGTTTCATTGGACGCTTTATGGATTATGGTTGGAAAAGGTTATAGTGTAAAGTCAAATTGCTTTGGAAGATTCATTTTCTCCCTTGGCCTCCCCTATGGTCAAACCTACCGTACACACCTTGTCTACCAATACACTACTATCTATTTCAGATCCCTGTGATGTCACATGGAAGGTCTCACCCATGATTTTTTTATAAACTTTCTGTTAAAAAATGTGTATTTGCGGAAATGTATTAGGTCTAAAGTAATTTAAATTTATGTCAATTTTCTTTAACAATATGAATTCAAATGTATAAATATCTCCACAGAGAGAGTGGGAGTGGCTTACTTTTCTGGCCTGTGTCATTGTTCTCAAAAACAGAAAGCAAGGTAATTAATTATTTATTAGGCCAAAACATAGGCTTGCAATCAAGTATATGTAGGCTTGCAATCAAGTATGTGTAGGCTTGCAATCAAGTATGTGTAGGTTTGCAATCAAGTATGTGTCGGCTTGCAATCAAGTATGTGTAGGCTTGAAATCAAGTAGGTGTATGCTTGCAATCAAATATTTGTAGGCTTGCAATCAAGTATGTGTAGGCTTGCAATCAAGTATGTGTAGGCTTGCAATCAAGTATGTGTAGGCTTGCAATCAAGTATGTGTAGGTTTGCAATCAAGTATGTGTCGGCTTGCAATCAAGTATGTGTAGGCTTGAAATCAAGTAGGTGTATGCTTGCAATCAAATATTTGTAGGCTTGCAATCAAGTATGTGTAGGCTTGCAATCAAGTATGTGTAGGCTTGCAATCAAGGATGTGTAGGCTTGCAGTCAAGTATGTTTAGGCTTGCAGTCAAGTATGTTTAGGCTTATAGTCAAGTATGTGTAGGCTTGCAATCAAGTATGTGTAGGCTTGCAAAGTATGTGAATGGTGTCGTGTTTGAAAGTTTATTGAATATCAATATTTATAGTTTAAACTTATGTCTCCATACTTAGTACTGTCCCAACTATATGTTGTACAAAGTACCTGCATAGACCAATCATAATTGAATCATAAAATAAGTTATTTAAATTTTATTTTTATGATTAATTTGACTTAATTAAATTAAAGGTTAATTGATTACATGCTGTTGACACATTTTTTAAATTGATTATCTTAATGACAGAAAACATAAAGATTTCATTTTAAACCATTATTGTCACAGATAATTGCTGTAGCATAATTTTTTGGATCTATTTCTGTTTGCTTCATTGATGTACTAAAGAAAGTTTGTTTGGAAAATGCTTCACCCCCCCCCCCCTTAAATATGCATAAATAAAAAAATTACATATCTTTGCTAACTCAATGGGGGGATTTGATCTATGTTTGACAGATAACATGGCCTCTAATTTTCATGTTCTTTTTTTTTTTTTTAAATATTAGTTTTTGTAAGGTATTTCAATAAAAAATCATAGTTACATCCTAAGAAAAGGTTTGGCTCCAAAAGTATTCTCTTGTTTTGTCTTCACCTAATTAATAATATTTTTTTTTCAACTTTTAAACTTAAATTGTATTTTGTTTGCCCTCAAGGAATTTTTTTTTTTTTTAATTTTAAGAGTTGTTTCCTTTAACAATAATGACACAAGCTCTAAGTCTTAAAGAATTTTGTTTTTTGTTTCCAGCCAGTATTGTGGAATATATGTCGAACGCATGTTTATTTGCCAAAGCCCTGAGTGTCATCTGCTTTTTCAACTACAGTCCAGCTTATGGAATCCTCTATGTGCTGTTGTGCCTGGGTAAGAAGAACAAATTAAGGCTACATTGCTAGAGAAAAAAATCAGGAATCATTAAACACTGAACTGTACAGCATCAGTAAACTCAGGATAGCCACAGCCTCTTACATTTGAACAAGTTAATGTATGGAAAATTTAAAATTTTCTTGAGCTCATATGTTTTTTACCCTAGCTATTTTTTTAAATTTCATCAATAGCTCATGTGATGTTTTTACCCAAGCCTGTTTATCAAGGGCCTGAAAGCATTGTGTACTTCAGAGGACCAAATTTGTGTGTAAGTTCCAAAAGTGTGGTAGGGAATTTGTTTAAAATAAGTTTAAATGACAGATTGTTAGTTTTCAGAAGTATTTTTTTTTACTTTTAATTAAAATTGAAATGAAAAATATTCAAACATACATCCATTTGTGAAAAATGAAATCCTTTATTTTAAGTAACTTTAAATCATCAACACTCCATGCTTTTTTTTTTTTACATTACAGGATGAGATAGCCAGAGACAAGCGAGTCACTTGGCTGATAACCTTCTATGTTGCTTGGTCACCAAAGTGTGTCAATTTGGCACCTGTTTTTTCTGAAATTTCCAATGAGTAAGTTGCACTGAAGTCATAATCATTTCCAAAGAGTAAGTTGTACTGAAGTCACAATCTTTTCCAATGAGCAATTTATACATAATTTAAATTATATTTAATCATTCAAAGACTATGTACAAAAATAAATAGCTCTTATTTTTAACTTCCTTTTTTCAGGTACAATTTAGAAAACCTGAAATTTGGAAAGATTGATATCTCTAGGTATCCTAACATTGCTGAAAAGTAAGTATCTGAAATTCTGAAAGATTGATATTTCTAGGTGGGATGAAATCTCGCTGGTCCTTCAAATTTCTTCGGAATATATAAACACCATCTTTTGAAAAGGCCCCACCCTTAAAAATGTTTAGGATGAATTATTCCCCTTTGTTGTTCCCATGAACCGCTCACTAGAACGAAAAGCGAAAAGCCATGTATTGAACTACAGAGTGAAAACTACACCCCACCCTACCCCCTTTTTTTTCCATACCATGAGTGAAATGTTAACCAGTGGAAATCTTACCACACTTCTAAATATTAACCTCATTGGTCTCTCTCAGATTTGGATTTACCCAATGACTGTAAATCCACATTAAATACCGGTACCCAGGTAAAGTTTAGAATCATTCTTTCAAGATCTTCTAACAAAGTTATCACACTCATTACTTCGAGAGTGTGAAGCCTTTTAACCTACCTGGTTACTATTTTGCCATATTGCCACGGCGCAAGAAATCACTTCACCTTTGCAGCTGTATTGAGGAATATTTGAGCTCCGCCCAGTACCCCTCTGGAAGAACAAGCTGTTAGCCTGCATGATAGGACCACATGCTGATAGGACTTAAAACCCACGACAGACACATTGCTGGGAAGTACGTACTAGGGAAAAAGCTATTCCGCAACTTACTGCTGGAATTCCCCTTTTCGTTATCGCCCTGAGAAGCCACGAAGGAGAGTTCTGAAGAAACCACTTCCAATGTTGAAGTGACCTCCCAAATTGATTGATCAAGCCATGTCATCAAAACTAATTTATGTGATTAAGCTAAATCTAAACGGTCTGATCATGAAGAATTCTGTTACAAATCAATCCAATATTATGTTGAGAAAGCTAAGTAAACAGTCTGATCATATAGAATTCTGTTACAAAGCAATCCACTATTATGTTTATAAAGTGAAGTCTAAATGGTCTGATCATATAGAATTCTGTTAAAAAGCAATCCACTATTATCACAGAAGGCCAAATGCTGTAGTCTAGACATAAATGATTTGTAAATAATTTTTTTCACATTCTTAACCATTTTAACTTATATGTAAATAAATAAATTCTTTCAATTTGTGAAATTTTGTTATGGATTCTTAGATATTAAGATAGAAATGAATATTTTGATAATTATGTCCCTTAGTGACCTACCCTTAAAAGTCATTTCACCACACTAGGTATCCTAAAATTGCTGCTAACACACATTCATCTTGATACATTTATTTCATAGGCTTATATTCCTACATGTATTTCATACCTTTAAGTTAGGCTCATATACCTACATGTATTTCATTCCTTTAAGTTGGGCTCATATACCTACATGTATTTCATACCTTTAAGTTAGGCTCATATACCTCCATGTATTTCATACCTTTAAGTTGGGCTCATATTCCTACATGTATTTCATTCCTTTAACTTTAAGTTGGGCTCATATACCTACATGTATTTCATACCTTTAAGTTAGGCTCATATACCTACATGTATTTCATACCTTTAAGTTAGGCTCATATTCCTACATGTATTTCATACCTTTAAGTTAGGCTCATATTCCTACATGTATTTCATTCCTTTAAGTTGGGCTCATATACCTACATGTATTTCATACCTTTAAGTTAGGCTCATATACCTACATGTATTTCATACCTTTAAGTTAGGCTCATATACCTACATGTATTTCATACCTTTAAGTTAGGCTCATATTCCTACATGTATTTCATACATTACATGTATTTCATACCTTTAAGTTAGGCTCATATTCCTACATGTATTTCATACCTTTAAGTTAGGCTCATATACCTACATGTATTTCATACCTTTAAGTTGGGCTCATATACCTCCATGTATTTCATACCTTTAAGTTAGGCTCATATACCTACATGTATTTCATACCTTTAAGTTAGGCTCATATACCTACATGTATTTCATACCTTTAAGTTAGGCTCATATTTCATACCTTTAAGTTAGGCTCATATACCTACATGTATTTCATACCTTTAAGTTGGGCTCATATACCTACATGTATTTCATACCTTTAAGTTGGGCTCATATACCTCCATGTAAAGTTGGGCTCATATACCTCCAGGTATCTATAATAAATTTAATAATCCTCCATCTTTCCAATTTCCTCAGATATGAAATCAACACAGGTGCATTGTCACGCCAGTTGCCTACCATTATATTATTCCAGGAGGGCAAGGAGACGGAAAGACGGCCCATTCCAACAAAGCATGTGACCTTAAAGTTTGACTTTACCAAGGTAAAGTTTTTACTGCATACAATTAGAAGCTAAAAACAGAGATCAAAATTTGGTAATGGACTTTTTGAGCACATTTTAAAATGTTTTCATCAGGTATTTTAGTTTCCACTTCATTGTTCTGTCCTTGACATTCCTACAATCAACTTTTTATTTCACTGACCTCTATAAGTTATAAGTGTATTTTTCTCATCTGCAGCCAAATATTATCAAAGAATTTAAACTGAATGAAATCTATGCCCAGTGTAAAAAAAGCCTAGCCTCTCGTAAAAAGCCCAACACTACGGGCGATGGAAGTGAAACAAAGAAAGACAAGTAGAGAAGTAGTTGTGTATTGAGAAGAATTTTGTTATGAAGCAGTGCTGCAACAAGAACAATATAATCTATTGACCTGCAGTAGGGGAGAAGTTTGTAAGGAAGGATCTGCTGATGTAGAAATGGCTCTTGTGTTTCCAAATCTCAAGGAATGAACAGATCTATTTTAAAACAAGTTTTGGGAGGAGTCAAAGGTCCGACCTAATTGTTGTACATAAAATATTGTTTTTAAGATCTGATCTCACCAAACTCTTAAAAATGCAGCCATTTTTAAAATTGCACAAGTGGATGGTGTGTATTTTAATGTTTAAATTTTTCACTTGTTTTAAGCAGAACATTGTAGGACATTTCTCACAAAATATTTGAGAGGTTATAAAAAACAAATATTTGAGATACATTTGAGAAAATCAGAAGTTTTATGTTACACTATTACACAGACTTAGTCAAAGTTTACTAATCCCAGGTCACATTTTGTCATTTAGTAGCCACTGCCAAACGTACAATTTAAATGGTTTCTTTGCTTCATTCGAAAAGTGGCTGACAAATGATGTTCATATTTTATCATTTCAATGCTTCATTCGAAAAGTGGCTGACAAATGGTGTTCATATTTTATCATTTCAATGGTTCATTCGAAAAGTGGCTGACAAATGTTCATATTTTATCATTTCAATGTCCCTTGTACACACAGATGTCCACTGACAGACAAAAGGAATGATCATTTCAATGTACATTGTACACACAGATGACCACTGACATACAAATGGAATGATCCTTTCAATGTCCATTGTACACACAGATGACCACTGACAGACAAATGGAATGATCATTTCAATGTACATTGCCTACTCAATAACCGCTTGCCACCTTGCATTTATGTTCTATCAAATGATTCATTTATGACCAATATGCATTGAATTGGAGATTTCTGTTGTTTTAAATGTTGAAGCTATTTGGTGACATTGAGCAAAAATCATTACTAGCTTTCTACAACTATATTTTAACTCACAAGATGAAATTACTGTGTTGGGCTGACCTGTAGGGCTGCAGTTGTCTACTGAAATTATAGATAGATATACTTGGGGTAGAGGAAAACCTGAAGGACAACATCTTTTGATTCTTTAACATCAGAGGTATATTTACCAATTTACTTTTATAAAATTGTAGGAAAATGAATTTCTTTTCCAAACATTTCAGTTATTTAAAGCAAGTCGCTAAGATCATACATGGTATTTTCAATACTTTTTTTTCATTCTTCAGGCTTTCCTCTACCCTGAGTATATTTGTAATTGCTTGAACCTGAATGCAGTCCTCCCAGTATATCTCTTATGAAAGTGCCAACCCAGTTTTACACCCTCCTACTTTCCTACATCTGTCTGCCTGATGTATCACATATCAGGTCACCCAACAACATACATTTTATAAAATGACTGCTCAAGTTTAGTATTATTGTTTAGAGAGTAAGGTTATTGTTTTGTGAAGAATACCGGATGTTTCTATTCCTCAGTTGCAAGTGTTGTAAGTTTAGCATGGCTTTCCACACCGTTGTTTCTATTCCTCAGTTGCAAGTGTTGTAAGTTTAGCATGGCTTTCCACACCGTTCACAATACTTTGGTCAGAGTTTATAGAACAGGAACACATAGAAGGCATTGAAAGTTCATGGAGGAATGACTCTTTGTAAAATAGCACTAGTGCGATGGTGGTGTTTTAATGCTGGCAACAGTGATTATGGTGATGTTATGTGAACAATATTTCATGATGTATCAATGTTTCACATGACAGGCACATGCATAATATACATACTTATATGTGTGTGTTCTTTAGAATCAAGTGTTTTAAGTAACCATTGGTAATGGCATTGGCAGTTTTGTTAATCAAGTGAATCACCATAATCACTTGTCCATGTTATTGCCACGTCCCCAATTTGTTGAAATGAAGAATGAATTTCAACAAAATGTTGCCTGAATTATTAATTTTTATTATGCACTCAAGTACCCGGTATAAAAAAATAGTAATTATAATAAAAAAGACATTCCTATGATAATTGGTCAAAAAATAATTGTCAGTACGGCAAATGCCCAGAATGTATGCATTATATATATATTGGGTGAATAACTGAATTTGTGCAAACCTATTTAATTTGTACTTATATACTTCAAAGGTGTTAGTGATATTTATATTCAGATTAAAAAAACCGTCATAATTGTCCTTTTGGCTTTTTATAATTGTTTGTATTATTTTAACTGAAAATTTTATTAATCATATCAAATAATAATAATATATACTATTGGTATTTTATAGATATAAAACACATTATTTTTTTTTCTAACAGCAAAAATGTATTTTAACAGGGCCTTAAGGTTATGCATGATATTTTCTCTGGCAGATCAACCAGGAATTAGAAAGCTGTTAATTACATTGTCAGCACCGGCTCTTTGCTTTACTGATGGGACATCAGCGATTAGCTTAATTTTCTGGTAATTTATAATACATTAAGTGAGGGAATAGACAGATCAGGGCAGCACTTGAAGACTTCAATTCAATCCTCTCTCCTTGAAAGTGTTAGTGGCAATGACAATACGTTGGATCTCACTGGTGCCCTCATAGATTTCAGTAATCCGTGCATCCCTGTAATGGCGCTCTGCAGGCATATCCGAAACATAGCCCATGCCCCCAAGTATTTGTATGGCCTGAAAAAAGAACAGGAACATTAAATATCAGGAGCTGAGACTAGTGAAAGCACTCGTTAAATAGAAGATTCATGTCAATGATTGTCAAGGACAATTCCTCATTCAAATATATTTACCAATGCTAGTGAAAATAAAGACACTTGTTATTAAATTAACACTCTGATACAGATTAAATATTTGCATATTGTTGATTATCAATAGAGTATTGATCTAATGTGCTGAATCCAAAGACGTGTCAGAGTATTGATCTAATGTGTTGAATTCAAAGACATTAACACTCTAGCCTTACACTGTGAGCATTAAATGTTGCCGTTTCTGAAGCTGCCAGTTTGGCCATTGCTGCCTCCTAAAATAAGATAGAGCAACAAAAATCAATTCTGTATTTCAAAACAAGGAAACAGAAGTATGTCTTACTTTATAACAACAGTTGGTTTGATGTAATGCACTGTAACATTCATAAATGACAACACTGTCATGGTAAACTTTGGTAAATAACTCACTCTGGTGTAAAATACCCGGTACACCATTTATTTATACTCAGACTGTGAAATTTGTTAAATTGATTGAAAAGGAGCAGACATTTTATCAATTAATTAAAGTTTATTTTCCAAAGACAAGTTTGGTAAGGCTGTGACTGTGAGAATGGTCCTAGTTTTAAAGTGGCATTCATTAAGCAATAAGACAAATATTGCTGATGACTTGATTACCTTTGTAAAGTTTCTCCCTGCATCTTTTAACATGGCAGCCTTCCATGTAAGGAGACGTGCACTCTCTAAACGAACTTCCATGTCTGCAATTTTCATCTGTGGTTTAAATTGGGAATAATCATTAATTCTTTCATAGTCTAGTCAGTTACTTTTAAAGTACGTTTGTTTTATACTTTAATTTTCCAACCATCACACATTTTAAATATTTTTAGGATTTGAAGTGCTTGACTTTTTAACTTTCATTACAACAAATCCTTTGAACACAACTGTCATTATTAATATAACGGTTCAATATATAATGCACTGTTAATGATAACAGATAAATGTTATATATCCTTGGTAATTAAATGGAGTTTATTAATTTAATTTTTTTTTTTTTTTAAATTCTGTTGTGTTGAGTTGCATTTACAATATAACGTTAATAATAACAGATTTAATGCTACTCAGACAACATGTACAAAACAAAGTTAAGCAATAAAAAATCAAACTTTTACTATTAATTTATGTACCAAGCATATGTGTGTTGATACAAGTAACATATGTACCCAAGGGAAAACATTAGAATCACAACATAATGATATTATAGTATTTAGATCACACTTTTGATTAAATGATAGGTCCTGAAAGTAATTACCTTATTTACCGGTATTATTATAATGCTGGCTAATCAAATATTTTTTCAAATATACAATCTCGGTATCTTTTTAAAATTAAATTTTAATGACAATGGTGGTATTCTGTTAGGAGATTCACCTGCTTTACATTTGAGATGGGTTTGATTTTTATTACTTGATTCTAAAAATAGAGCATTTTAAAAATGGCTGCACCTATCGGGCTTAGCCCTGGGAGCCACTTTGCCTTTGCTTGGCCCTGCTCTCAAGATTAAATTGTTACATTCCAATAGACTGCAAAAATATTTGGGTTACCGGTGCTGGCTAATAAATAAGTCGCTAGTGAATTTACCTGAATGGTTTGCAGTTTGCCAATGGGCATTCCAAAAGAGTGGCGCTTCATGGCATAGTCAACAGCACAATCAAGGGAAGCCTGATTGATCAACAAATTTTTTAAAAATATTTCTTTAATCCGATTTATTTAAATACAAAGTCATTTTAATAAATAATTAGACCGATCAAAGTAATTTTAACTTCAAACCTGCAAGGTTATTGTTAGCTTCCCATAAGCTCACCAAAAAAAATGAAATTTTTTACCTGTGCTATACCCAGTCCTTGTGCAGCAATTCCAATTCTTCCAGCATCTAAAGTTTGCTTCAGAAGGAAGGAAATAGTTTTTATTTTACACTTCAAAATAACTCTGTGATAATTGGTCAACTGATTACAATTTTTAAAATATATTTCTACTCATTCTAGTTAATCTTTTTCTTTAAATTGACAAAATCTAATTTTGGTTTAATAACTAAGTTGTATTATTATTGGAATCTATTATTTTAAATGAAAGTCTTTAAGAACTGTTAGTTACCATGGCAATTTTAAAGCCCATGCCAGGCTTGCCCAAGATATTTTCCTCAGGGATGCTGCAGTCTTCAAAAATAAGATTACATGTTGATGATGCTTTAATGCCTAGCTTGTCCTCTTTCTTACCCAGAGACAGTCCAGCACTTGGTTTAGGAACAAGGAAAGCACTGATGCCCTGTAAATGATAGCACTTGGTTTAGGAACAAGGAAAGCACTAATGCCCTGTAAATGATAGCACTTGGTTTAGGAACAAGGAAAGCACTAATGCCCTGTGTTATCATCAGCTGACAGATTAATAGCATAGCGACCAGTAGAAAATAAAGTGGTCTTAACAAATATGATGAATTTGACATCGGCTGACTTGTTTGCAAATGTTGTTTTCCATAGTAGCCATATGTTGTAGTTCGAAGCTTAAAATTTATGAAATGCATTTCCAGGTTGATAAGACTGAAGAAAAAATGTTCCAGGAAAAAAGGGAATCAAAGATTTTTTTTAAAATTTTACATTTGAATTTTCCCTTGCATGGGAGGTTATTGTTAAAATCATATTTAAAAGAAAAAAGCAGAATCTATTTATTTAAAGAGACACATCCGGTTGCAGATTGTTGACTGTTGCGCAAGAACAGACATTTAAAATTGATTAATATGAACCAAAGTTCTGCTTCAGATAACAGTACCATAGTTGTGCCAGCTCAGTGTGAACACCTGTGTGGGATATCAGTGTCATGGATTTTCAACATGGATTCACCACTGAGCCTTGTGGTTGCAGGCAGTAGTATGAATGTACCTTTAGATCAAGCTACAACTAAGATCACTACGACCCAAAAAGTTGTAAATATTATTATGGCCCTGCTTTAACCACAACAGGACCCAAAATTGCTAGCATTGCCATCCAGACCCAGAAATGGCGGAACACAAGTTGACTTCTTGCCCCAAGCTTGACTTGTAAGAGGCCAGGTCGGCAAGGGAATCATTTGATGTAGATATGCCATATAGCATATTGCTATTGTGTTGGACCATGCCATAGGAAACTATGAGGTCCCCCCCGTCCCTTTTTTTTGGATTGTGGATTAGTATTAAAATCATTAGCAAATTTCACATAAATTTAAATCCATACCTTGTGCTTTAACTTTTTGTCTGTAGTTGCAAATACCTGACAAGTTTTACAAAAATCAAATTTTTAGCAAATATCTGACAAGATTTTAAAAAATCAAACTTTAATCAAATAGCTGACAAGTTTTTTTAAAAATCAAATTTTGTAAAATGTCTAACTCTAAAGCAGCAAAAACATTCTGAACAATTTTCTTCAAATATAAGCATTTTATCATTAATTTCTCACTCATTTGTCACCTATTATGTATCATATTATAATGGAGTTAAAAATATCATTAGAAATCTGGACAAAAGGAAAAGAAAAGCGAAAAATCAAATACATAAATCAAGAAAAGAAATACTTAACTCATTGTCAAAGAAAGTGAACATAACATTGGATACTTAACCAAAGATTGGATATTCTTTATATTTTGCTTAATGAAAGTAGATTAGTGTGTATACATGTATATATGAGACAGCTAAGTGGGTCAGGGGGTATACTTTGGTAATATGCATGTCTATTTGAGGCAGGTAAGTAGGTCAGTATGTATATTATGTTACCATATACAGATCTGATAAGTAGATCAGTGTGTATACTTTGGTATAATATAAGTTTATAAGTCTATATGTGACAGCTAAGGGAGTGAGTAGGTCAGTGCATATGCTTGGTATATCTCTATATAAGTATATCTATAAGCATAAGGCAATTATGTAGTTGAGTAGATTAGTGTATAGGCTTTGGTATATATGCATGTATGTATGAGACAGCTCAGTTTACGGGGAAGCTAAGTAGTTCAGTGTTAAAATATTTCTCTACAGTTTGAGACAGTGAATCTGTAAAAGTAGGTTATTGTGAGAATGCTATATAAACCTCAAAGCCATTTGTCCTATTACCGATCAAATAAATGGACTTACCACTGTAGCAGAAGCCTCATAGCCATTGGTAATCCAAGCCTTTGTTCCATTAAGAACCCAAGTCCCTGAATGCAGCTGTGCTGTTGTAGAGGCTGCCCCAGCATCACTGCCGTTACCTTCAATTCAAACACAACTTTTAGACACATGGGATGAGTTCTAGACAGTGGTAACAATGTTTGTTGGTTAAGTTTATATTCCACCATAAATAATCTCACCCATCTAAAAGGGGGGGGGGACGGACTTTTGACAATATTTTACGAGGGTTTGTAAATTTCGTGACAATGGTGGAAAGAGAGTTTTAAAAATCTGCCAAAATAACGGACGTGCGTTATGAAAGTCCCCCTGTGGATGCTGATAAACTCTGCCCTTTGCAGATCCCCTGTATCAGGGACTTTGTCCTGCCACCTTATGCCAAGAAGTTAACATAGACAGCTTAGGTGGATATGGTTTAGCTGTCTAGCAATTTACTAGCATGTCTGCTGTACACTGTCCACATCTCGATAGCACAGAGGAGAGATGTTAATACTATTGCCCTATATATTTTGAGCTTAGTGACAAGGCTGAGACACCTTTGCTCCCAAAAACTCGTGTTGAGCTTTCCGAATGCAACAATGGCATTTAAATTTCAGTTGTTGATCTCATCATCTATTGATAATGACCTGGAGAGGGGGCTGCCCAAATATGAGAATTTGTCCACTCATAGAGAATTAGTATTTGTGATTGAAATGGATTAGGTTAACATGAATTATACAAGTAAAATTTATTAGACAATTTAAGTCAGATCATGTACAGTACCTGGCTCACTAAGAGCAAAACATCCTATTTTATCTCCTCAGATCATGAACAGTACCTGCTCACTAAGAGCAAAACATCCTATTTTATCTCCTCAGATCATGTACAGTACCTGGCTAACTAAGGGCAAAACATCCTATTTTATCTCCTCAGATCATGTACAGTACCTGGCTCGCTAAGAGCAAAACATCCTATTTTATCTCCTCAGATCATGTACAGTACCTGGCTCACTAAGAGCAAAACATCCTATTTTATCTCCTCAGATCATGTACAGTACCTGGCTCACTAAGAGCAAAACATCCTATTTTATCTCCTCAGATCATGTACAGTACCTGGCTCACTAAGAGCAAAACATCCTATTTTATCTCCTCAGATCATGTACAGTATCTGGCTCACTAAGGGCAAAACATTCTATTTTATCTTCTCAGATCATGTACTGTACCTGGCTCACTAAGGGCAAAACATCCTATTTTATCCCCTCAGATCATGTACAGTACCTGGCTCACTCAGGGCAAAACATCCTATTTTATCTCCTCAGATCATGTACTGTACCTGGCTCAATAAGCGTAAAAAATCCTATTTTATCTCCTCAGATCATGTACAGTAACTGGCTCACTAAGGGCAAAACATCCTATTTTATCTTCTCAGATCATGTACTGTACCTGGCTCACTAAGGGCAAAACATCCTATTTTATCTCCTCAGATCATGTACAGTACCTGGCTCACTAAGGGCAAAACATCCTATTTTATCCCCTCAGATCATGTACAGTACCTGGCTCACTAAGAGCAAAACATCCTATTTTATCTCCTCAGATCATGTACAGTACCAGGCTCACTAAGGGCAAAACATCCTATTTTATCCCCTCAGATCATGTACTGTACCTGGCCCACTAAGGGCAAAACATCCTATTTTATCCCCTCAGATCATGTACAGTACCTGGCTCACTAAGGGCAAAACATTCTATTTTATCTTCTCAGATCATGTACTGTACCTGGCTCACTAAGGGCAAAACATCCTATTTTATCTCCTCAGATCATGTACTGTACCTGGCTCACTAAGAGCAAAACATCCTATTTTATCTCCTCAGATCATGTACAGTACCTGGCTCACTAAGGGCAAAACATTCTATTTTATCCCCTCAGATCATGTACAGTACCTGGCTCACTAAGAGCAAAACATCCTATTTTATCCCCTCAGATCATGTACAGTACCTGGCCCCTTAAGGGCAAAACATCCTATTTTATCTCCTCAGATCATGTACAGTACCTGGCTCACTAAGAGCAAAACATCCTATTTTATCTCCTCAGATCATGTACAGTACCAGGCTCACTAAGGGCAAAACATCCTATTTTATCTCCTCAGATCATGTACAGTACCTGGCTCACTAAGGGCAAAACATCCTATTTTATCTCCTCAGATCATGTACAGTACCTGGCTCACTAAGGGCAAAACATCCTATTTTATCTCCTCAGATCATGTACTGTACCTGGCTCACTAAGAGCAAAACATCCTATTTTATCTCCTCAGATCATGTACAGTACCTGGCTCACTAAGGGCAAAACATCCTATTTTATCTCCATGCAAGAAGGGTTTCAAGAAATGTTCCTTTTGTTTAGCTGTTGCATACTTTTGTATAGGTCCAAGGTATAAACTCTGAAAGTAATTTGTTTTTAAAATTAAAATATTGTATAAACCATTACATAGTGTACTCTAGTTCACCCAAATTGTTGTCTAGTTCATCCATATCATGATTTAATATTTAATTAAAAAATTTTATAACACTGTTTCTGCTCTAATTGAATAATGAAGTATTTTTTGACCATATTATCAACTAACAATCTTCAGTTAAGCATTGTTCTTTATTGGACAAGATTCAGTTCATGGTTTAACTCTGTTGTCTATCATTTAGCTCGTCATTATTGTTTTGTCTATGGCCTATCTAGTTCATTACATTAGTGATATGGGCCAAACCCAAGAAACAAGGATGCTCACATTACATTACTGATAGGTGCCAACCAACCCAAGAAACAAGGATGCTCACATTACATTACTGATAGGTGCCAACCAACCCAAGAAACAAGGATGCTCACATTACATCACTGACAGGTGCCAACCAACCCAAGAAACAAGGATGCTCACATTATTGACACTCAGGATAACCCCAGTTGATGCACATCCCCTGCTGATCTCTTCTATTGCAATGGCATAGGCCAGGTAGTCCAGACCAGTCCCACCTTCAGCTTCTGGTACATCGACACTCAGCAGGCCCAAATTTCCTAATTTTTTTATCTAAACACAAATAAATTATAGAGATGAGGTACATAGCTCATTAATAATAATTTTAATAACTGTCCAAGGACCAACTTTGTCATCTTAGTTTTGTGTAATAAAACTTATTTCTGATAGTTCATTTCCATCCTTGAATCCCTTGATAAAGTCAGCGCTAACTGTTCATGTCATATGTATGTTATTTAATGAAAGTATCATTATAATATATGATGTGCATTTACTATAGAACCACTATTTGCAACCACACAAAATGGTGTCATTCTATTGTGGCCCACTCTGGACCTACCTCCCCACATTGTCTCAAAATGTCACAAAATTAGACACCTTATAATACAAAGATTCTCAGTATTGGAGCATGGCCGGCCCCAAACCTAGATACAAATTGCCACAGAAACGTCAACAAGAAGAAAGAAAAAATAATAATTTTAGGCCTGAATAAGAGAGAGTTCTTCTTGCACAAGAAGAGTTATCAAGCCTTGTGGCCGAAAACCGGGTTATGCTAGAAGTCTCAAAGCACAGGACACACCTTTTAAAGGCAATAAGCACAGATTCTTGGAATGTGGACTTCTGTGCGGCACATGAGCTTGTTGTTGGGGGAGCAGTGTAATCCAGCCTAAGAAAATCCACAAGGTAACTTGGGTGTCTCCTGATAACAAAATAGAAAACCAAATCGTCCACATAGCAAAAACTTCTGTCGGTCTCTAAAAGACATATGAGGAGCTGACAAGACTCAAGCTAAAACTGAAGAAAAACTGGGAAGAGCCTACTGCTAAATGACTACAATACAAGAAAGCACGTCCAGCTGCTAGATGACTACAATACAACAAAGCACTTCCAGCTGCTAGATGACTACAATACAACAAAGCACTTCCAGCTGCTAGATGACTACAATACAACAAAGCACTTCCGGCAAACAAGCAAAAACCAGAGGAATTCAGTGTTGCCTTGAGAACTATGTTCCAGCTACTGCAAGACAACTATGTTCCAGCTACTGCAAGACAGAACTGTGTTCCAGCTACTCCAAGACCAAATAGATGATGACCAGATAGAACTATGTTCCAGCTACTGCAAGACCAAATAGATGATGACCAGACAGAACTATGTTCCAGCTACTGCAAGACCAAATAGATGATGACCAGATAGAACTATGATCCAGGTACAGCAAGACCAAACAGATGATGACCAGATAGAACTTTAATCCAGAAACATATATATCAGGCCGTACAATAAATCAAATACACGTATTACAAAGCTCACTGTAAGTAGAATATAGTACACCCTTCACCCACAAAGTTCTCTCACCAACTGCCAAATGAATAGCACGTACACCAAATACAGACTATGGACACTATGTCAGAACTGCAATAAAGTTATGTCACCAACATAATGGGGGAAAAGCATCATTAACTAAATTAACGCACAAGACTTACCGCACACAATAAAATCATAAGTAAGTAATTCATAATACAATGTGTTATACATCATGACAAATTTTTGATGGTCCCTGCACCCCCCCCCCCCCCCCCCCCAGAATGAGTGACAACATTTAAGGATGGCTCCTTATTCCATGAATAGTTTAATTTCTATTAGTGCTACCTGTTCTTGAGGAAATCTGTGTTCCTTGTCAAGGAGACCAGCTATTGGCATTAGCTCATTTTCTGCAAAATCTCTACACGTTTTCCTTAAAAGTACATGAGTTTCTGGCAAGTCAATAGGGACAGAGCATACTCCGCGTCTGTTTTGGAGTGTGAGTTTCTCATCATCTTAGAGTTTTTGAAAACATATGTGAAAGATTTCAGCAATTTTTAAACATATCAATGACACTTAAACACTAGATCAGCAGTTCTCAAAGGCGCTTAAAGTCTTGCAACATTTTAGGGGGCAATCGGACTCACATAAGGGGTGGTGGGAATATTATCAAAAATACATTTTTTAATTAAAATGTTATGTTGTAAAGAAACAATACACACTCATTTGATTGTAAGCTTCAAATAAAAGGATAAAATCAAAATTAGACAATAACATCTTTTCACACATGGTCAGAAAAATAGAATACCTTTGATCTCAATTTAAGAAAGAAGTACCAGTGGTGAATGACTATTCACTGTGAGCTGAAACAGTTTAAAACCACTGCACTAGATTGTTCGATCTCAGCTTGGTTAAGCTTCAGCATTTCTCAAATACTTAATAATTATAATATTTATAAAACAACATCAAAATAAGAAAATCTGGTAAATTGTAAAATTAAAAACAGTGGTATTCTTGTATTTATTTGTATTTTCTTGTATTTAATTTTTAATATTTAATTTTTTTGTGTTTTTTTTTTTGTGGGGGGGGGGCAAAACTTGGTTGGCTTGTTAAGTTGTTTTTACTGGAGGTTCCACAGTACATAGTATAGCAATATTTTTTTTTGTTTTTTTTTTTTTTTAATTTTTTATATTTAATTTTTTTTTTTTTTTTTTTTTTTTGGGGGGGGGGGGCAAAACTTGGTTGGCTTGTTAAGTTGTTTATACTGGAGGTGCCACAGTACATAGTATAGCAATTTAAATAAAACCTGCAAATTCTAAATACCCCCACCCACCCTACCCAAATTAAGTCCCTGCTTAAACATAGTTACTTTTTAGTAATTTTAGTATACCAGTGGTATCAATCAATAATTATAACTTAAAATTAAAATGTTCCAACTTTTACATTTACCTCTACTACTTACTTCTGACTTTGATGTTACCATTATTCCACTACTCACTACTATTACTATTATTAAATTAGTAATTATTAATATATAATATCAGTATGAGGGCCTACTGCAGAAAATTTCAAATGTCACCTAAATTAAATAAATTTAATTAGTAATCGTTTTAGTAATAGTACCATAACAACAGCTTGGGGATTGGCTTGGGGCTGTTGCCAAGGGCGCCGGCCTGCGCCAGTTCAAAAGGGCGCCGCTAAATCTCTACTTATTTAAATTTTTGTTCAAACAAAAGGGCGCCAAAAATAAAATAGTCGAGGGCGTCAAAAACCCAATTACGCTTCTCAGGCTCAGGGCTTCTGGTACCGGCTGTATCAACTTAAACTTACAATATCGTTGACATTGTGAAGAAAGGCAATTTCCAATCTCCCTGACCCTTAAGCCTCGCAGGCATGACTGTGTATATAAAAATAACTTTGCAGTTGATCCCATTCTCACAATGTTTAAAATTAGTTTGGAAAATCCTCCATGAAGTTGGAGAGGTGTGTGTAAGAGAACCACAATATTCACAATAGTCACGACTAGACTAGCAGACCTTGCACTACAAGTTCAAAGTTCACATCTTGTTGACTGAAAAAAAAGTATGTTCCGAAAAACTACCGAGTGATCCAAGATAAGCTTTTTTTTCTTCAATTAAATATTAATATTTAACATTGAAATCTCACCACAAGCGGACAGAGGCATAACTTTATTCAATAATAATTTTAAATTATTTTAAAGAATGCTTTTTAGTTCCAAATTTTAATAATAATTTGAATAATAATTACTAACATAGTTGGCCATTTAAAATAATAATAATAATAATTTGAGGGGTTTAGATAAATTTAATTTTTGTAAATTACGTTTTTCAGTTTTGATTAACCACAATAGTACATGTATCATAACGATGGATTAATCCTTTGTAAAGTAATTATGAATTTAAAATTATCAGATGTGAAAATCAGTGGCGTAGCTAGGGGGTGCGGACCGCATCGAGTGATTTTAGAGGGGGGGGGGGGACACCAAATTTAAAAATTGCATATTTACAGAGCACACACTGCTAGGTGTAATCGAATTTCATAAAGGATAACTATCACACGTAAATTTTCCACACATATAACAAATTCAAATGCTTGCTTTATTAAAGGTTCAATGTTGATGCTTCAGAGTTGAGGTGACCCTATAATAAGGTCAGAAAAACACAGTTTTGACCACGATTCAACATCTGATTGAAGTGTTAGGTAACTTTTGTAAGTTACATGAAGCTATATTTATCTGAATATGAGAAATAAAACTTTCCATTAATACCAAATACGATGTGGTCGGGTGATTCTAATTAAGTACATTTTACAGTTCTTAAATACATTTACCTCCTGACCTTCAATTAATTTGTTTTGATCTTGTCATTGTACTAAGGATTTATTTTAACAAGAAGAAATCCATAGTGGAAGTCGGGAGGAAAGGGGAAGGGGGGGGGCGACACCATGAGTTACCGCAATGGGTGGCACCAACCCTAGCTACGCCACTGGTTAAAATAATAAAACAGCAGCCTAAGTAAATCGGCCATTAACTTATTAACACACGCTTTTACCCACAAAATCCCAAACAGAACAGTGAGTGAGATGACAGGACAAATCCCGGTAAAGAAAAAAAAAAGCGCAAAAGAAGGTAATTAAAGATGGATAGGTCATACCAGGGCCGAGAGAAAATTGGGGTAATAGGTGGTAGGGAGGAGGGCACCCAATCGGGCGCCAACATCATGTTACGCCGTTATTCGTTATTCAAGTTTACAGTNTTTTTTTTTTTTACAAATGTTTGAATGATTGATTTTATTTAATTTAAAATATTTTTGGGTTAACATTACACAATTTGAGAAGAAACATGTTTTGCATATTACTCATAAATTTTCCTAAGTTATGTAATTTCCTTTTTATAAATATATCGGAAAGCGAGGAAAGTTTAGTCTAAGCTATAATTATTATTATTATTTTTTTTGCACACTTCTTCTTCTTCTATATCTTAAAGGGCCCACGATCAATTTATTGATCATTTTGGCTCCTATGCATGTAGATTGGATTTGCAATGTTGTTTCTGTTACTCGTGTTGATGAGGAAATCATGCCCTAGGGGTTTGAAGGCTTGAGGCAATAGACACAAATGTGTCTAGTGTTGTCGCCTCAACCGTTCCTTTTGAAAGATTGTTCCAGTCCCTGATTCACTTTATTTGTGAATGAAAAAGTATGACAAAGATTTTATTTGATTACATTAGGCATTAGGAAATTAAATATCTAGGTTACAATGCATCACCCGTTTAAAAATAAACAAAACAGTGTCGTCATCAGTACATGACTAGAACAATCAATATTAATTAAAATTTAATAATATAGGCGACTACAACTAGTACTAGTACTAAATAGGCCTTAGCTTTAAGTAGGTCATTCTCTTTAAGTTTAAATGTTTGACTCAAAATAATTTTGCAAACAAAATAAATCCATATTATAGTGTTAGTGTGTTGTTTTTTTTTTTTTTTTTTTTTTTAAGTATTAAATACTATTGTTGAACGGCTTAATAATAATACTATTAGAAAGTTCTTTTTTATTGACTCAAAATAATTTTGCAAACAAAATAAATCCATATTATAGTGTTAGTGTGTTGTTTTTTTTTTTTTTTTTTTAAGTATTAAATACTATTGATGAACGGCTTAATAATAATACTATTAGAAAGTTCTTTTTTGGTGTTTCACCGTGTCTCGGTAACATGGACCACCAGAACTACAATATGACATATAACTTGATTGCGTTTAGAATTACCCTGCTCTGAATTTATTGTATTTCTTCAAATAGGCCGAAGTAAGGGTAAAAAGTCACATTTCTGGTTTCAGTTAACATGGTTTGTTAATTATTTATGTATGACAGTTATTTTTAAAAAAATCATAAAACTTTTAATTCAGCAAAAGACATAAAATGCATAAAAGAATAAAACATGAAGAGGTAAAATAATAAAGTAAAATATTTTAATTTTAAAAATTACTTAAATTGAAAGAAAGATTAAACTTAACCGAATTAACAATGAAAACTTTACTTTCATATTCTTTCCCCTGCACATGTTAGCAGTCATGTTTTATTTACATTGCCGCCTTCTTGGCGACCGTGGAAATAAATGGTGCGTGGAAATAAATGGTGCGTGGAAATAAATGGTGCGTGGAAATAAATGGTGCGGTTTGTTAAAATTTACAGTATTTAACTTAGAAAAGCTATGATGTAATCAAGCTATGAAACTGACAAATTTGCTATTTCAAATTTCCCTTTAGACCCCCCCCTCCCCCCCCCCCCCCCCCCCCCCCCCCCTCACCCGGTGCGACTCGCATCCCCCTATTGATACTCTAGTCTTAATATTAGAATCAGAGAATAGACTAATAGACATATAGCATTGTCTACAAAGAGACTATAATAGTTTATAGTCTACAAGTGTTGTCAATATTATTGATTTTTACAATATTTATAATTTATAGTAACACTAGTACAGTGTAGACATAGACTAATTATAAAACTATTGAATATAGAATATATGTGCTTATTATTAAAGAGTAACAGTGGATGTAGCCTTTTCCCTCTTTTTCATATTGAATTGTAATAAATGACAAATTTGTAATTATCAACTAATTCATTTTTTTATACCACCATGTTCACACCATAAACAAGCATACAAAGTCAATAAAAGTGTAAATAAATCCCACATCTGACTGAGTGGGCTTGTTCTCGTAATTTGGAAATAGTTGATAACTTTCATGCTACAATCATTTCCAATATTCTCTAGCTCACAACCATTTCATAGTCTATATTTCTGTGTGTATTTAAACAGATCATCCTTAGTACAGAGTAAATCATGACGCTCAATAAATTCATGCATCCGAGGAATCGATACAAAAATTGTAAGCCTAGTTTTTTGGAGCTGGCACTTAAGTATCCTGAATTTCGGGCACACACCACCCAAGATGACAGTGGCAAAGTTTTCTTGGACTTTAAGAATGCTGAGGCACTTAAAGCGCTCACAACTTGTTTGCTGAAAGAAGATTTTAATCTTTCTGTAGATCTTCCTGAAAACCGATTGGTTCCAACGCTACCTTTACGCCTTAATTATATTCATTGGTTGGAAGATATTCTTGGCACTGATGCTGGAAAATGGGGAATAGACATAGGTCAGTATTTATCAGGTTGTAATTATTCTTGTAGTTGTACTAGTGACAGAAATATATCAATTTAATAACAGATATTTGGAGTCTCTCTAACATTTGCATCATGGGCTTTATATTTATTTGTATTTAAATCACAGCTCAAAATGATTCCAGAATTTAGAACTGAAGGTAAACACAAAATTAAGTATCATACATACCCCATTCATTTTCAAGTACAATACATTTATTTCATACATTGCTGAAAAACAAGATGTGTTTTATGTTACAGGCCTTTTACATACTATAGAATGCCTACATACTATAGAATGCCTTTACATACTATAAAATGCCTACATACTATAGAATGCCTTCACATACTGCCTTTACATTCTATAGAATGTCTTTACACAGAATGTGTAACCATGTAACATCACAAGTTTATCACATTTGACCGTCATGGTCAATAAAAATCTGGATACAAAACAAATGTTGTGATATTTTTACTCCAGGAACTGGGGCCAGCTGCATTTATCCACTATTAGCAGCTACCATGAACAAGTGGAAGTTCCTTGCTACAGAGGCAGATCCAGAAAATGTCTTTTATGCAACTAACAATGTGAAGAATAATGGACTCCAAGACGAAATACATGGTACTGTTTACTTACTCAGTTTCAAAATAATCTCTCTCTTGACAGCTTTAACATCACACAGATGATTTCTATCATAATTTAAACTGTATTAACTGGTCTATGAAAATTATATGACTTAAACACTGGACTTGCATGAATTCACTGATAATTTATGAACATTGGTTGCAATCATGTATCCCCACTTTAGTTTGAGACACTGTTTCTAAGCTTTTTTGTCTACCATCTTTGTAAAATCAACTTATTTATTATACAATTACCATTTTGTGTTCATGTTTTAATTTATAAATACTGGTGTATATCAATTTTTAAAAAGCAAGCTTTATATAGATTTAGTGATGTTATAATTATATTGTAGAATGGTGCCAGCTCTATAAGTGAAAGTTCTTGTTTAACCAACAGTTCATCAAGTCTCAAGGGACGATGTGCTGATTGTCCCAACTAATGCATTTAACCAAACCACCAAGTTTGATTTCTGCATGTGTAATCCTCCCTTCTTTGCTGACCACATGGAAGCCCAAGCCATGACCAAGACGAGGTCTGTGGATCGTCCTGAGGCTGGTTCAGTTTCTACCGCCAGCCCTCAGGAGTGCATTGCTCAAGGTGGGGAAGTTGGTTTTATCCGGCAGATGATTGAGGAGTCAACTGTGCTTCGGGAAAAGATCAGGTACTAATTGGAAAACAAAAATATTAAATTTCTCCATTTCTTTGCTATCCAAGTGCAGCGTTTCTCACTGTGGGTCAAATAAGCCCACCATTATCCACAAACACTTTGAAAAATGAATGTTATGTAAACAGAACTGTTTACCCTCAAACTATTAAAATCGTACAATATCATCACAAAATCGTTCAATACATTATCTTAATGGTAAAAAAATAAACATAGAGTATATATAATGTATACACTTCAAAATCGTTCATTTTACGCCAAAATTGTAAAGTAAACAGGTCTGTGTAAATAAAAATGAAAATTTTTTTAACATTAATAACATGGAAGGGAGCCACGGGGTAAAAAAAGAATGTTTATGTGGGCCACAAACAAAAATAGGTTGAGAAACATTGATCTTTTCTTTCAAAGCTTGAATAAAGGACAATCATATTCTTGTTGTCTAACAGTTTTCTATGAAATCTTATGTATTCTTATCATCAAAAGAAAAATTTTCATTAAACCTCTCATTCGTGCCATCAAAAGTACCATTTTAGATCAAATCTATCATATTCCTGCAGTCAAATTTATGCATTTAGTTAGCTTAAAAACTAACTTTTGGCCTCTTATTTTGTTTGTTTCCAAAAGGCTCTACACAAGTATGGTTGGGAAAAAGTCGAGTTTGACACAATTGAAGGAGGAACTAAGACAGCAAAAAGTAAGGACATGACTTGCTGTTATTGTGATTGTGTAATGTTAACGTTCACACTGCAGATTTCTTTTGTTACTGCTAAATCTCAGTAAAATACCCTTGCTGAAAACACTGGAGAGTTATGTTTGGTGACTTATCTCTAAATAGACATGCCTGACACAGATGTGGCAGTTGACATTGTGCCGGCACAAATTTGCCTTCTGATGCAGACTTTGGGTAGTTCACATTGTGCAGGCACAAGTTTGCCTTCTGATGCAGACTTTGGGTAGTTTACATTGTGCAGGCACAAGTTTGCCTTCTGATGCAGACTTTGGGTAGTTTACATTGTGCAGGCACAAGTTTGCCTTCTGGTGCAGACTTTGGGTAGTTTACATTGTGCAGGCACAAGTTTGCCTTCTGATGCAGACTTTGGGTAGTTTACATTGTGCAGGCATAAGTTTGCCTTCTGATGCAGACTTTGGGTAGTTGACTGTGTGACCATTAATAATTGTTAACTAAACGTTTATTGTGTTATGTTTGATTATTTAAGAAAGATTGGTTACAATGATCGATTATGTCACAAAAATTGATTTTCAAGAAATGTTGATTGGTGAAATGGAGGCTGATTATATAGGAATAAATGGCATAAATCTTGATAGGTATCCAAACGTTGCTTTTGTTACAGTCTCGGGTTGTATGGTGAAGGTTTATTATGACACTATTTTAACAACCACCATTTTTTGGTTTGTTTAAATGTCTCAAGCTCACTCTTCTAGAGTTCTTGCACCACTGACCAGCAGAGTTCTTACACCACTGACCAGCAGAGTTCTTACACCACTGACCAGCCGAGTTCTTACACCACTGTCCAGCTCTACTTATATTTTTTAATTGACATGATACTTACAATTTTAATGTATATCTACAACTTATGATGTTTCAATGTTTTGTTCAGATTGTCAACTTCACAAGTACAGAGTTTTGTCAGGGGAAGACTATGAGATGGGGAATAGCTTGGACTTATGATCAAACTATTATATTTCCTGTAAGATACCAGCTCTATACTTTAGTCAGTTCTTATACACAATGATCCTGATGGTAACCTAGATTATTACAACATTTATGTATGGACTGTTTCTTCCTCTATTAATTAAATGATGATTAAATTAATATGTTTAAATTTAAACAAACCATTGCTATTCAAATGTGAGATCACCATTTTTATTCAATTGTGTCATCACCTTGTTTTTCTCAACTCCTACTGCTCCATGACCTTGTTATTTCACCAATAATTTACAGCGTTCCATGTTTGAATCAAGAAAAGAAAAGCCTCCACTCCAGTTTGTTGTACCAAGGGGAGCCGGGGGTGTAGAATATCAAGTTCATGAAATTGCAGCTCATATTCGAGGATTGTTGGAGTCAATCAAGGTGTGCAAATCTAATTATAAATTCATTTGGAAAGACCTTGGGGCAAAGCATAATGTGATAGAGCAAGGGGCTGATCTGAGCATAATGTGATAGAGCAAGGGGCTCATCTCAGCATAATGTGATAGAGCCAGGGGCTGATCTCAGCATAATGTGATAGAGTAAGGGGCTGATCTCAGTATAATGTGATAGAGCAAGGAGCTGATCTCAACATAATGTGATAGAGCAAGGGGCTCATCTCATTATTATGTGACAGAGCAAGGGGCTGATCTCATTATTATGTGACAGAGCAAGGGGCTGATCTCAGCATAATGTGATAGAGCAAGGGGTTGATCTTTGCATAATGTGATAGAGCAAGGGGCTGATCTCATTATTATGTGACAGAGCAAGGGGTTGATCTCAGCATAATGTGATAGAGCAAGGGGCTGATCTCATTATTATGTGACAGAGCAAGGGGCTCATCTGAGCATAATATGCTAGAGCCAGGGGCTGATCTGAGCATAATTTGATAGAGCAATGGACTGATCTGAGCATAATGTGATAGAGCCAGGGGCTGATCTCAGCATAATGTGATATAGCAAGGGACTGATCAAGGGAGTTTGAAATGGAGATTTTTTGCCCAACTAATATATTATTATGGATTGCCCCATAAGACAAATAATAGTGAAATTAAGTATATTTTATACTTTTTGTTTAGTGACGATGTAAATTAGGTTTACTGTATTTTGAAATGTAGGTTGTACAATGTAGTGATATAATATCAAGCTTACCATCAGTAGCTTCTACAATGTAGTGATATAATATCAAGCTTACCATCAGTAGCTTCTACAATGTAGTGATATAATATCAAGCTTACCATCAGTAGCTTCTACAATGTAGTGATATAATATCAAGCTTACCATCAGTAGCTTCTACAATGTAGTGATATAATATCAAGCTTACCATCAGTAGCTTCTACAATGTAGTGATATAATATCAAGCTTACCATCAGTAGCTTCTACAATGTAGTGATATAATATCAAGCTTACCATCAGTAGCTTCTACAATGTAGTGATATAATATCAAGCTTACCATCAGTAGCTTCTACAATATAGTGATATAATATCAAGCTTACCATCAGTAGCTTCTACAATGTAGTGATATAATATCAAGCTTACCATCAGTAGCTTCTACAATGAAGTGATATAATATCAAGCTTACCATCAGTAGCTTCTACAATGTAGTGATATAATATCAAGCTTACCATCAGTAGCTTCTACAATGTAGTGATATAATATCAGACCTGTTTAATTTTGTGATTTTGGTGGACAATGTACAATTTTGAGATGTATTTTAGGATTGTACGTCGAAACCCGTCGGACTACAATTTTAAGTGACCGGGTTGAAAATATATACATTCCGTTATTTTTTCAAGATTAAAAAAAAAATTATTCCAAAGTACAATTTCAGTTGTTAGTTTTAACTTGCATTCTACATCCAGCTGTGAATGGATCGAGAAATATGATTGGTTGGGGACCAAAAATAGCATATTTATATCTCAAATACTTTTTACCTTTAGTTATCTATTTTTGACGCCAGCTTAATTCAATTCCACTGGACATGTGATGCAAGTAGTTAGTGTATACATTGTGCATACTGTATGTTTATTTGTTTACTATCGATACTGTATTTTGTGATTTTTAGACGATATTGTATGATTTTAAGAGTTTGGGGGAAACAGATCTGAAATATAAAGCTTACTTTTAGTAGGTTTTATAGTGTAAAGCTTATCATTAGTAGGTTGTATACTGTAATGATATTAAAGCTTATGATCAGTGCTTTATGTATTGTAGTGATATAAAGTTTTTTGGTATTCCATAGGTTCATTGCTATCAGGGCAAGAAAGCCAAGTCCTATTCAAGTTTGACACTAACGGCCGTAGAAAACACATGGTGTCATCAGCGTAGATTGAGAAGACAGCAGCGCAACATCGAGGAACCAGTGATTTATCCTTCTCAAGACACTGGTCACTCTTCTGCCCATGTGCTAGATCCCTCCGACACTGGTCACTCCATTAACATTAATGGGAAGCAGACGGTAGGATTAAAAGAATCGGTAAAGTATCAAGATATTAAACTAAATGGAAAGAGAACATTAAATGAGCCTGACAGAATTCCTCCAAATTCCAAGAAAATAAAGGTAAAAAGCACTGGAAGTGACAAAATTGAACAAGAGGAAAAGCCAGGAATTGAACAAATTAATGAAGAAAAGCCACCAATCTTACAAGCAGAGTTACAACCCCAACCCACTCAAAAGAACACAACAGTGGAAGCTGGGGAAATCCTCTCTGACACATCCCCCAAAGATTATATTCTCAAGTGTGTGTTGAGACTGAAAAGATCAGAGGAGCAGGTGTTACTTGAACTAGAATGGCTTGATGGAAGCTCAAGAGAACTGATGCACCAGGTGATGACATTTCTCAAGAATAAATTAGTACAAAGATAAAAGCACTTCTTATGTTAGAAGCAAAGAATGTTGCCGTCAGAGATGCCTCAATAATTGGAGGTCAGTAAAGTTGGGAAATTAAGCAGTGGCGAGAATAGATACATGTTTGCAACTTGTCTGGCTTCTAATGATATCATAGTGAAGTTTATTCATTAATGTATTTTCATTTGTTTAAAAAAAATAAAAATCAGAACCTAAAATCTTTTTGAAAGTTGGTTAATAATAAAGTGACTTCCTTGTGTACCTAAAATGTAAGCCAAGGTTACTATTGAATACTGTCTCAGACCTGTTTACCCTTACGATTTTGGCGAACAATGTCCGATTTTGAGGTGTATAAATTATATTTACTGTATGTTTATTTTTTCCTATAAATATGAGGTATTGAAACAATTTTGTGATGATATTGTACGATTTTAAGAGTTTGGGGGTAAACAGGTCTGCTGTCTTCAAATATCAATCTAGTACAAAATATACACAACACTGCTAAAATGACTGAACTCAAAGCCAACCAGTTCTGAAACTCTTTAATTACAAAATTGGCCAGGGAACCAGATGTTCTGACATACAGAGCATGCACTACCACTGAACTCACCACTACTGTGTCACACTCGAGAGCTAAACCTAAGAGTTATATATATACAACATATCTTAGCACACATCATTTATGTGAGACTCTGTACTGTGAACTAAATTTTGTATAACATCTGGTAAATGAATTTAAGCAAATGAATGAAATTAAAAATTACAAATGATTTTTTCGATTGAATATCCTATCTTGGATGTGATGTTATAAAAATAAAAGATCAACAAAATGAAATAGCAATCAAGATAACTAGGGATAATTTAATGAATTTTTATGTATAACAAAATCTAAATACCATGATAGCAGAGTGAACACATTTCAACATCCCACATTAGTACAGAGATCCCATTCTAAAAATGTCACAGTGGTAAAGTGAACCCATTCTAAGCATGTCACAGTGATAAAATGAACCCTTTCTAAACATGTCACATTGATAAAGTGAACCCTTTCTAAACATGTCACAGTGGTACAGCGAACCCTTTCTAACCATGTCACAGTGGTACACCAATCCCATTCTAAACAGGTCACAGTGGTACAGATCTGAATCTAACAAAACTAATCATGGTTGTATCAAGACCAATTATATGAAATCTTGAAATATGTCATTATTTCACAAATTAAATTCCCTTAAAAAAAGTCTCCTTATTTGAATGATTTCAAATATTTTCAGCAAAAGTGCCAAAAGTAATGCTACAAAAAGCGAACAAATGTGTTTGAATAAACATTTTCAATTGTACTATAAAATGAAAATATGATTAATTTAATGGACTTCTGTAAAATACTAAACATTTGTGCTTTCAATTATGACTTCACATACATAGAATATTTCAACAAAAATAAAATGATTCATGGCAAACCTTTTAGAACTGTGGTTTCATCTTTAACTAAACTAGTGATTTTGTAATTACTAATGACTTGACTAACAGTGAGTTTCCTGCAAAATCAATCTGTTCTAATTCTCTAATGCAATATACTAACAATCGGTCTACTATAACAATTCCAGAAGTCATTCTATAATATGGAAACCCATAGCTACATAAACCATGTAGTGTGTTACAATTCTGAATATTACTTAACTCATTCCCTTCGGCAGTGCTACTTCCGGACTTAATTTATTTTCCTGAGAAAAGGGAAGCAACTCAGTTTTGAAATTGATATACATTTAAAAAATATTTTTTGAAGTTGCTTAATATTTAATTTTAATGAATTAAGAACAAATGCAACAAAAATGAATAAGGTTTAATATAAATATAACATTAGCGGGGACAAAATAACGAACAATGGCCAAAAAATCGATTTTCAGCACCTCGGACGAACACATGCTACATAGACGTGCCGTACTAAAGCACACGTAGTTTTAAAGTGAAACAAGATAAAAACTTCCGGTTTCTAAATTAAAATCACGCCATAGCCGGAAGACTCGAGGGACGCGAGATTTCATAGCTATTTTTAACTTTTTAACTAAAAATAAGAGAGGTGTGTCGCTATGCGCCGGGAAGTATCAGGAGGAACCCCCAGAGGACGCATTTAGTTGCAACCATCGGGAATGAGTTCATATGATGATTTAAAAAACTGCAGTGTTATATTGGTATACAAGAAAAGATGGTAATATATTAGATTTGGCATTTGATCCCTGTTTAACATCATGTTTCCCCTTCATGGCAATAAAACTGTTCCATGGATAGGTCATGAAGAGTTCAACTTATATTAACTTATGTACCATTTTTTTTTAAGGAAGACTTTTCAAATTAAACTTGTTTTTAAAGAATGCATTGAGCAAACAAAGTGATAGAAATGCTGAGTGAGAGAACATCAATTCACTCTGCACAAAAGTCCAGCATAACAGTCATTTAATTATTTTTAATAACAGCCATTTGTGTGTTCATGCTAGTGGAGTGGAATGTCAAAACATTCAGAAATTTATGTGCCCTGTAACCCAAAGACCAAGGATATCTGCTAGAGCCAGTTCATGTACATGTAGCTTAGAGGCAGTCCAAGCAATGTAGGAGGTGATCAACTTTAATGAGATGATATTGTCACAAGTCAGAGGAAACGATAGCCTACTTTTATACAAACTTTCAAAATCCAAATTATGAGAAAAATGATAATATGAATCATAAAACAACCACTGAAAGTAAATGAATTAGTTAAATCAACTTAATTATAAGAACAGTAAGTCAACAAGTATCCTGTAGCCTAACTAGTCACTAGCAATTACAGTACAGTTACCTCTCTTTAGAGCACTTATAACAAAAGATGGCAGACATTTGCTCAAAGGCAATCCAAAAAAAAGGTTAATAAACACATCTACTTTGAAACCAATGGAAAATGCACTTGAACTAGTCCATTCACCTCAACAAGTGAACTAGTCCATTCACCTCAACAAGTGAACTAGTCCATTCACCTCAACAAGTGAACTAGTCCATTCACCTCAACAAGTGTAAAGGCCATATTAGCCTATACACAAGTTAAAATGTGTAAATTCAATTACAATTCAATAATTGTAAATGTCATTGTCCATGGTTTAAAAAAACAAAACAAAGAAAGCCACCCTTTCCTACTTCCTGAAGAGAGAGAGACAGGTGAGCTAATCAAGAAAACTGAAGATAATATCAAAATGAATATGTACAAAAAAGGCAATCAAAGAAATGAACTAGTGCTATGGAATGATCTAATCTATTTGAAATTCAAACACAATGGCAATGTACACAAATGTTTAAGGATTTAGAGTTAGCTTTATGTGCTACAATGGCAAGCTCCTGGATCAAAATGCACAGTAAATTTGTTTATATAGACTGAAGTTTTGGAACAAGAGACAATCTTTTTATGGTAATGTTAAATTTCGATGTCATCTAAACAGATTGAAATGTACCCAAGAGTTCCAAAATACTGAAAAGTATGAAAATAATTACTGTATCAAAATAATTACTGAATCATTTTCATATAAAAAAGAAACCGAGATTATGAAAAAAATTAATTATGTACTGGTAAACTAAATGTTCTTATAAGGCCTTACCAAATATAAGGCAAGAGAATACAGTCCAAAGTCATCTTAATGAATAATATAACAAGATCTGCTTACGTGAATTTAAATAACTTTTGTGCTTTGAGCCAAGGTGTTACCATGGAGAAGCTAAACAAAGCCCCATTGGTCAAACAAACTAGGAACATTGAAGCTCAAAGACTGTAATCAAGAGAATGACCATCACCAAGTCAGTCATTGATAGGAGGAACTATCAATATGTGGCATGTCCCTCTTAATCAATCCCCACGGTGCTCATGATTTCAAGACGTGATTGTTGATGAGATTTATGCTAGGGCAATCCCGTCAACACTGACCGACTGGGAGGAAGTGGTGTTGACACTTTGATTGTCTCCATCGCCGGCATGTTCATGTTCAAGAAGTTCGCCATTCAATTTCTCTTCTTCATTTTGGTCAACAGGTTGATGGCGAGTCATCTCTTGCTTGAACTTTTCCAGTTCATCAGGACTGTAGAAGAACATTTTTGAATACAAGCTTACACCTACATTTAAACAAAGCTTTATGTTAATAGAATAGTATGTACCATTTAGTGATCAAACCCATCTAATAGTACACAAATAATCCCACTGACCACACACACCTTAATAGAACAAACACAATACAACTGACCACACATCTTTATAGTACCAACACAACTGACCACACACCTTAATAGTACAAATACAACAGACCACACACCTTTAAAGTACAAACATAATAAAACAGACCACACACCTTAATAGTACAAACACAACTGACCACACACCTTTATAGTACTAACATAATGTAATGACCAACCGCATTTATGGTACATACACAATCCCATTGTCTACCGACCTTATTTGTACTAACATAATCCCATTGTCTACCCACCTTATTTTTACAAACACAATCCCATTGTCTACCGACCTCATTTGTACAAGCACAATCCCATTGTCTACCGACCTCATTTGTACAAGCACAATCCCATTGTCTACCGACCTCATTTGTACAAGCACAATCCCATTGTCTACCCACCTTATTTGTACAAACACAATCCCATTGTCTACCGACCTCATTTGTACAAGCACAATCCCATTGTCTACCCACCTTATTTGTACAAACACAATCCCATTGATGACATTTAAAGTTTCCAAGACACCTGCCAGGGATGGAGGCTGAATCTGAAAGAATTATTCCACAACATGTTACAAGAGACCTGGCAATGCATCCCTTGCTGCCCAATGCACTACTACAGTGTGGTGTGTTGTTAGGAGCTAAGGACTTTCACAAATTAATAGAGTAAGGGATGTCATGTAAAACCTTTATCAAATCTAAACAAATTAAATAAAGGAATATTCTTGTTGTTTAGATACTGTCCCCTTGAAAACTCAATCATGCTGTGGTCAGTTCTTACAAGTAGTATCATTTAGAATCATTTCTGGAGAAGTAATCACCTGGATTGGGGGCAACGTTGAGTTGACCTCTCCTTTATAAATCTCATTCATCTTCTTCTGCACTACTACAGCCTGTTTGGTCAAGTGAGCCAGGCACTCGGAGCTTTCCTTGGTGCGCTCATGGTTCTCACCCAACTGTTAGAAACACAGGGAAATATCAAGTTAAAGAAGGGCTTTCATTATCACAGAGTAGAAATACGTGAGGATATCTTGGCTACCAACAGCTGTAATGCACCACTAGGACTTAATCTTACACCCCCTACAAAGTACCAATGCATCAGCATTTTCAAAGTGAAAATATACTTTAATGATCACTTTTCCTTCCAGATCAAAAAACCTTGCTTTAAAGTGTGCGTGTTCTTAGTCCATTATTAAGACTCTTACTTTCAAGACAAGTCAAAAGCTGTCTCTTAGATGGCATGTTTGGGGCAGTATGAAAGCAAACACCTTTCATACAATTATTTTTTAGGGAGAGAGATTTTGAATTACATTTTTACAATGTTCAAAGAAGGACAAACACATCCAAGGGCAATGTACATGGATGACCTAGTCAAGACTTTACATCACAAGAATATGGTGACAGATTAGAAGAATTCAACAAATCGATATGTCAACAAGTCAGGTAATACAAATATGATAGACACTTTTGTTCTTGTACACAAATCATCCGGTGATTACCTTATTTTTGTAAATGGTGTAGGCTTCCTTCTCACTCTGTAAAGCTGATCTGAAGTCACCCCGACATGAATGTGTCCGTGCAACTAGGTGATAAGTCATAGCAGTTTTAAGACTCTCAGCTCCAAAATATCTGAATTGTTAGATGTCAAATCAAATATATCATCCATTCAAATGGACATTTCTTTTATAATTAAACCAATGGAAAGACCATTTTGTTACACTATACATATTTATGTTCAGTATATTGAATTGAAACAAAGGCAGTAAATATTCTGATTAAAACTTTTAAACTTTAAGCATTGACAATTTCCTCTGAGACTAAGACATTTCCTACTGGTACCACAAGAACCATCCCTACTGTGTCACCATATCTAGATTGACTTTAAGCTCTATATCTATTCATTCGAGGGGAATCTATAGCAGCAAAAATACAACTGTATATATTAAAATAAATGTTCATTTTTTTATAAACAAAATTTATTGAGAAATCTTTCAAATGAAAAAAAACAAAGATACTAAATGATATGGCAGCAGTTCACGCCATAATTAATGCCAGAACTCATTGAGTAATGAAAAAGTAACAAGTAGAGGGGATGAAATGTGAATGGCAATTGAAGAATACTTACTTTATATTTAGCTGCAGGGAGTGTTCAAGGTAGCGGAGAGAGAAATCATATTCTTCAACAGCTTGAAGTATTAACCCAATATTGCTCTGCAAATTCAGGATAAATGATGCATTTACTAGAGCGATTTTTTAGAAATGTATTTATTGTATTTCAAGTTATGCAATAATTGTGTTATTTCTTCATTAAATACCATGAAAATCTGTGATCTTAGTATAATTTTATTGTCTTACATCTATTAGGGCAACCTCGGGGTGGTTCTCTCCATGGCAGATGATGGCTAGGTAACGGGCACGGTACATCAATCGCAAGGCACTTGTGACTTGACTGTTTGCAAAGCAGTACAAAGCAAGATGAGCCTGAAGATTTTTTAAAATTTCTTTTATATCGGAAGCAATATTATACATGGCTTCAGCTAAGACATGATTGAACTGACTAATAAAAAAACTATTACTCGACGCTATTTTGTCCTTACATATTCTGTGATTGTGTTGGGATGATCTAGCCCCAAGACTCTCTCACTCATAAAGACAGCTCTCTGCTGGTAGGACATAGCCTGGAGGAAGTAGAGAAAACTCTTTCAATATGGAGCAATGCTCAGAATCTTGGACTAAATCAATGCAAATTGTAAAGCAAGAATGAAACTATGGATTGACAATACATTTCATGACTTACAGAAAAGTGCTTATAAATTCTCTGGCACAATTATAAAAGGTTGGATTAAAAAATGTAGTTTGACTGACCTCCCCGAATTCTCCCAAAATGTAGTTTAGTCTGGCCAGTAATCTTAGGCAGGCAGCAATCTCCGGATGCATTGCTCCATAAACATTATTGAGTAGGTTGAGAGCCTCACTAATAAGTTCATAACCCTCTCTAAGGAGCCCTTGCTGAATCTTGTTCTGACCACTTGAGAAGAAGTGGAAGGCATCTGTCGCCTAGAGGAGATCATTTTGCTATTTTAAAAAATTCCAACCAGTCCCTTAGTAAAAATCTTTTAAAATTGAATAGATAAGTAAATAATGGGGGGTTATGTTGCCAGTTTTGCTACACAGGAGCAATTAGCCGGTGGAAATCAATGATATGTTGTCAGTTTATTTACAGCTGGTAGCATCAGTGATATATTGTCAGCTTTGCTACAGCTGGTGGCAATAGGGGGGGGGGGGGGGGGGGGGGGGTGGGGGGGTTGCGCAGCGCATGCGCTCATGTTGTTGTATGTGTGTGTGTCTCACCACAATAGTCTAATAGCCTTAATTATAAAGAAAAGATGTCTGTCATTCAAGTAGTACTACGCCACCTGCAGACAGCTTACATCATAATACAAGCTAACTTTATGGTGGATACCATAAGTATCATGTAGGCCCCTGGCCTGGTCCACCATTAATTGGCTGCAGCTGGTCAACGTCATGTGGTATCAACAATTAACACATCCTCCATAAGAAAAAAATTCTGGTTGGCAGATTTCAGATTTGATCGAGACCACAAACACCAATCATTGTTCTTATTTGATTGTTCGTGGTGTTACAAGAAACTAACTTAGAAAAATCATCATTTATTTACTCAACCCTAGTTTTTTTGAGCTCGTCATAGTACCGTAGTCATATGCTTCTATGGCACTCTCATACGGGTAGACAGGTCTGCAAAGGCAATCATGCACTTAATTAAATTTTAAAATAAAATACTCTCCTTACCCTTGGGCTGATGTGTTTGACAATAGGAAAGACATTGATGATATCATCTTCTGTAAAGATGGCTCGACTTCTATTCTCCAAAGAATATTCCCGAAGCTGGATCTGAATTCCAACTTTGATACAGATAGAGCGGAGCAGCGCAATTCTTTGGCAGTTGTATTGTTCTAAGGCACTATCAATCCCATCACTGAAACAGTGTTATAACATTCTGTAGTCTGGTTTTTTCATCTACATCTTTCAAGCAAAATTATAATGCAAAATTATATGGAAAAATATTCTCAAAAATGTCCAGATGGAAGGCTAAGTGGCAGTCACTTACCATTCTAGTGTATATCCAAAGTATTCATCTGCCTCATCAACAATTTTCTTCCACAAAGTCTTGGGTGTTTCTGAGGACCATTCATTTGTGTTTTCTGTAAAGAATTTTAGCACAAAGAAATTTACATCATTTTAAAACAATTTGATATATACCGTATGATAATCAGAATTATTGATAAATGATCTAAAATAAAATATAAAAGTTTTCAAATGATATATAGTTAGTCCAATTTTATAGCAACAAAGTTAACAATAAGACCCACCTATGCTGAAGACAACACTGTGTTTATTTTTTCGCTTTCCTTTGCGTTTTGAAGCTTTGCTCTGCAATACAATAGTCAATAGTTCAATGTCATTCCATAATGCCATAGTTTAATTTCATTCCACAATGCCATAGTTCAATGTCATTCAACAACGCCTTATTACAAAAAATCATTCAGCAATGCCATACTGGATTTATACTTGTTCTAAAGCTGCCTTTTGGGGGGTGAAAATATATAAGGGGAATAAGCATGGTCAACTAATAAGTATGTCATAGGAGATTATTATAATCTTCTCCAGGTAAATTTAAAATTATTATTTGTATATCCCAGAGGTCCCAGTCAACCAGACACTACCAGAAGCTTATAAATATTATCTGCACTTTTATTTATATGATTTATTTTCTTCTTGAAATAAAGTTTTATTGTCATGTTTTACAATTTTGATTTTTTAAACAATTTTTAATTAACACGTTTACACCATTGTTTAACACATAACATAAAAACAAACATACCGGAGGTAAATGACACAACTATTCAGTCATATATAGCACCAGCAAAATCTCATTCAAGATATTAATTGTTACCATATTGCTAACACTGGCATATTGTTGGGGGAGCTATTCCCATCCAAAACTTGGGGAGGGGGTCAGCTTATGAATAAATAGGCTTTATAATGAGTATATGTTAGTTTAATGTCATTCAGCAATGCCATTGTTCAATGTCATTCAACAATGCCAATTTAAAGTTTCCTTCCAGATAAAAAGGAAACAAGTAAGGGGAAAGAGAAGAGGCAGACAAAAAATATGAAATGGACCAACAAACAGCAATACCGTTAAATAAGGTTATAAAAAGACAATATGATAATAATATCTACCTCTTCGGCAATGACCTGAGCATGTGGATTAGGGTAGGAGCCAAGGAAACAGTTGAGAAAATGACTAATGGCCGCTGCTGTGTTCATCATGTCCACACCTTGCATATAGTGGTTATAAAGGTGTTTGGTGGAGCGACTGATCAACTCACTGATGGCAATAGTCTGGAAACAAGAGTACATTAACAGAAACTATATAGCCAACAAATCATTGGTTGAACAGGTTCAATAACAATTTTTACTTAATATACACCTCTAACTTATTATTAGACAATTATGAGGGAATTCAACTACTTACATATACATAAGACAATGTTGGATATTTTGTAAGATTTTCAGCAATCTTCCCCAAATAACGAATGTTGACACCCCTGGAAAGACACATTTCATAAATTTACTTACAACTAATATAATAATGACATTAACTCATTCCTTACAGCAATGCTATTTCCGTACTTAATTTATATGCCTAAGATTTACATTTTTAAAATATTTATTTAAGCAGCTAAATATTTAATGTTAATGAATTAAGAACAAATACACCAAAAAATTAATAAGGTGTAATAAAAATATAACAGTGACGAAAAAATAATAACAATGGCCAAAAAATCGATTTTCGGCACCTCTGACAAACACATGCTACATATAGACATGCCGTACTAAACCATGCAGTTTTAAAGTGAAATAAGATAAAAACTTCGGGTTTTTAAATTGAAATCACGCCATTGCCGGAAGTCTTGAGGGATGCGAGATTTCATTATTATTTTTAAATAGAAATGAGAGAGGTGTGTCGCTATGCGCCGGGACGCATCAGACAAAACCCCCAAAGGAAGCATTTAGTCACAATGAGTTAAGTAACTTCTATTCTGTTAGAGCAGGCGTCCTCAAACTTAATGAATAGCGAGGTCTGGTTGACTGGCCCTCATACACAATTGGGGGTAGGACTTCAGTGTTCAAAAAATATGAACAAATTCCTATGCGCACAGCAGTTTCTTTGTATTGCAAAGTTAAAGAGAAAAAATTCAATCAAATATACTTCATAAACTAGTATTTCAATTGGCAGTATGGGCCTGCTTTTGGCTAATGAGATGATCAATACTCAGTTCCATATTTGTAACTTCTACCTGGGTATTCATATGGCAGCCAGGTTGGCCCCATAAAGGACCCATGAGGCCGAATCAGGCCTGCTGGCCAAAGTTTGAGGACCCCTGTGTAGGAGCCATAGGCAATGTTATGTGAACATTCAGTTTCTAGTCCATGTCAAATGATCAAGTGAATCAGTCGAATCAATCTACCTGGCATGCATGGACTCTGTAAGCGTTATCCCATCTACAGGTGAAGATGTATGGTCAAGGAAATCATTCACCTGGAGAAGAGGACTTGAACTGATTAACAAGGTCAAAGACGGTTGTTTATATTTTTATAAACTCAAAGATTATAATAAACTATACATTCACTATTTCGTTGCACACTCATAATGATATTAACAAGGAAGATTTAACTTGGTTTATAATTGCAAGGAAGTGATGGTAAAAAGTAATCTCCAATAAAGAACTATATTAAATCTAAAATGACATTGGGATTATTAGAATTTCAAATATAATACAATTCATTGTATGTGTAAACATCTTATAACAGAAAAAATACTAATATGGACAAGTAGTGATTAAAACAATTTACTGATTTCAAGGTCTAGTTGGTGCTTATCTTTATTTAAAGTATTAACTTGAATTGGTGAACTTAATTTTGTTTCAAACATTCAGTGTGGGGGGAATGAGGAGGAGAAATGTTGATTCTTTTTCAGTTCCATGTCATTCCTGGAATATAGGCGAAGTACTTGCAATGTGATTTCTATCCATCAAAATTGTATCTTTTTTAAAAAAAAACCCAAGATAAACTTAAAACTTTTAGCATAGATAAACTGAAGTGGTTTAATTTTACCATCAGAGGAATTTGGCTTGTAACAATGTGTTGGGATGCCATTTTCACCAATTCTTTCTCTTTTTTATGGACTTCACTCTGTTTATGAAAGAAATACATTACATTCAATCTAACCATACAATTACAAAGTCTATGTATGCATGGACATAAGTAAAGAGTATTGTTTCATCACTAAAGTTGACCTGTATGAAAGCAAGTTGTAGTAATATTGATAACTGTGTTGCAATGTACATGAAATACTGCTGAGTGACACCACATTTGACCAATCAGAATGAGCATTTAATGTGTCTGTGGAATGTTTATATCTTTGAATGGGATATTTTGTCTTGCAATTATGGAGGTTTGGTGCCATAGTAATGGTTGTGGCTTTCGTAAATAAAATAATTATTCCAGATGTGATGATTATTATGTGCTACCGACTCCTAGGATGTGAGCATAAGCAGCTTAATAAAAAAAATCTTTATTTTAATTTTTTTTTCCCTTCTCCAATCTCTTAAACCACCAGCAAACGGCAGAACAAAGACTAAAGGAACAGCTGACCATTAGACTGACTTACATCTGGTTCTGCATGTCGAACATGAGGTTGAAAGACATCTGGGTTGAAAGATATGGTGAATTCTGCTCATTTAACAAACAAAAAAAGAAGACATTCATTAGTTTTGTGATGTTTCAAGCATTCCTACATTTCAAGTATGCTCTAATATCTCTGTTCTATAGGCGTCTGGTTTACATCATCTTTTCTCGTGCATGAACTTAAGCTGACCCTAACCACGTTTGGTAGCACCATGGGTTGGGCTTCATTACAAAGTGTCCCCCATTCACCTTCATTACAAGTAAATACAGTCTATAGTCTGTATTATTAGAATCCTTTACAATGTACAAGACGGGTCCAGGCAGCACTTATACATTGGCGAACCCATTTCTGGAAAAGTCTATAAAAGGCTATAAATACGCCTATCTATATAATGACAAGAGAGATTGAGTTATTACAAGAGAGTTTTGCTTTTATGATACGAGACAAAGATTTGTATACTAATAGTCACTCTGTGCGTGTGTGTGCATACCTTCTTCAATGCTGTACCGGTAAAAGTTCATTATTATTATTATTAGTGGTGGTTTTATATAGCGCTGTACGTCAGCCTAGGGCTTGGCTCACCACGCTGTACATACAATTTTACAAACATAATCATGGACTTAAAAATTAACATACATACATTAAATTTTTAAAAAACAAATGTATATTCACTCCACACATTCAAGAACTATTTACATGTCAAGCCATGGACGGCTACCCTTACTGTACTGTTAGACAATAGCCTTAGTTCTAATTCTTTTTGATTTTGTAAAATTTAAATCAACTTAATAAATTATTATTTGTAATTAGCCCTAGTTTGGGTATAGTTCCTTATTAATGTATTTATTTAATGGTAGCGTATATTGTTATGTGGTGTTTGACACGAGTTATAGAGTAAAATAAGAGATTAAATTCTCTACACTTACAGCAGTACATAACAATCCCAAACATAAGGCCCAATATATGGGTGGTGGTCCAATGTTTGGTGAATGAGAAATGACAAGATCATATGTACGCTAAGGTTAAAATCTTATGGCATGGGTGGTGGTCCAATGTTTGGTGAATGAGAAATGACAAGACCATATGTACGCTAAGGTTAAAATCTTATGGCATGGGTGGTGGTCCAATGTTTGGTGAATGAGAAATGACAAGATCATATGTACGCTAAGGTTAAAATCTTATGGCAGTCATAATACATCAAACTTTTTAAAAATTCATATCTAAATTGGGGGAGGGGTACTTGTTTTGAAAAATAGCATTTTTGGGCATATTGATGGGTGGCCCCAGTTAAAATATTTATTACCTGTGTCTGACATGGACCCAGATGCTTGGGCTGCTTTGCTTACTATTTCTCTTGTGTCATCTTCAACTGTAAGCAACACAATTATTGATCATAGTCAAAGTTTTTTACTCTAAAAATAGTAACTCATTGGAAAATAAAATGATATTAACTTCAACATTAAAAAAAAATGTGAAACCTGTTTTCTGCAAGCCCTCTTGACCTGTCATTGTCTCCACAAGTTTCTTGGCTTCCTCTGTGATTTCATCCTCATCTATCTCATTTTTGTTCTCATCACAACCATGGCCGTTGGTCAAAGCAGATTTATCCTGTAAATTCAGAACAAGATTCTACTACTAATATTTTTCTCAACTGTTTGAAATCTTTTAATTATTCAAGAAAATCTTTCTTAAAAAAAAATTTTTTTTTTTTTTCTTTATTTTAAGCAGAACCAATAGATATTTCCTCCCACAATTATGGCTTGAATCTTTTTTTTTTTTTTTTTTATCAGCTAACCCCAGGAAATACATTTTTTTAACGTTTATAAGCTGTTGACCCATTGACTATGGGCTTAAATGGTGGGGAAGCTTAATAGTTTGCTTAAAAGCAGCACATTAATACTTCATATTCATTCAGATGTCATGGTAAAATATTCCATGTGTGTTGTATTGTCTTCAATGGATAACCTACAACCCCCTCACCCCACACACACACTAAAACCCTACCTCATTCTTTGTTTGATGTTTATGTAAGGCTTGAAAGTGAAGTGCAGCATGTTTGACAAATGCCAGGTATCTGCTCCTGGAAGAGGAATAAATTCTGTTTTTTACCGCCATCTAACTGCATATTTACTTATATTTAATAAAAAATAATCACAACTACCAGCACTTTGTATTATGATTAAACAAATCTTGGCCAAGGACTGACAAATTGAAGACTAAAAGTACTCCAGTATTGAAGTCATAAAATATCCATTGTGAGTTATTCCACTTTGAAAATTCAAACTGAGTGATAATGTTTCTGCCGGTGTCCTCTTGGAAAATAGAGTTGGGTACATATTTATTAGTAGTTCAATATTTTTATATACAGTATGTTTAGCTCAACCCAGTTAATGGCAATAAATTTTTTAGTTTAAGCACTAGGGTCTTCAATTTCATTATATCAACTTACTCAGTAAATGCTTCTATCAGTTCTTGTCTCAGACAAGGCAACTTGTGTCTGTGTTTCTTAGGGTAGCCATTGTTCCTCATGAGCTCAGAAAGCTCTTCCCCCTCAACTGACAGATTTAAGCAAAGCAACTTCATTTTCATTTAAACTGTCATTAAAAATTTAAATGCTTTTTAAACTAATTCAATGGTCAAAAGATAATAATACTCTGCACTCTTTTTACTTTCTGAATAAAATCCAAACCAGTTAACACTGTCAAAACAAATAAGATTTTTAATTACCTAGTAAATAGTTGGCATCTGGTGGGAAAGTTCGCAACAGGTCCAGAATGTAATGTCTCTGGTCATTTCCTACAATACCCTAAAAGATACAATATTTACAACAGATTAGTTGAATTATTTATAGTAAATCCATAAGATTATATAAAAAACTTAATTAAATATCGATCTCAGTAGTGCAAACCAAAATCTTTGCTCACCTTGCATTCTACAGATGAGTACAATTCAACAATTTCATCTTTATGGTTGAGCACCCTGAAAGAAAAGTTTTTTAAATCTCACATATTTTAAAATAGTAATATAAGAGAACTCATAACAACAGTTCATCCTTAAATTTTAGGTAACATAACTGGTTACATCCCAGATTTATGTTAATATCTCCACTTACTTGTGTGGTCTAATCTTTAACGCTGCAGCTGTCTTCTGAAGCTGAGAATATACGGACATTTAAAAAAAAATTTTTAACAGCTTCAATTCATAGCTAATCACAACAAAGCTTACACATTTTATTGTAGCCACAATGACATCATTATTATAAAATATGAAAAGCAGCTTAAAATAATCTTGTTTGAGTTATTGATAAATGGCATCAAACAAGCCAGGGTTAGGATATTAAATGTCAGTAATGACATAATTTGAGTTAAAGGTGTGCTCCATCTTTCTTACCCACTCTATATTACCAAGAATGTTCATTTCTTATCTCATGAAGACGTTCATTTTTCAGCTCCATAATAATAACAACATCTTTTACTCACCAGCTCCCTGTATTTATCACTTGATACCACAGTTTTGCCAAAGTCCACTGAGCCATAAACCACAGATTGTTCTTGTTCTCTTTCTAGAATTCCTGAGGATGCAAACACTGACATGACACAACTATTTCTCAAACATAGGATTTTCCAAATTGCATGATTTTAATGTGTGATTATTCCACAGTTCAAAGGAGAGACAAAGTAATGGGTAGGACTGTATCAATTAACCAACAGATAATCAGCCCCTTTGTCAATTCAAAGACATTTTCTGACCAATTAATCAGCTGATTATTAATCTGCTTATTAAAACTATTACATTTGAGACCTAAACAATTTTAGGATAAATTGTCTTTTAATGTAAGGATGTTTTATTGAGTATGTTCAAGGCTATAAGCTTGATATCATTCATGTTCCCATCCCTATTAACTGCATATGTAATTGTTTTTTCTTCTTGTGACGCTGTTTGCGTTTACACAATGATACGAGCTAGGGTTAGTGCCATTAGGCACAGATTTTGATGCCCCTACTTCCATGAAAACAGATCTGCAGTTCACCCAAAATGCCACCCCTCTAAATGTAGAAACATGAGCTGCAGCAAATGAAAAATATTTTTAAATTCATTCAGTTTTAAAATATTATTATTTTGGGGGTAAGTATTTATATAAAATTTAGAGAACATTGTGTATTATGGTCTATTATTTCTATAGATATTAGAAATAAATGCACAAGCTTAAGTGCCAGTAGCAGAGCTTGGCAGCAACAGTTTACCCTAGCTACTAGTACACAGTGGTACACCTAGGTGATGCAACAGGGCGATCACACTTAAACTGCTACATGCAGTGGAGTAGTTCATGTTTGGTTCCCTTGAGCCACCCCTCACTCACAAAAAATGAAGAATACCCATTATACATACACCTTATTTAGTATATGCAGGGGGACCCCCCATCCTAGTCTGACCTCTCCCACCATCATTGTGCTTCCATGGCATACTACTAGCCATGTCACTGGTTGATTCAAAGTAGATATCGAGATGAGGCTCTGCTTGTCATAGCTGTGATCAGAGGCTTATTTCTCTGTTTAGATGCACGGTTCAAAGGTTTGAGCGACAGAGTAGTGCTCTCTTATACTTCAGAAACACTTTTTTCTTTCTTTCCTTGTTTTACCTAAACTAAACCTAAATTAAAGCTTTGTACTACTTCAAATAATCTTACATTATTAGATACTATATAAAATTCCCTAAAACATAAAATTACAATTGGTATTTCCATGCAAAAATACATAACAATTAACTGGGGGCCGATTACATGGTATCGGTTGATCAGGGAGGCTGATAAATCTGCCAGATTGCTCATCAGTACAACCCTTGTCATCTGCAACACGTTTGGACTTAGAATGGAAGTGGCTATTGACAAACCTGGTATAATTGACTTAGAATGGAAGTGGCTAATGACAAACCTGGTATAATGGACTAAGAATGCAAGAGGCTAATGACAAACCTGGTATAATTGACTTAGAATGGAAGTGGCTAATGACAAACCTGGTATAATTGACTTAGAATGGAAGTGGCTAATGACAAACCTGGTATAATTGACTTAGAATGGAAGAGGGTAATGACAAACCTGGTATAATTGACTTAGAATGGAAGAGGCTAATGACAAACCTGGTATAATTGACTTAGAATGGAAGTGGCTAATGACAAACCTGGTATAATTGACTTAGAATGGAAGTGGCTAATGACAAACCTGGTACAATTGACTTAGAATGGAAGTGGCTAATGACAAACCTGGTATAATTGACTTAGAATGGAAGAGGATAATGACAAACCTGGTATAATTGACTTAGAATGGAAGTGGCTAATGACAAACCTGGTATAATTGACTTAGAATGGAAGTGGCTAATGACAAACCTGGTATAATGGACTAAGAATGCAAGAGGCTAATGACAAACCTGGTATAATGGACTGAGCTGTGATACGGTAACCTCTGTAATCCACAACCACTGTTCCCAGCGTGTACAGGCCATCAGGATCCATATTAAAATAAGCTTTAACGCCCTGAAGGTCATTCACCTGGGGATTATTTTTAAAAAACTTGTTGAATTTGTATACAATTCTCAAGCATCTTTTAAAAGAAATAGTTATAAATTCAATTAACTCTTGTATTCATTTGTTAATCACATGTTCAGCTATACAGTAAGGATTACATATATTATTGAAACATTGATAGGGAGAAAGCTATATAGCAAAATGCTGCTTTCAATAAATCATTCATTCGCTTACAGGAGCTGCATAAGCGGCAGCGTCACCACCAAAGTCTTTATAATGGTCTTTTACATCAAAGCCCAGACTAAAAAAGATGTTGTTCCATATGAACATCTGCATCCTAAAAAATTAGGAAATAATAAAAATAAGTAATTCCTTACTTCAATAGAAACAAATGAAATAAAGTAGACTGAGATCTAGTTCCTAGTTGTAAAAAGTCTGATAAAATGTGTTTTTGTAGTAGGTACTATGTTTTCAAAATAACAAAAATGCAATCTCCTAAAAATATGATAACATATCAAATCCAACACTGACTCACTTGGCATCTTCCCCTGGGTTTATTGCCATGACATTGCCATCTATTACAGCCATAGCTCCTCTAGTCGCAGCTGCCACAAAGTCACTATGAACCTTAACAAGGATATCACAAGATTAGATTATGTCATGCTGATATATGGGATTAAATTATTTTTAAGTAAACTGTAATTGAATTACAGCTGTTAAATTAGCAATAATTTATTTCAACCTTGAGAACCTGTTAAGATTCTTTAACTTTGTAACATGATGCAGTTTACATCATATCATTTAAAAAAATTGAATTCCTCTGTTAGATGGGTATTTAAAAAAAAAAAAATCACATCTTTTAACTATTTAAAATTCTACCTTAAATATTGCTCTCTCCCTTAGAAGCCTTTCTGCCAAATTTCCTTTTGTGAGTTCTCTGGTGGTTTGAATCTCTTCATTCCAATCTCTTGTTTGTCCTGGAATGTGCTCCTCATAGCCCAAGCGAGTTGAGAAGGCTTTAAACAACATAAAATCAGTTCAGTAAAATACTTCTGTTAATCTATAACAATTAAAACATAACGATAGAGAAAATATTCTGTGTACTAAAACATAATAGGCCAAGCCAAATGTTTGCTTAAAATTAAGAGTTTTAAAAAGGGTAATTAAATGAAAGTGAATTTTATACCATTGTGAGTTGTGTGTGAAATGATTCCCAAACAAAAAAGGAAGAAAACTCAAATTACAAAAAAAAAATTGATCCTACTCAGAACTTAGCTTCAAGAAGTCTACTAACATTACATTATCTCAAAATGAGAACAATGTTGGTGGCACATACTACAAATAGTTCAAATCTAGCTCCCATGGTTAGAGTATCCTCCTTTTAAAATACTATGCACTGACCATCTTCAGCCCTTATGTAGTCCACCTGGTGATCAGCAGGTGGGGCCATCCATGCATAAACTTGGTAAGGAGTTGGCACTCTTTCAAAAGGATGCTTCTGACCTCGCTTTTTCAGCAGCATAGCAAAATTACGCTTGAAAGCCGGGCTTATCTGAGGGCGGTAAAAAGTTTTAAATTAATTAGATAAATCACATAAATACTTGTTAGCATGATTTACAACAACAAAACATTTTTCGAAGTTTCCAATATAAAGGTAATATTTAAATATTTCTTGGTCAAAATTACCTGATTAAGCAAGTCAATCAGGGAATGGGACAAGTACTTAGGCTGGGCAGCTTTTGGATTGAAGTCATCTTCTGTGGATCTGTGGGAAGGACAAACAGTTAGAGCATATATATAGCATTAACTGTCGGTTAATCTATACCACAAATTAATTCACATGGTATTGTCATTTTCTTGAAAATCTATTTGCAAATCTCATATGTTCTTTCAAGGTATAAATCACCATTACAAACTAATTCAAGTTTATGTAGGCACAGGCACTACCTTTCACCATTAATCTTTGAATATAAAACTGACTTTTGGGTTTATTGACTGACTGAGGGTTGACTTACTGGTTGAGATAGAAACCTTTTGTACAACCTGTGATGTGGTATCTTTTGTCTTCTAATGTTACAACATGGAGATACAGCAAATCACCTTAAATGAAAATTATTTCATTGGCTTAGGAAAAACAAAATATTTTTAAAATATGCAAATGGGAAAAGTCACACATGCTCTAAGTTATAAAATTTCACTTATAGCCCTTCTTGTTAATTGTTTATAAAAACATAAAAGCTGGATCCAAAGTACTCATTGACCGGAGGCATGGCTTGGACATTATTAGATGTATGAAGTTGTAGAGGGGCGGACATGGACTCAGAGCACATACTTGTAAGAATCAAAAATAAACAAAGAATTTGTAACATTCACAATGAACAAAATAAAAGAGAAGAACAGTAAAACAGCCAGAAATTAAGCAGAGACCCAAACATTACTGAGGGAATATCAACAGAAGATTGAAACACAACGAGACTTATCCAAAAGGGAATCAGCCAGCAACATTGATATAAACGAGCAATGGGAACAGATGAAGCAAGTGTAGCAGAGGAAACGATTGGATTTAAACCGATAGTGAAAAGAACAGGATGGTATGACGCAGAATGCTAAGAACTTATAGAACAAAGAAACAATGCTCAGCTAATGATGCTGCAAAGGGAAACAAGAAAGAATAGCTTCCAAGCAAGATCCCACATGTGTGAACGTTAGGATGGAGAATTGATCACAGAGAGCAGTAGAGTACAAGAGCGATGGGCACAACACTTTAAAGGCTTACTGAATGGCTCAGGTGGAGGAACCAATGAGTATTACGCTCTACCATAAGGAGGACCGGACCCACTGGTCAACCAACCAACATTAAATGAAATAAAAGATGTAATCTTCACCATGAAAAATAACAAAGACCCAGGAATAGACCTTATATCTGCAGAACTGGTGGTAACGAACTGCATCTGCAAATCCACGACCTCAAATCCAGAATCTGGCTGGATGAAGAAATGCCAACTGAATGGGACACAGCACTCATAATCCCAATTCACAAAAAAAGGATCTAAGTTGATCTGCTCAAACTATAGAGGTATCTCCCTTCTCAATGTCATGTACACAATCCTCACAAAACTTACAGCAAGAAAACTGGAAAAGTGTAGTGAACAAATCCTAGTGGACTATCAATGTGGATTCCGGCAGAATAGCTCAACCACGGATCATATTTTATTATAAGATGTCTCCTGGAGAATTGTAACGAATATAACAAAAACATATATCAACTATATGTGGATTACAAAACAGCATACGATAGCGTAGACAGGAATTACTAATACAACTCTCTACAAGCACTTGTAGTCCCTAACAAGCTTACTCTGCTCATACCTATGACAATGGCTAGCTCCAAAAGTAGAATCAAGGTGCAGGGAAAATATTCAAGGCAGTTCCCAGTTAATCGGGGCCTCAGAAAAGGAGACTCACTATCATGTATCCTGTTTAACATCATGCTAGAAAAAGTTATTAGAAGCATACACGTGAGCACCAGTGGAACCATAACAAGCTACTTCCAGAGAGGTAAAACTGAACAACCATCAGGAACCTTATAAATCCAGCCATTGTGGTACCTGGCATATGCAGATGATATAGCACTACTGGATAGAAACAGTAATGACATCATTAAAGCATTCAGGGAACTTGAAAATGCCTCATTCAAAGCTGGCCTTGATATAAATGAACTGAAGACAAAATCCCATGCTGATGATATCAATATAAACAACCACAAATTTGAGAGAGTGGCCACATTCAAATATCTAGGGGCAACTATAAATGAGCACAATGAGATAATGTCGGAGGTGAAAGAAAGGATAACACCAGGCAACCGTTCCTATTTCAGCCAGCAAAAGCTACTGGGAAGCAAAAACTTCTCAAGGGGAACAAAGAAGACAATATACACCACCATCATAAGCCCAGTAGTAACTTACGATAGTGAGACTACGACCCTTAGCAAAAAAGCAGAGAACCTTCTCAATACATGGAAGAGGAAAACCCTCAGAAAAAAATACGGCTCAGAGATGAAAAATTATATCTGGAGAATCCGTCCAAACCAAGAACTTTACCGATTGTACAAAGACCCACCAAGTTGCAACAACAAAAAAAGGCAGACCACGCTGGGCAGGACATATTGAAAGGATCCCGGAATGTAGAGCAGCAAAAGTGATAATAAGGCAGAAATCTACGGTCGCCCATGGCTGAGATGGATCCACGATTTAGAGAAGGATTTACACCAGTTCGGGGTTCGCGCATGGAGGCGGAAAGCCATGGATCGTTCCGAGTGGAAGGATGTGGTGGAGCAGGCCAGAGCCCTACAGGGGCTGCAGCACCACTGATGATGATGATGAATCCAAACTAAAATCAGCATGTCCCCGAACAAGCAAATCTGCAAACTTACCATGCATCCGTCTGTTGCCTGGAGGTGGATTCCAGCCACTGTAGGTCAACACTTTTAAACAACGAGAACCCTGTCATTTCAAAGAAAAGTTAAGTATGCAACACAACGTACCATATTTTGTAATAAAACAAACAAGTTATTTCCTTTTTGTTTTGAATAACCTTGAAAAGCTATAGTGAATAAAATCAATTTAAAAAAATGCTTTGACTGACCGTTCTATGTCCATAGCAATCTTTGACTGTAAGATACATTAAGACATCGTATAGGAAGGTATTCAGGAAGCACAATAATATCAAACTCATCCTAAAGAAAATGAATGAATAATGAGTAAGACAAAACAGCAATGAACCTTTGAATCTTTTATCCCCGGATGCAGAGGTAAGAGTGGCCTCTCCTTAGAGTTGGGAATGATGGCGTCAGGAGGAGTACAATCTATAGAGTCGGGCTTGTTGCGTTTTTTATCTGTAGCAAACAAGTAATAAATGTAAGTCAAATTGTGGAGAGAGGTAAGGCATGAGTTTGCATATTTTGGTTATAACTGATGAAACGAGTACAGTTTCTTTTTCAAATTTAAAAAAAGACATCATTAATTGTAAGAGTTTGGTTATAAAATTGTTATTTAAATGATATAACAAAACTTGGTTATAAAATTGTTATTTAAATGATATAACAAAACTTGGTTATAAAATTGTTATTTAAATGATATAACAAAACTTGGTTATAAAATTGTTATTTAAATGATATAACAAAACTTGGTTATAACATTATTATTTAAATGATATAACAAAACTTTTTTTTTTTAAATTAAAAATTACCCAGAATATCCCCAAGGGTGACAGTATTTAAGAAAGATAAAGATGCACAGTCAACACCATTATAAGCATCTGCTGGGTCAACAGACTTCATAAGATCACGTACATGGCGAACATGAATTCTAGCTTCCCGTACAGTATAAGGCTCTGAAAGATAAGCACTAAACAGTCAACCAAAATAGATAAATGGTCAATATATACAAACAGATCAAACTACAAATTAGTTCAATTTTATTGATTGACTTTTGCATAGTATTCTAAAACCATTCTTAAATCTATTGGTAGACTGGAAATAGTTTAAGACATCATGATCAACTTATTGGCACCTCACATACATATTGGAACTTTTCTACCATAGACAATCTAAAGCAATGTATATATAGAAACTTGAAATAACCTTTCTACTATTGACAATCTAAATCAATTCTTGTGCAACTAGGTTTAAGTCAAATTTTGGGCACCAGATATATTTCACCATTAGAAAATGCAAGCAGAATTTTAAAATACCTGTCCACCCTGTTGTATTTTCTTAAAGATAGAAAGCTGGTACCTTCAATAACCTTGACAAGAGATCCCTCTTTTAGACCCTCAATAGATTTCAGCTCTGAAAAGTTATCCATGGTGACACCTTCCAGTTGAAGAGAGAAACATGTCCGGTGGCAAGTGTCCTCTCTATCCATTAACACTTGATGGATTTCTTGTACCAATTCCATGGAGCTCACCTGTAAAACATAAATACAAAAATTTAATGACCAGGATTCTGTTAAGCTGATACAACTTTTCTTAACAGACAGCAATAATTTAATTTTTTAACTAAATACTCCTTGAAATAAAATATGTATCATTTATTTATTTTATTTATATGTGGCAATAAAACTGCCAAATGATAAAGCTGCTTACAGGTAGCTCAAAAGGTTCAAGGTTTGGGGCCGCAATCTGAATGTTAAAGCCACTATCTTGAATAAGAAGAACTTCCTTGTCCTTTTCTTCATCTTCAGCTTCTTTCTTTTCTTCTTTTTCTGAATCCTTATCTTTATCAGCTTCAGATGTATCACGGTCAAGAATAATGTCTTTCATCATTCCAGCTTTGAGAAATGTGTAAGTAAAAATACTTGTAATAAAATCAATAACCAGCACTGAATATAATACTAAATCAAAGACTCGGTTCCTCCTTTTGAACTTTTTTAACAGTAAAAAGTTCCATTCAAAATGCACTGATCTAAAAATTTCATTGCTATGAATGCAAAGACTGCTGAAATCAATATAGATTATTTAGAGCCCCATCTGTTTCCTTCAATGCACCATGCTGATTAATCCCTGTGACTGCCACTAACTAGCAAATGCTTTCTAGATTTGGCAAAAACAACATTTTATGGTACATTATATATCATTTGATGTCAAATTACATTAAACTATTTGTCCACTTTCAATGGTTTTATTCTATAGGCAGAGTAAAAATTAAAATTATTGTACTTAGTAAAGCATACTGCAAATTTAAAACATTTTTATCCTAATAAATTGGCTAACAAGTGAATTTATTCATAAAATAAAAAAATGTGGTAATTCCTTCAACCATCCAACTCCTTAAATGACTTTTTGTTGAGTAAATCTCTCTCTCAGGCAAGCAACTGAACAACTGAATTTCAACTCAAAATCTGATTATGCATACAAACAAGCAGTGACAAATTTACAATAATTCTAAATGTCCACAAATGGTCAGACCAAAATTATGACTGACACATTTTTAAAAGGTTCTTTAAAACTATTTAAAAAATTTAAAACGTAAGGCTATGACTTAATGTCACGTGTGTCAAGGCCATAAACTGTCCATATTTAATAATATTTATATAAACCTATACTAACTAGGGTTGGGGTGGTTTTATATATATATATAAAAGGATCTGCATTGTCCGTCCAAAGAAACAAAAATAAAAAGAGAAAATGCATAATTTTATGTCAAGTATTCTTTTTAAAGATAATTTTTTTTTTATCTAAGCACAACCACAAGTTAATTAAGTAAAATAATAAAATAGAGACACAGTGTACAAAGGTGAAGCTCTGTAACAATTTTTCTCTTTTTTTTGGTCTGGTTTTAGCGTCCTCTCCTACTTTCTTTTTTAGGAAGGATATGTATATTTGCATTATGTAAATTTAATTTATACTTATTTAAATTTTTTTTGTTTGTACTCATGAAGACATGCGCCGAAACATTTACTTGTGTATAATGTATAATTATTATTAAAGCGTAACTTATATTGTTATATTGACACAATTTGTTCGTGTCTTATTAATCTAACAATTGTAGACATCTTTAGAAATGTATCTATTCAATTTCACTGAGAGAGTAACTGGGGAGTGAAAAAGATATGACTTCAACGCCATGAACAATTATTACCAGCTTGCTTTGTTATATTAACTTCCATTACCAATGTCATTCATTACAATTGTTAGTGCACAGCAAATGATTCTTTTGTAATGAAATGAACAATACCATTGTAATGTCCAGCTTTTTAAAAATGTTAATGAAATGAAAAATGACTATGAAATTAAGAATTTTGTTTAGAACATTTATATTATATTGCAATAAGCTTTATTGCAATATGCTGAGAAACAAATAGGACAAAGTTAAATTGGAAAAAACACTTAAGAGTGTCGAGTGTGATAGTTTTATTTCTTGCTGTGGGCTTGGCTTTTAGTAAAGCCCTAATTATGTCTATAAATCGTGAAATAAAATGAAATTAAAGACTCTTCTATGCCTATAGCCCATTTATAATTTTTAGTCTAGTCGATAGGTCTAAGGCCTATTTTATTTGTATTTGAGTTTGATTAATTATAGGTACTTCACTAAGCGGCAATCTATTTTTTTGGATGTCGGAAACCAGACCATAAACCGATGACGGTCAATGCCGGTAGGTCACAGGGGGCTTAGTTTCCCTTTTCTACGTAAGGGAGAGACAATTAACTAATTATAGTCTGTTTTGTGCACACGAGGAGGACGATCATTACAACAGAAACCTTTTAACCAGACTTACATCGCTTGTAGCAGATATCTTTCATTGGGAAAACAGGTAAGTTTGCTAGCATTATATTTCGGAAACCATAACAGTATTCCAATTAATTCTTTTTGTATTGTAAGTAAGAACCATTTAACTAATTGAAACAAGAAACATAATGACATTTAGATACGAATTAAATTGTATAGACAGGGCATCAATTTGAGCATAATTTGTAACCAGTTATCGATTAGGTCAAATGAACCGGAAGTGATAACCATTCTGTAATTATTATTCTTATTACATAAGAATAATTTAAAATATTTATAAATCTTTTTTTTTTAAAAGCAATCCAGTTCATTTTTTTTATTAAACTTTTTTTAATTCCATGACTGAAAACAACTTTATAAATATTTTATGAAATTTCATTATTATTTTCTTTTAAATAATAAAATTTACATCCATGATAACCATGTCAAAACTATATCTATATCAACTTGTAATTTAAATCTATGTTGTAATTATAATAACTATAAAACTTCACAACCGTGAATTATATTTTTGGGGAATTAAATAATGCCTTTAATGATATAATTTATCTTAAACTCAGATTAGATATGGTAAACAATGAATAGTAGTAGTCTGCTCTGCAGTTACTAAACGTCATCTATTTTGATTAAGTTTCATTATTTTATTTACCTTTGTCTTCTAAATAACCTATCTCTCTTTTTTCATTTTCCTTTTGTATATCCTATTTAAAAATATGTACATTCCTTTCTTGCCTCTAAACTTTACTGCTTTAGCTCAAAGCTATTACTATTATATTTTAATTTTTAAGCTTAGTCCAATCTTTCATTCTGGTCATTGAATAACTTTATTTTTAAAGCTAGAAGTTTGTATATGAAATATGGGGTAAACATTTCTTAAATGTCTCTGCATTTTATTTATTTTAAATATAAAGCCATGTCACCACCACTTTTTGGAGGAGTTGTGCTTCTAGTACTAGTAGTACCTAAGATTCATGCCTGTCCATTCCAGTTGATACACGAGCTGTCACGGGGACTCATCAAGACTAGCAGACTTTTTTTATATAATTAAATTTATATCCGATAATGTTCCCTAATGGCTATGTAATACAAACTACTTGACTTAATCCGTATGACAACAATGTGAAAACATCACAATATATCTAGACAGCATAAGTAAAATCACCATCCATTGTCTTAATAAATAATTTTATAACAAAATTATCACACTGAAATACACAATATTAAATTAAATATATATATATATATATATATATATATAAATTAAATATAGAAGGTATCTTTTGTTACTTATGTTAAAATGCTTCTTTTGTGTTTTAAAACTTTTCTAGATACTTCTCTGGAATATGGCCTCTACTGCCAAATGTGTTGGTGTGAACAAATTCACTTAAATACTACCAGTCTTTCCTGTTGTAACAAAAACCTATCATGTTTGACTGCATGTCCAACTGGACAATCCCCCACAATCTGGACCACCAGTACCAGAGCATAATCTTAACAGCTATTGATATTTTTCATCAACTGCATTTATTTGGCAATTTATACACTCAGGACTCAAATTTATCATCCTGATGGGTGGAAGCAACAAGATTGACACAAAGGAAACCATTTTCGGAAGGCCATTCATTACCAATACACTCAGGACTCCACTCATCTGTGTCATAAACTGAACATTACCAATGATATCTATAACTGTTACAAATTTGATCAAGATTGCCATGGACTCGGCCAACACATTACTTTTGACCATCTTTCTATGAAAGACAATGTATCTCTTTTGTTCACCCGTTCATTGAACTACCTGGTATACTAATATAATGTTAAGTGATCAACATTTGTACTGTGGATTTCTAATAGCATGGATACTTGGATTATCAATTTCATTGACTGGATGATTGAATTTAAAATTTGTGATCAACATATTTTAAATGCAACTTATACATAATTTTATAAATCTTTTCTGTGGAATTATTCACAGTATTGATATTAATTCACTAGATGATTGTATGGATTAACTCATTAAGCTGAAAGGCTAAATTTTAAAATTAAATTTACTCACTCTCTCTTGATCAAATGCCACTGACTTAATTCATTTATTGGTTTATTAATATTAAAATGGCTTATTATAACAGCCCACTACCTAATCAAAACTGAAAATTTGAAGGCTTTAACTGTACAAGTCAAAGAGTTATGATATTTTGAGTGTCGAAAACATCTAATTTTTTAAAGAGATTTACTTACCCTCTGTCATTCAAATACCACTCAATAATACATAAGTTAAAATATTAATATTAAAATGGCCTATCATAAAATCCTAATACCTAATTAAACTGTGCTGAAAATTTGAGAAAGCTTTAACTTTACAGGTAAAAAGTTATGGCATTTTGAGCATTGAGAACATTTCTAATGAGATTTATTTACACTCTGTTGTTCAAATCCTGTGCATTAATATATTTATTGTAGCAATTGCATCACAATGATATATTATTAAAGACCAATACTTAATTGAAGTGTGCTGCAAATTTCAGAGCTTTAAATTTGCTGACTAAAATGTCTAAAAATTTAACGCATTTTGATTGTCAAAGATGTCCCTTTTTAAATCACAAAATTTTTGGAAATTATTCACTAAGGAAAAATTCTGACACTAAAAATGCGATAACTTTTTTTCTAATAAATATAGAAAAATAAACTTGGTATCAATGAAAAGGAAATACTGTGTTCTTTCAAATGATATAAATTTCATTAATATATAACAACTTTGAAATTTTTAGTTAAGTACCTATTAGGCCAATAGATGTAATAAGAAAAGTCAATCTACTTTAAATACTTTAATTTTAATCCACAACCAAGCATATTCTGACCATATTCTATAAAATAATAAATTATGCCTTTTAAAATCTGTATATTTAATTAGACTTATAAAAAGAACCTGTGTAAGTTTATCAAGAAACCACATCAAATACATAGAAGTAATTTCCATGTGCTCTTAAAGTCCAAAGGTCACACAGTGACCCCACAACCTTCAAATGAGGTCAAACAAAGATTACAACAGAAATGCTAAGTTCTTGTTAGTCCTGGCTCACATGCTGGGTTTTACAGTTTTTATAATTTATTTTTGATTTCAGACTATTCAGATTTGTTTAATGTGTACATTTAGGCAGAAAATAAAATATGTATATGCCATTATATTGATCAAAATGAGGTCCGATGCATTTAACAGCTGATTGAAAATGAAAGCCAAACCCACTTATGTAAACACCAGTCACAGTGATTTCCTAAAGTCAGTAGTGTAATTAAATGCCAGAGGGTATAGGGGTTGGCGACCTTAACTTTATTCACTTGGTTGAATAATAATTTAAACAAAAATAAAAAGACCTGGGCCCTATTAATTAAACTTTTATTTAATTTTATCCAGACAAATGGACTATGACTGTGACAATCTCGTCTACTTATCCTATGTCGTTTGATTAAATAGGGCATGGTAACGAGTAGTATTAGCATCTCACGTAGCCTCAAATTAAAAAGGAAAGATGATTTTGATTTTGCAACTCCAACTTTTTTGCTCTTTTTTAAAATTGAATTTAAATTTAATGATGTGTTTATAATTATACAAACAAAAACAAAATTACCGTGTCCGTTGGTTAAACCAGTATCCAAGTGAGGACCATCGCCGTTCGTCATACAGCAGTCTTTCGGCGTAACTTTATTTGATGAGCCATCGTGTTTTTGACCATTTTCTTGGTGATCTTCCGTTGCAGTTTTTCCAGCCATAGCGCCGGCCGATAAAATTAACACTGAACTGACTGAACTGTACTGCTTGGGCTTTTGGACGGTAACGACTGAATGTGAAACGTTAAGCACGTGTGTAAGATGCAAGTGTTATTTAACCTATCTATGAAGGTCGAATTTTAACACGCAGGTAGTCAACTACATCAAATAGCACTTAAAACACATAAATTGAGCTCGAAAGCAACTTTCCACCAGCAGAAATTACCAAGACATCTTTTAATCCAATTGTTTTTCGTAAATTGCGTGTTCATACAGTGACCTGACGTTGTCTTTGAGAGTAGGGCTAAGGTCATTCGCATATAAAACAGCAAAAATATAGTAAAGTAAAAATAATAACTCAACCGCGTATCAAAAAATCAAATATGTTGAAAAATATTTTAGACAAGCCGTAAAGACTAGGAAAGAGCAATTTAAAAAAATATATTAATTGATTTTTGACTATCACAATTCTTAAGTATTTTATATACTAATATACTTATATTAATATTTTTATTTAATATACTAATAATAATAATAACAAAACAAAACTGTGCCTTTGAAAATGGATTCAATATTATAATATAATTTATATCATTTATATGTGAGATAATCTCATTCTTCTCCGGGATATGCGTATGACATTTCCATTATTACGATCAATTAAAATAATCCATGACTTTCCATCAAGAGAAAGTAGTCTTTTTTAAAAGAATAATGACAGTATAATTTGTTTACTTTTTGTCGATTCTTTTTACACAGGTTTTAATTTTATATATTTTTCTTCGGGTATTTCCGAACTCCCATCCACTTAATCACATGATTTTAAAATGGCTTTTAGAAACAAGACACCCTCCTTTCGGTTTTATACTTCACATATTTCAATTAATTCACTTGCTTCGTTTGTTATTGTTTAAAGCTAGGCTAACCTATATAATTAACTAAGCCTAATCTAAGTTAAATCATCTTATTTTACATAATAAGTTATGATAAAAACATTTGCCTTAAATATATAATTAATTGTAATTAGTAAAATTAATATGTAACAATGAACAATGTTAGTCAATGCATTTTAATTTTAAATTGTTGATGACAATATCAATATCTCAATAACAGATAATTTTAATTTAAGTCAAGTATATTAATTTAAGTTTTAACTAGCCTATATGCGGACTATGACTCTACATTATTTATATACTATACGTTGCCTAAATAATGATGGTGATGGCAATGATAGCAATATTATATAAATAGGAATTATATTGTTACCATCATCTACTATTCACATCTACTACTACTACTTCTATCAATCGAATCATTAATAATAGTATAGAAATAGTCCTAGTATAAGTTAGTTCATTGAGATTGAGATCTTTGAATTTGAGAGTAGTTTTACTGGCTACTGTTCAATATTTATTTAATTTTAATTACCTGAACTGAAATGACATTAGTGTAATAAAATACCATGTTAATTACTACACTACATAGACATAGATATGATAGTAATTAATGGCAATTAAAAGAACTCAGGATTTTTTCCGAGTATGCCCTTGCCCTAAGTAGCCATAGACACATATTATAAGACCTAACAATCATTTAACTTTACAAAATTAAAAAAATTCAAAATCATAATGTGACTGTGACCATAATAAAAATCACATGTATATTAGGTAATTAACTTATTTTATTTACAAATCAACAGTCATGAGGGTCATATGTTTTTTATATATAATCATAAGAAGAAAACAGAAGAAGATGATCCAAAAGATGCCATATTGTATTTCTATCCCCGTTCAGTAAGTTTGTTATGGCAGATTTCTTTCTGATTTATTTTAACAACTAAATATGTATAGACCATTTTATCACATATTTAAATTTACTTTTAGAAAATTGAAATCCCCAATGAAATAAATTTTCTTTCATCAAGTTTCACAATAAACCTTGACATAGTTTAATTTTCAATGTGCCAAGTCAAATTTTCCATAATACCATCTATGGGTAATATGTAAGGCTAAAACATATTTTAACAATGCCATGTTTTTTAAACAAAATTGAAATTTTGACCAGGTATCTGTAGACGATCAAGTTGCTTTGGTAGGAGGAATTATTGGCCTTGCTGATTTCTGTCAAGAGTTCCTTCCTGAATGTATACCTAGCATTGTCAAGCTAGCTGGACACAACTTTGCTTTACTACAGCATGAAGAGTATATTATTGTAAGTTACTTGCTTTATTTGTTCCCAAATTCTTTAGTGATAAAATTATGTTGATTGAAATCTATTTGGTTCTATAAGGAATTGGAAAAAAAACTTCTCATTTTATTTTTAGGGTCTTGCCGACAGCCCAGATGTACCTGACAGGTTTCTCACATCACACATGAACTTTGTTTGGTCAACATTTATGTTTTACCAGGGAAGTCTGGAATCTCTTAGAGAGGTATTTTTTTTAGAATTGTATCATTGTTATCAACCAAGGGTAGGACATACAAAGCATAATTTATCATGAATATTGTACATAGCAAGGATGGCTGAAGTGAGCTTGCAAAATTTGCAAAATATTTATTATCAATATTTTCTAATCTATCTGCCAATGTATTATTTCATGGGTTTTTAAGTATTTGGAGGATTGTTAAGTGGTTGTTCACCTCTGTCAAGAAGGTGTTATATTATAGAAATGCCTATTAATAGTATAATACATCTTAGAAGTTTTAATATTCTATAACATCCTGATGATGAAATCTGTTATCCTAACGATGAAATCTGTTTTCCTAACGATGAAATCTGTTTATATAATAATGTCTGTTATCCTAATTCCTAGCGAGTGTGTGACAACAATTTTTTGAAGGAATTAAGCCGCATCTGGGATATGTACCTGCCACTTTGTCAGATCCATGGCGACATACTTTCTCAAGCTTTTCATGTCCTTCCATATGTTCAGCTCCACAAAGTTGGTGACTTTAAAAACATTATTTTTGTGTCCATTTGCATTTATGTGGAACTGCTCATTATTTACTTACATATTCAAATCGACATGAGCATTGTCTAGACCAGTTGTTCTCAACCTGTGAGTCACAGCCCCTTTGAGGGTCAAATGACCCTAAGAGAGGGGCCGGGCCGTCTCTAAGACTATCGGGAAAACACATTTTTATGAAGTATCAACAAAATAATTTTATGGCTGGGGCTCACCACAATATGAAGAATTGTATTAAAGGGTCACAGCATTAGGAAGGCAGAGAACCACTGGTCTAGATCAATATCTTTTTAGGAACTGTTACCATATCCTAAAAAGTTTAAATTTTCTAGGCATAGATATCATTTTGTAGAAAATTTTTATCTAACAAATATTTCACAAGCTAAATACTACATTAATACAAGTTTAAATGTATAAATCTAATGAGTAAATGAAACGAGTGGGCAGCTCAATAGGACTAGTAAGAGTGTTGAAAAAGTTGCATTTGTTTGTTGTACGTGTTGATTCCTCATGATCTGTGTGGTTTGATGAAATGTGCTAGAAGTCTTGAACTGATGAGCTTTACTTGCAGTGCCAAGGCAGCTTGTTTCTCCATGCCTCACACATTCTGCAGAGAAGCTTGAGACATAAAGGTGTCATTGCTGGGGCCCTATTCAACAAAAATAAGTAAGATCTGTACGCAGGGAGACTCAACTCATTTTAATTTGTTGTTTAAGTCAAAAGTTTAGTACGATTTCTCACAAAATTACAAACAAATGACAAAATCCTTAAAAAGCTTGTATTGTAACCTCATGTAATAGTGACCATGACTGACATGCTTATGATGTAACCTTGTATAACTTGTTACTATCTGTCAGAGTTCTGTGCTCACAACTCAGCAATACTTTGACCAGGCAACTGCTGCTGCTGATGTCCCCTAGTCAGGTGAGAACTGTGTATATCCTCTACTCAGGTAAGAATTGTTTATGTCAGGTAAGGTTATAAACTGTCCAGAGATGCACAACTCTCTGCTTTGATCAAATATCCTTATTAAAGTAAAGCAAAAAATGATTAATATTATCAAAACTTTCCTCGTTTTTCAGTTTCCTTGTGTGGAAGCCAACTCATGTGAGTCAACCTTAATCTAATGTTCAATAGAAATATCAAGTGGTTTATGCTCTTCTGTTAAGTGTCATTATCAGTTCTTCAGCTGTCTGGGGATATAGAATTGCTGTATGTATATTTATTTCAGTTCTTGAGCTGTCTGGGGGTGTGAGGTTGCTGTATATTTATATTGTTAATTTATTTTAGTTCTTCAGCTGTCAGGGAATGTGAGGTTGCGGCATATTTATAATTTGTATTGTTAATTTATTTCAGTTCTTGAGCTGCCTGGAGGTGTGAGGTTGCTGTATATCTATTTATCTGTAGAGGAGTCGACTCAGCTAGGACATAAGAGAAGCAAAGTTTATGGCAAAAAGGAGCAAAGCCAACTAGTCAGTTCTCATGTTCCCATAGGTGGAGACTTAAAGACTGGCAGCCAACACATCCGTCCTGCTGCATTCTCCTCTGACACCAGCAGTGGCTCTGAAATACCCAGAGGAGGGCGGACACTGTCATTCAACAGGAACTTGGAGCTCTCCAAGCCACTGTCCCCAACGGCAACCATTGCATCTGGCACTGACTCTGAAGTTTTCTTGGACACGTTGTCTGAATTGAACTTTGATAGTGGCCAGCAGATCAAGCTTGGGGACATCAAAGAAGTGGAGTGTAGACCAAGCAGATTACTTTCTCCTTCATCAAGTGGAAAATCCGCTTCAGATTTACTGCCTTCAAGTACAAAATGGCAGCAAGCTAGCAAACAAGATGATGATACAGAAGTGGAGACAGAGCAAAACAAGATGGTGGGTCTGATATCCTCAGAAATTAATTTGTCCCTTAGTGAAGATGTCGGCCTAAGGGATGACGTCCAAGCCACGAGTCTTAGTAAGGCAAGCATAAGTCCATCTGTGGTCGGCAGCTATTCTGCAACTGCTAGCCTCCCTTGTGATACAACACTTAATAAGGCAAGCATAAGTCCATCTGTGGTCGGCAGCTATTCTGCAACTGGTAGCCTCCCTTGTGATACAACACTTGTAGAAACAAACTCAAGACAGGATCTTCCAACTGTGACCAATGAAGCAGATATCGACAGATCTGACTTGAGCCAAGCTACAACAGTGTGTGCATTCTCTACCGCTTCTTGTCCTATTGAGTTGAACACTGAAAGTCTGTCCAGAGATGAGGCAACAATTATAAGTCAACAACAGCTCACTTCTTTTGGGGAGGAGTGCAACCTGCAGCTCAACAAAGGACTGAACAATCCTGTCATAGAGTTAGCACACAATCCTGTCACAGAGTTAGCACAAAATCCTGTCAAAGGGTTAGCACACAATTCTGTCACAGAGTTAGCACACAATCCTGTCACTGACGTATCTGACTGTACTGTTGTAGAGCTACCTCACAATCCTTTAATAGATGAATCAAACAATCCTGTTACTGATGAATCCAGTAATCCTGTTGCTGATTTCTCCAACAATCCTCTCGCAGAATTACCCAACAATCCTGTCACAGAAGTATCAAACAAGCCTGTCACAGAAATATCCAACAATCCTGTCACTGATGTACCGGTATCCAGTAACCCTGTTGCTGATGTCTCCAACGATCCTGTCACAGAAGTATCCAACAAGCATGTCACAGAATTATCCAACAATCCTGTTGCTGATATTTCCAACAATCATGTTGCTGATGTATCCAACAATCTTGTTGCTGATGTCCCTAAGACTTCAGACACCAACCAGCTATCCAATCAAGACTGCAATGAAGAAAAGGAAAAAACCAATTTAAGACAGACTCTGATGAGAAGCAAGGAGGATATTGATGCCTCCCTGGAGGTATGTTTCAGTGGGGAGGATTCCTCCACACCCTCATCATCCACACAATCCGGGCCTGAACCAAAGTTCAGTGATCCACGAGGATCCATGGGTTCCTTGGATTGTGCTGAGATGAGTGCTGACAAAGATCGCCTGACATTTGAACTAGCTGAGAGTGAAAATTCTGGATGTGGATTGATGTCCCCTTTATCTGGTAACCTGTCGCCAGTGGCTGAACTGAGCAGTCTGTCTGCTGATGATGTCAGGGTCAAATCTGGATTGGCCCTTGAAAGTGAAGTTCGCACGAGTACGGAGTCTGGCAATAGAAGCACACATTCACTTTCAGACGCGTCAAGCTCTAAGAATTTAATAACCAAGTCCATACTTCAAAGGAGTGGCCTTGAGGAAATGACATTGTATGCCCAAGGTCATTCAGACACACTTCTAGTACTGTTTCTGTCCCGCAACACAAAGTCTGGGAAGTCTTACATTAATTCTCTGGTGAGTAATACAATCTTTTTTACTAAACCCTCTGTTAGAGAGTAAAGCACTCTCCTGCTCTGATAAGTACAATGGATAGCCAAAAACGTTTTGCTAAATTATCTGCTAAAAATGGAATATTTGTTAATTATTGTTTGAATTATTTCTATCTTAACTAGACATTTGTTTTCAACTTTATTATTTTATTTTTGAAAAGTGGAAAAATTGCCTTCCGCACTTGGCAGAATTAGATTTTGAGGTCAAGGATGCTGAGCGCCATGTTAAAGATGACAATGAGGTGAGTATGTCATAAACTATGTGAGCATGTCATAAACTATGTGAGCATGTCATAAACTATGTGAGCATGTCATAAACTATGTGAGCACGTCATAAACTATGTTCGGAGCTTTGAAAGTAAACAAAATCTGCGAGACAAAGAGAGACATTTTCTGGAAGATCGGACTTTGGTAATAATTCAGTTTTTCTTCAAGTCCCCAACCATCATTAGTATTATACATGTACTGTAGATATTTTTTTTATTTCAGAATATTGGATGTGCATCTCAGTATATGCGCTATGACTCTTTTACTCAAAGTTTGAAAGGTAAAAATTATAAAATAGGAAAAGTTTAAAGAGGATAAAAAGATTTAACACCGGAAAATAACTTGACTGATAAATATGTCCAGTACAAATTTCAGACAGCCATTTTCGTTGCCTGCGATCTAATGCTTGTTTTCACTGCAGGGTCAGCCCTTCTACCTGTGACGAGTTTGGCCAATGAAATTGTTGATTCTAGTGTCAGGATGCACCAATGTTTCACCAGCATGCCCCAGTTACAAGACATCACCTACAGGTACCGGGAACTAATTCTGTTAATGACCTAAGATTTTTAGTTTTTAAAAAAAACGTTCAGTCCAGTTTCCTTTAAAAGTTTAGATCTACTTTTGTCTCAGTCTTGTCATTTTGAAATGTCTTTTTAGACTTGTTCAATATAATCAATACTTTCCTATGTTTAGACTTGTTCAATATATCAATACTTTTGTATGTTTAGACTTGTTCAATATATAAATACTTTTGTATATTTAGACTTGTTCAGTATATCAATACTTTTGTATATTTAGACTTGTTCAATATATCAATACTTTTGTATATTTAGACTTGTTCAGTTTATCAATACTTTTGTATGTTTAGACTTGTTCAGTATATAAATACTTTTGTATATTTAGACTTGTTCAGTTTATCAATACTTTTGTATATTTAGACTTGTTCAGTTTATCAATACTTTTGTATATTTAGACTTGTTCAGTTTATCAATACTTTTGTATGTTTAGACTTGTTCAGTATATCAATACTTTTGTATATTTAGACTTGTTCAGTTTATCAATACTTTTGTATATTTAGACTTGTTCAGTTTATCAATACTTTTGTATGTTTAGACTTGTTCAGTATATCAATACTTTTGTATATTTAGACTTGTTCAGTTTATCAATACTTTTGTATGTTTAGACTTGTTCAGTATATCAATACTTTTGTATATTTAGACTTGTTCAGTATATCAATACTTTTGTATATTTAGACTTGTTCAGTTTATCAATACTTTTGTATGTTTAGACTTCTTCAATATATCAATACTTTTGTATATTTAGACTTGTTCAGTTTATCAATACTTTTGTATATTTAGACTTGTTCAGTTTATCAATACTTTTGTATGTTTAGACTTGTTCAGTATATCAATACTTTTGTATATTTAGACTTGTTCAGTTTATCAATACTTTTGTATATTTAGACTTGTTCAGTTTATCAATACTTTTGTATGTTTAGACTTCTTCAATATATCAATACTTTCCTATGTTTAGACTTGTTCAATATATAAATACTTTTGTATGTTTAGACTTCTTCAATATATCAATACTTTGCTATGTTTAGACTTACTACAGGCCAAGCTGGGATTTCTTTAATAATAAATAATAAAGAAAATAGTTTAATTCTATCCCACAGGTCTCACTCAGCTTGTTGCTATGGCCACAAAACCGTCAATTCTGAGACATTCTTTCAAATTGGCTTGACCAAATCTGCAAGTATCTACGATGATAAGACTTTTAAACTGGATCAAATTGCCCAGAAGGAGTTGTTGAAAGATAGAAAGATTTGTATGCTATGAAGGGATTGTTGAAAGATGGAAAGATTTGTATGCTACGAATGAGTTGTTGAAAGATAGAAAGATTTGTATGCTATGAAGGGATTGTTGAAAGATAGAAAGATTTGTATGCTACGAATGAGTTGTTGAAAGATAGAAAGATTTGTATGCTACGAATGAGTTGTTGAAAGATAGAAAGATTTGTATGCTACGAATGAGTTGTTGAAAGATAGAAAGATTTGTATGCTATGAAGGGATTGTTGAAAGATTTGTATGCTACGAATGAGTTGTTGAAAGATAGAAAGATTTGTATGCTACGAATGAGTTGTTGAAAGATAGAAAGATTTGTATGCTACGAAGGGGTTGTTGAAAGATAGAAAGATTTGTATGCTACGAAGGGGTTGTTGAAAGATAGAAAGATTTGTATGCTACGAATGAGTTGTTGAAAGATAGAAAGATTTGTATGCTACGAAGGGGTTGTTGAAAGATAGAAAGATTTGTATGCTACGAATGAGTTGTTGAAAGATAGAAAGATTTGTATGCTATGAAGGGATTGTTGAAAGATAGAAAGATTTGTATGCTACGAATGAGTTGTTGAAAGATAGAAAGATTTGTATGCTACGAATGAGTTGTTGAAAGATAGAAAGATTTGTATGCTACGAATGAGTTGTTGAAAGATAGAAAGATTTGTATGCTATGAAGGGATTGTTGAAAGATTTGTATGCTACGAATGAGTTGTTGAAAGATAGAAAGATTTGTATGCTACGAATGAGTTGTTGAAAGATAGAAAGATTTGTATGCTACGAAGGGGTTGTTGAAAGATAGAAAGATTTGTATGCTACGAAGGGGTTGTTGAAAGATAGAAAGATTTGTATGCTACGAATGAGTTGTTGAAAGATAGAAAGATTTGTATGCTACGAAGGGGTTGTTGAAAGATAGAAAGATTTGTATGCTATGAATGAGTTGTTGAAAGATAGAAAGATTTGTATGCTACGAAGGGGTTGTTGAAAGATAGAAAGATTTGTATGCTACGAATGAGTTGTTGAAAGTGAAGTACCATTGCTTATGAAATAGTGGTAAAAATTTGAATTAGTGAATTTATTTTATTTACATAAGTCCTAAACAAACAAACATTCATTGATTTGTAAGACTGTTCCTTTGATTTGTATCACTCATTGATTTGTATCACTCATTGATTTGTATCACTCATTGATTTGTATGACTGATCCTTTGATTTGTATCACTCATTGATTTGTATGACTGATCCTTTGATTTGTATCACTCATTGATTTGTATGACTGTTCCTTTGATTTGTATCACTCATTGATTTGTATCACTCATTGATTTGTATGACTGATCCTTTGATTTGTATCACTCATTGATTTGTATGACTGATCCTTTTATTTGTATCACTCATTGATTTGTATGACTGATCCTTTGATTTGTATGACTGATCCTTTGATTTGTATGACTGTTCCTTTGATTTGTATGACTGATCCTTTGATTTGTATGACTGTTCCTTTGATTTGTATGACTGATCCTTTGATTTGTATGACTGTTCCTTTGATTTGTATGACTGATCCTTTGATTTGTATGACTGATCCTTTGATTTGTATGACTGTTCCTTTGATTTGTATGACTGATCCTTTGATTTGTATGACTGTTCCTTTGATTTGTATGACTGATCCTTTGATTTGTATGACTGATCCTTTGATTTGTATGACTGTTCCTTTGATTTGTATGACTGATCCTTTGATTTGTATGACTGTTCCTTTGATTTGTATGACTGATCCTTTGATTTGTATGACTGATCCTTTGATTTGTATGACTGTTCCTTTGATTTGTATGACTGATCCTTTGATTTGTATGACTGTTCCTTTGATTTGTATGACTGATCCTTTGATTTGTATGACTGTTCCTTTGATTTGTATGACTGTTCCTTTGATTTGTATGACTGTTCCTTTGATTTGTATGACTGTTCCTTTGATTTGTATGACTGATCCTTTGATTTGTATGACTGATCCTTTGATTTGTATGACTGATCCTTTGATTTGTATGACTGTTCCTTTGATTTGTATGACTGATCCTTTGATTTGTATGACTGATCCTTTGATTTGTATGACTGTTCCTTTGATTTGTGTGACTGATCCTTTGATTTGTATGACTGATCCTTTGATTTGTATGACTGATCCTTTGATTCGTATGACTGACTGACTTTTACCTCTGCACCTTTGAATTGGACCTTTGATTTTGCTGTTATATTCCTGATGCTGTGAGGTACAGGGCACACATGAAATCAATGCACAAAATGAACTTTGCTTTGCGATAAAACTTAAGCCTGTACCAACATACCTGGGGCTTAAATTTATATGTGCCACTGCCAAGAAGACTTCAACAAATATATCAATATTTCAAGAATGTCATTTTCTCTTTTGAGTCATTCTTGACAGTCAGTCAGTCATCCTGCCAAACTATGGTTGCAATGTAAAAAAATCATTTCACAACCATTTTTTTATTCCATTTGCTAGTATTTATTAGTGTGACCTATTAACTCTGTCATTTGCCCATTCTATGCTCTTGCAGAAAATTGTTTAGGACCTCTGAATTTTTCTTTGTGATATTTTGTTAACAATTGGCGGTTTGTTGAAATGTATTATTTCATATTTTGAATATTAAAAATCAGACCTGAAATTCTCATAGTTTGGCTGTCATCTCTGTTGTTGCATGAAAGAAATATTTTCTTGCAAGTGATTTTTAACAAAAAGATTTCAGGCTTATGACAGAAGTAAACAGCAACAAAACCTTTGATTGTTTCCACATAAGATTTTTTATTGTAACAGTAAGCTGAGACTGAGATACAAATGTGGACAAAAGTTTGAGGAGATTGTACTTATTAAACACTGTTTGCTGTTCTACTGACTCAACCACCAAGGGCTAGGCACAATCACTGGGTGCAAAAAAAAAAGAGATAAATTATGCATCAAAATGTTTATTTTTTACTACATATATTTCGGAATAGGTACATGAAAAATTAAACCACACCATTAGACTAAGCTCTAGGATCTGTGTCACACATTTAGACTAAGCTCTAGGATCTGTGTCACACATTTAGACAGCTCTAGGATCTGTGTCACACATTTAGACTAAGCTCTAGGATCTGTGTCACACATTTAGACTAAGCTCTAGAATCTGTGTCACACATTTAGACTAAGCTCTAGGATCTGTGTCACACATTTAGACTAAGCTCTAGGATCTGTCACACATTTAGACTAAGCTCTAGGATCTGTGTCACACATTTAGACTGTGGCAGAAATTTTGGCTTACTTAGAGATGTCAAAATACAATTAACTACCGGTACAAAACAATCAGAGTCCTAGAGAAAATATAATTTTAAAAAAGATTTTCAACCATAATCAACATTAACTATTAGAATCAATGAGACAAAAAGTATGCTGGTTTACCATTGGGTCCAAGCTATCCCCTACTTGTATTTTTAGGTCTCAGCTATCCCCTACTTGTATTATTACATCTCAGCTATCCCCTACTTGTATTATTACATCTCAGCTATCCCCTACTTGTATTATTACATCTCAGCTATCCCCTACTTGTATTATTACATCTCAGCTATCCCCTACTTGTATTTTTAGGTCTAAGCTTTCACCTAATTGTACCGTTGGGTCCAAGCTATCCCCTACTTGTATTTTTAGGTCTAAGCTTTCACCTAATTGTACCGTTGGGTCCAAGCTATCCCCTACTTGTATTTTTAGGTCCAAGCTTTCACCTAATTGTACCGTTGGGTCCAAGCTATCCCCTACTTGTATTTTTAGGTCTCAGTTATCATCTGAACAGGGAAAGTGAATTAGCTTCTTTTATAACACATTTATAATTGAAGCTGTGCAAGAACAATAACAAGATCACTGGGCCAATCACAAATGTTCTTTTCCAACTAATCTACTAATGAGACACACAGTGCTCACTATACAATAGTTGTACCTATTAAACACTATCAATATCAGGAGGACAGAATTTACCACAAATGATAGAGTTGATCACAGAGTGGAACACATTTTTTTAAAAATAATTGTAAAAACACATTTTTTAAAATGTAAATCTTGTCATTTATTCTATGGAAGGTAAATAAACAAATGAAACTAGTGGACATGGGAGGAAATCAAAAATGTTAAAATACTATTTCATGTTCACACACAAGAGTTGTGGGTCTTAAATTATTGCTTATATTTACATGCTCTACCAAAGATAAAATGTTGCATTAGTCAAAACTGAAGACAAAAAAAGAAAAAATAGGTAAAATTTCTAATGAAATGCAGGGATTGCAGGGACACTAATTGTAGTAGTGTTTGGGTAGAAGAAGACATTGTCTTGCTGAAATTTGACAGAAGGCAAAAGTCATTTCAGAAAAAATACTATTAATAATTTTATGGTGATGAAGGTATCAGGTAAATATAGTTGAAATATAACAAGTATTTTACACATGGCAGCAATGGTCATTATTTACAAATGTGTATGGGATCACATTACATGCATGGTCTTCAAATTCTGATTTTTACCTTGGACGAGAAAGGTAGATATGTTTGTCATTAAAGTTTAGAGAATAAAAATTTAATGTAAATGATATTATATAAAAATAAAAACTTACAAGATCAAGAAGTTAAAAAAAACGATATCTTCAAAATCCTGCAACACTGCAAGTAGATTTCTGTTTCAAAAAGTCTAATCTTTTTGTTTCATGTTTACTTTAACTTAACAATAACATGGGTCAGCTCCAACAAACATGTTACTTTAACTTAACAATAACATGGGTCAGCTCCAACAAACATGTTAACATGATACCAACAAAATAAAATCTCAAATAAATACAATGCCTAAAAATATCCCCTAAAAAATGCTTAAAAAATATAATGCATTACCAAACCAAGGATTTCATTTGATGTAACATTGGATTGCAAAGGAAAGTATCAATAGAATTGTTGAACGTTTAAATAGCTAAGTGATAATCTTCAACATGTTTCGCTACTGACAATAACATAGCACAGGTTTGTATCAGTCTGATTCAGCAGCTAACTGCATCAGTTATAATGGATTTAAGCCATGCTTGTGACAATAGTTGATCTGCAAGATAGAAAACAAGTTTATGTAGGTCAAAGAAGCCAGACTTTAGTTAGCAATGTTCCCTTTAATTTTTTTCTAGTTTCTGTCAGTAAATTTTTGGTGTTGTGCAAAGTTTTGATGTTGTGCAAAGTTTTGCAAAGAAATTTTTTATTGTGTGTAATGTGCGATAAGCATTAGACAAGAAAACAAGTTACACATTTGAGTGCAAGACCTTTTTCAGCCGGGCGCACCTTTCCCCATGGTATGCATTATGCATGCACATAGCTTAAAGCTCATGTTTTAGTTTGTCCGACCAGTGAATAAGTTCTGAACTGCAACAGGGACCGGTAGGTGCCACATCTATTCATCATACTTTCTTTTTATTTGACACTAAATATGCCTATGGGCAACATAAGGCTCGCAGATCGGCAACGTGGAGAATGCTGGCTTAAAGGGAACATTACTAGTTAGTTTTAGTTTCATTAAAGTCAATGTCTGTTTTTTTAGCCATTTGTGATGGTGAGTCAAACGTATGATTGTGAGTCAAACGTATGATTGTGATTCAAAAATGTGTGATTGTGATTCAAAAATGTGTGATTGTGAGTCAAAAATGTGTGATTGTGAGTCAAAAATGTGTGATTGTGAGTCAAAAATGTGTGATTGTGAGTCAAAAATGTGTGATTGTGAGTCAAAAATGTGTGATTGTGAGTCAAAAATGTGTGATTGTGAGTCAAAAATGTGTGATTGTGAGTCAAAAATGTGTGATTGTGAGTCAAAAATGTGTGATTGTGAGTCAAAAATGTGTGATTGTGAGTCAAAAATGTGTGATTGTGATTCAAAAATGTGTGATTGTGATTCAAAAATGTGTGATTGTGATTCAAAAATGTGTGATTGTGAGTCAAAAATGTGTGATTGTGATTCAAAAATGTGTGATTGTGATTCAAAAATGTGTGATTGTGATTCAAAAATGTGTGATTGTGATTCAAAAATGTGTGATTGTGATTCAAAAATGTGTGATTGTGATTCAAAAATGTGTGATTGTGATTCAAAAATGTGTGATTGTGATTCAAAAATGTGTGATTGTGATTCAAAAATGTGTGATTGTGATTCAAAAATGTGTGATTGTGATTCAAAAATGTGTGATTGTGATTCAAAAATGTGTGATTGTGATTCAAAAATGTGTGATTGTGATTCAAAAATGTGTGATTGTGATTCAAAAATGTGTGATTGTGATTCAAAAATGTGTGATTGTGAGTCAAAAATGTGTGATTGTGATTCAAAAATGTGTGATTGTGAGTCAAAAATGTGTGATTGTGATTCAAAAATGTGTGATTGTGAGTCAAAAATGTGTGATTGTGAGTCAAAAATGTGTGATTGTGATTCAAAAATGTGTGATTGTGAGTCAAAAATGTGTGATTGTGAGTCAAAAATGTGTGATTGTGATTCAAAAATGTGTGATTGTGAGTCAAAAATGTGTGATTGTGATTCAAAAATGTGTGATTGTGAGTCAAAAATGTGTGATTGTGAGTCAAAAATGTGTGATTGTGATTCAAAAATGTGTGATTGTGATTCAAAAATGTGTGATTGTGATTCAAAAATGTGTGATTGTGAGTCAAAAATGTGATTATGGAATAATATTGTGTGGTTCTTGATAAATGAAGTCTAATAATCAAGAGAAATGAAATGCTGTATTTTATTCAAGGAAGTGCCATAATCAGTTGACTGCTGTATTTTAGTAAAGAAGTGCCATAATCTGTTGACTGCTGTATTTTAGTAAAAGAAGTGCTATAATCAGTTGACTGCTGTATTTTATCAAAAGAATTGCTATAATAAGCTGACTGCTGTATTTTATCAAAAGAAGTGCTATAATAAGCTGACTGCTGTATTTTAGTAAAAGAAGTTCTATAATCAGCTGACTGCTGTATTTCCATGAACTCACCATGAGATTTCCAAAAGTTTTTGCCATTGTTTCACTGAAGAAAGTCACCTCTTTGTTCAAAGTGACCCCTTGCAATCCCTGCTTCCTGTCTTTCTCATCACACATAGATAGGACAAAGTCTTGCACTGTTTGACTGTTTGCTTTTGTTCTGACCGTCTGGCCATCAGGATTGCCCAATAGATCAAGTAAAGACTTGTGGACCTGGAAGTTACCAATTATGTTTATTTGAGAGCAACAGTGAATGTAACTTAAACAAAAACTGTTTGTTAAACAATAAAGTTGGTTGCAAAACTAACTATGACTGCAGCACAATTTAACTATGACTGCAGCACAACTGAACTATGACTGCAGCACAATTTACCTCTTGTTGTGGCAACTCATTAAAGCTGAAATGTGCATCCCAAATCTGCACTTGAAGACTTGCTCCATTCTGTCATGTAATAAATGAGACTTTGTAAACATAGTGTCAATTAATCTTGATTGGTATACAATAGTGTCAATTAATATCTATTGGTATACATAGTGTCAGGTAATCTCTATTGGTATGCATAGCATCAGTTAATCTTTATTGGTATACATGGTGTCAATTAATCTCTATTGGTATACATGTCAGGACATCTCTATTGGCTTACATAGTATCAGGAAATCTCTTTTGATACACAAAGTGACAGAAAATCTCTAGTGATATACATAATGTCAAATCATCTCTAGTGGTATACTCTCTATTTCATACAAAGTGCCAGGAAATTTCTTTTGGGAGGAACAATATCTCAGATGGGAAGTGCAAATGAAATACTTCTATTAAAGCAAGAGTTCAGTCCCATTTAACATTGACACAATCATTCAATCATCCAAGTGTGAAATCAAGAGTTTACCAGTTTAGAACCAGTTAATGTACGCAGCACTTGCCCGGCTGATTTCTCAGAAAGTTCTTCCACTGTTTGCTCGCTAGGAGAATGTGTCAACACAGGCAGCATATGCAAGCCAGACTTGGCAGCATTTCTGTACATTACAACAAAAACATCAATTTTAAAATACTACACAAAATATGTCATTTTAAAAATTATTTTGTAGTTTTCAATAAATTTTTTTTAAAATACTCAAGCTCTTGTTGTACTTGTCCTTCCTGTTTGAAAATAGACCCATCAGGTGATACTCACCAAACAACTAGACCCATCAGGTACTACTCACCAAACAATTAGACCCATCAGGTTCTACTCAACAAACAACTAGACCCATCAGGTGCTACTCACCAAACAACTAGACCCATCAGGTGCTACTCACCAAACAACTAGACCCATCAGGTGCTACTCAACAAACAACTAGACCCATCAGGTGCTACTCACCAAACAACTAGACCCATCAGGTGCTACTCACCAAACAACTAGACCCATCAGGTGCTACTCAACAAACAACTAGACCCATCAGGTGCTACTCACCAAACAACTAGACCCATCAGGTGCTACTCACCAAACAACTAGACCCATCAGGTGCTACTCAACAAACAACTAGACCCATCAGGTGCTACTCACCAAACAACTAGACNTTTCTGCCCCAGAGATCACATTCCTCTGTTACAGGGGTTAACCTTATTGCAGTGCTGCCAACACACCCCCCCCCCCAAACTCGATTTGCTTTAAAAACATATTTCTTGCAACCCATCTGATTAAAAAATGGTAATAAATACAAATAACCTAGATTTTCTGGGTCTTCTCTCACCCCCAGTTAAGAACCACTGCCCTCTAGTAATTTGACTGTCCAGTCATAATGTGGGCCATCAAGCAATCCTCAAGCTTGTGAAATTGTGTCTATAGTAGTGATGTAGATCAAGTCCATTGCCAGACACTGCTGACCCAGGAAGTAATGATCCTTAGATGACTCAGAAGACCCGGCTTAACCCAACCAATCAGTCAAGTGCCAAGGGGAATGTTAGCCTTGATGTCATGACTGAGGCATGACAAATATCATATTGGGAGATATTCTGCCAGAACTAATGACAAATATCATATTGGGTGATATTCTGCCACAACTAATGACAAATATCATATTGGGTGATATTCTGCTAGAATTCATGACAAATATCCTCTTCGGTAATGTTCTGCCAGAACTAATGCCAAATTGATCATTTCTTCTTGCTTATGCTGGGACCAGTGGGGGCAGGTTTTGTTTCTGAGTGGGGAGACAATCCACACACAGACCAAGTATAACGCCATGGTCAAGGACGTCTATTTTTGTCTGAAGAAGCCTACTCTGTTGGTATATGCCTTCTCTATCATTTGAGTTTTTATCTCACCCTTCAAAAAGAGGTACAACCGCCCATCCGATGAGTTCCTGAGCGTTTATTTCCAGAGGTCTACCATCAGGTTGATGCACAGTGCCAGCTGTTTTGTGGTCTGCCTTGGGTTTGTATACCACATTAAGTCCAATGAGCTGAATGATAAGGCAAGTGTTGTTGTCATAGCATGGATGCAGCTCCTGGGGATTATAACATAGAATGTATGCAACTCCTGGGGGTTATAATATAATAACATAGCATGGATGCAGCTCCTGGAGATGAAATGTTTTCACTGATCTTATTTTGAAGTAATTTACCTTGTGACCGTCCTCCCACACAGGGGCTGTTAATTGACTTGTTGGGGACAGCTTGGTTGTGATGAACTGCTCTTCCTTACCATGACCCGCCTCACTGGCTGTCTGATACTTGGCTTGTTTACCTGGAGCAAGCCTTGCAAAGCACTGTATATGCAGGCCATCTACAAGACAGGAAACATTGGATGCACAAGATGTCTACCAGATATACAAACATTGGATATACAAAAAATATTAAAAATAATGACTAATGTGGATTCCAATTTTGACCTTACTGGTCCACTTGGGACATTAAACAAATAAGAAGACGCATGGGGTGACCAGACCACCAAACATTCCGACCATAAAGGTCATCACCTGACATGATCTAAATAAATCACCTTAGGTGAAGACGCATGGGGTGACCAGACCACTAAACATTCCGACCATAAAGGTCATCACCTGACATGATCTAAATAAATCACCTTAGGTGAAGACGCATGGGGTGACCAGACCACTAAACATTCCGACCATAAAGGTCATCACCTGACATGATCTAAATAAATCACCTTAGGTGAAGACGCATGGGGTGACCAGACCACTAAACATTCCGACCATAAAGGTCATCACCTGACATGATCTAAATAAATCACCTTAGGTGACCGGAAAGTAAAAATAAGTCAATCAGATTAGTTGTCAATTAAAAGGAACTTGTCCAAGTTTTCTTGAGTACTCCTCAAACTAATCAAACTGTAACCATGGATGACTTGCCTAAGCCTGCAGAGCTAACTATGGACCACCAGTCATAACAACACTAATGCTCTGTATTAACTTGCCTCAGCCTGCAGAGCTAACTATGGACCACCGGTCATAACAACACTAATGCTCTATATCTAAACCAACCAAACTTCCAGGTGGTTCCTTCTTCACCAGCAATCATACCAACTAAAAGTCTGCCCCACCCTTGACCCGTGGCGTGTTGTTACTCTTGCCCCACCCTTAACCCGATGCATGTTGTTACTCTTGCCCCACCCTTAACCCGATGCATGTTGTTACTCTTGCCCCACCCTTAACCCGTGGCATGTTGTTACTCTTGCCCCACCCTTAACCCGTGGCATGTTGTTACTCTTGCCCCACCCTTAACCCGTGGCATGTTGTTACTCTTGCCCCACCCTTAACCCGATGCATGTTGTTACTCTTGCCCCACCCTTAACCCGTGGCATGTTGTTACTCTATCTGCATCACACATGTTGATATTTACCTGGTAGGCCCACAGCTGATTTTATGTGTACATTGAGTCCAACTTTGACTCTGTAACGAATGCATCGATGCAATGCAAGATTTGCTGCTGCTTTATTTACTCCTTGTTGTTTCTTGATATCCAATTTATCCACAATCCACTTGGTCAGCTGGATGTCAGAGCCATCTGAAATAATAACAAAAGTAAACACAATTTATACATTTTTTTTTTATCATTCCACTTGTTTCTACAAAGTCATCTTATTTTAAGCTTGGTTAGTAAGTCTGTACCGGTACAAATACACCTTGTGATACTACAAAGCCATCCTATTCTAGAACCGTATGAGTTTAAGTCGTATGATTGAGAAGACTGATGAAAGCATGTAGGCTAGTGTGATGTCACCTTTATAAGGTGAGTTCTCAAAGTGCTGCAGTTTTGTGATGACGTCTCTGACAGATCTCTTGTTGTCAGCAGCATAGCTGGCATACAGCCTCAGTTCAGATGCTGTTGGCTTGCTCTTCTCTGACTTGTAATACCCTGAGGAATACTTGGGAGCTGGCACTGGATGCTGAAATTTCAATACACACAAATAGGAAATCCATCAAAGCTGGATTAGTGTGTTGTGGAGAAGTGTGTTGTGGAGAAGTGTGTTGTAGGTTAATATTTTGTGGATCAGTGGGTTGGTGGGTGGTGAATATGTGTTGTTGATATTTGTGCAGTGGGTTTGTGTGTGGTGGATAACTATGATGTGGATACATGTGTGGTGGATATGTGAGGTGGATAATTGTGCAGTGGGTACGTGTGCGGTGGATAAGTATGTTGTGGATACATGTGTGGTGGATAATTGTGCTCTGGGTTTGTGCATGGTGGATAAGTATATTGTGCATGCATGTGTGGTGGCTATGTGTCTTGTGGATACAGGTGTGGTGGATATGTGTGATGGATAATTATATTGTGGGTTTGTGTGTGGTGGATAAGTATGTTAGTGAATTCATGTGTGGTGGATATGTATGGTGGATAACTGCTGTGGGTTTGTTTGTGGTGAGTGTGTTGTGGATAAGATTGTTGTGGGTTAGTGTGCAATTGATGTGTGTTGTGGATAAGAGTATTATGGATGTGTGTAATGTGGATGTTTTTTGTGGGTCAGTGTGTGGTGGATATGTGTGTTGTGGATTAATGGGTGGTATTTCAATGAGGTAGATTTGAGTGTGGAGGATTTGTTTATGGTCATAATTTCTTATTAATTGAGTAAAGAAATGTACATTTGATTGTGGCAAGAGACGAAGCAACAAAGTGCAGCCAGGAAGTACGGGGTTGCTGTCCAGGTCAGTGGCATTGATCTGATTGAGGCCATCTTTGGTGTTGGGCATCCCTGAGTAGAGACGCAGCTCATGACCTCCCACACACAAGTAGCCCTCCTGAACAAAAATAAAAGATGACCTTGTCAACATAGAGGAACACAGTGTCCGGAGAGTTCTGACCAGATATCCTGGTCATGTCTCTCCACTTCACACAATAGTAATCAGCAAGCTTACTCAAACCAGCTGGCCAGAGTCAGACAGAGGAACGTCATGGGTGTACCTACTAGCTCAATGATATTTTGTTGGGTGTACACACTAACTCAACGATAGTGTTGGGTGTACACCAATGTTCCTTCTAAGGTTTGTTGGTTCGTGTGCAAAATAAATTTGTGTGCAAATTTTTACAGCATCAATTATTTGTGTGCAAAATTTTACAGCCTACAGACACTAACACACACTTAAATGGGAATTAGCTGCGCTGTACTCAAAACTGCTGCGCGGTGTCTGTGAGATTGCTGCGTAGCCACATAGCCGCGCAGCTTAAAGGGAACATTGGTGTACACACTAACTCAATGATTTTGTTGGGTGTACACACTAACTCAATGATATTGTTGGGTGTACACACTAACTCAACAATATTGTTGGGTGTACACACTAACTCAACAATATTGTTGGGTGTACACACTAACTCAACAATATTGTTTTGGTGTACACACTAACTCAATGATTATGTTTGGTATACACACTATCTTATTGATTATCTTGGGTATACACACTAGCTTAATGATTATGTTGAGTTTACACTCAAGCTCAATGATTATGTTGGGTATACACAGTAGCTTAATGATTATGTTGGCTGTACATACTCCTTTTTTCTTGCCAGGGGTGAAAACTCTGACAAGACAGCTTCCAACGACTACAGTAGTATTTGTCTCAAGGTCATGCGTGTAGACTCTGAGAAAGAGCAGTAGTTCTGGGTCAGCAATCTGTTGTCCTTCATTAACCAGCATGTTGAAGTTAAATTTCGGAGATCTTGCCGAGCTGTCCAGCTCAGGAATAGCCAGTATATCTTGCAGATTTGTTATGTTGCCTGCTCGGAGAATTCGCCCAGTCACCTAGAAATATGGAACAGATTGAATAAGATATTGAACAGATTGTGTAAGATATTGAACAGATTGAGTAAGATATTGAACAGATTGAGTAAGATATTGAACAGATTGAGTAAGATATTGAACAGATTGAGTAGTATATTGAACAGATTGAGTAATATATTAAACAGATTGAGTAAGATATTTAACAGAACTGACATTGAAATAAAATATACTTGATAACATTACACACTATTAACAGAATCATAAGACAGTCATTCAGAACTGGATAAAAAGCTCTTTCAATAAATTCTGTTATTTATATAAAAAAATTATTGTTTTGTCTTAAATCAGGGTTCAACTGGCATGTGGGGCATATAGCCAATTACAGCTGGAATGTGCACCATATAGGCAATTTCAACTGGCATGTGGGGCATATAGGCAATTTCAACTGGCATGTGGGGCATATAGGCAATTTCAGCTGGAATGTGCGCCATATAGGCAATTTCAACTGGCATGTGGGGCATATAGGCAATTTCAACTGGCATGTGCGCCATATAGGCAATTTCAACTGGAATGTGCACCATATAGGCAATTTCAGCTGGAATGTGGGCCATGTAGGCTATTTCAACTGGCCCCCGTTGATCTCAGAAGTGGTAAAAAAACGATGTATTTCTTCTTGAAAGAGCCTGAAGTGTCTGATGTGTAGACTCTAGGATGACATAGAAACAGTCCCACTACTGACGACTCAGCATGGAGTCAAAATGATGAGCTTGCTGAAACTGTGTGTGTGATCTGTTGGTTGAACGTCTCAGAGAATCTGAATCCTTTGCTCTGGCTGTTGATGAGGCCACTGATAAAGCAGACGTTGCCATGGAGAGTCTTTCATTGGAGGTTTCCTGATGTTACTTCCACTGCATCACCAGACCTGAGCCGGGATGAGTTTTGTTGTGATGTCTGAGGTAATTACAAAAAATGAAGTTGATGGCAGAAAACTTGTCTTTCTAACAACTCATGATGCCCAGTCTATGACTGGAAGGAACAAAGATCTTCTGAAAACTGATGATGCCCAGTCTATGACTGGAAGGGACAAAGATCTTCTGACAACTGATGATGCTCTGTCTAAGACTGGAAGGGACAAAGATCTTCTGATAACTGATGATGCTCTGTCTAAGACTGGAAGGGACAAAGATCTTCTGACAACTGATGATGCTCTGTCTAAGACTGGAAGGGACAAAGATCTTCTGACATAGATCTTGCCAGTCTTCTTAAGGCAATTCAATAGAGAATAATATCTAATCACGGAATGTGCTGAAATGATGATACTCATTAAACATATAGATTCCATATGAATTTGTTCATCATTGCGGTACAGTTGCGTAAAAGGGTCATGTGTAGAACATGGGGATTTTCTTGTGCATTAAGGATGAAGGAGCGTTTTGGAGCGGTTTAGGCTAATTGATGAGTTGTGATGGAGTGTCTCTCAAGTGTGCACTTTAAGAAGCCTGGGGATGGCAGGCACAAGTATGGGGCAAGATGATCATGGAAAGCTGAAGAGTTCAGGACAAAGTAATAACAAGCTTGTCATAGAGCTTCAAAAGACTTTCCTTTCAGAAGAAACTTGCACTATTTGCCAGTCATATGGAATCAGATCAGCTGTTGCATTGTTCAATAGTTTGTAACTTTGTGACAAAAGAACAGCTGGATCAAGTTTGATCATTATGTTCATTACAAGATATCATCCAAGATACGTTTTCAAGTTAGATCATTAAGTTCATTACCAGATTTCATCTAAGGTAAGTTTTCAAATTAGATCATTAAGTTCATTACCAGATTTCATCTAAGGTAAGTTTTCAAGTTAGATCATTAAGTTCATTACCAGATTTCATCGAAGGTAAGTTTTCAAGTTAGATCATTAAGTTCATTACCAGATTTCATCGAAGGTAAGTTTTCAAATTAGATCATTAAGTTCATTACCAGATTTCATCTAAGGTAAGTTTTCAAATGAGATCATTAAGTTCATTACCAGATTTCATCTAAGGTAAGTTTTCAAGTTAGATCATTAAGTTCATTACCAGATTTCATCGAAGGTAAGTTTTCAAATTAGATCATTAAGTTCATTACCAGATTTCATCTAAGGTAAGTTTTCAAGTTAGATCATTAAGTTCATTACCAGATTTCATCTAAGGTAAGTTTTCAAGTTAGATCATTAAGTTCATTACCAGATTTCATCTAAGGTAAGTTTTCAAGTTAGATCATTAAGTTCATTACCAGATTTCATCTAAGGTGGGTTTTCAAGCCAATTTTGTAGGATTGTCAGGAATATGTATTTGTGTTGCAGATCACTTGATGGTCTTTCTGGTGCTGCTACAGCAACCCTTCCACCAGTTAGTCAAGCTTTTCTTCATCTTCATACAGTTGACATACAGGAAAATGAACTGAAGCTTCGTGACCGGGACATAGAAATCTTATGGCGCCAGTCAGTTGTAAAATGACAGTATTACCAAATACTATAACTCAATGCCAGCTGTTTGACTTTATAACCATCAAACTATTTGGATCATTTTGAATAGTCAAAGTCACTTTTATTTCTCACACTGGCAGTTTTTAGTAAACAAGAAAGACAAATAAGAATACTGCTTTTCTTTACATCAAGTTAGTCAAGTAGGTCAGTGTTGAATTTCAGTATTAAAATAAACTTAATGTACACTGTTATTTGCTAGAATTCTTTCTTCAACCATGAAGCCAAGTGGTGAAATAGTGGGACAGTCAGGTAGATAAACAGACTTAGATAATAGTGGCACTACTAGGTATGTACTCTCACCTTGATGATAGTGGCACTGTCAGGTAAGTGTCGCACTGAATCGATGTGAAGGACAAAGGGGTCTCTGTTTGTTGTTGGCTTAGGATCAGATTTTGCTGCACTCGGGTTGTAAGGGATCCATTCATCCAGGGGGTCCGTCTCAGGTTTGGGGGTTGGACGTTTGGCTGGGGAGGGCAACTGTTGGACTGGCTGGGATTCAGGTCTGTCAAGGTAAAAACATGCTTGTGAACAGATACAAGGGTACCAATTCTATCAAGAACAAACTTGCTACATCTGGTGACTAACGTCAAAACATTGGTATGTTAACTTTTGACCACATTAATTCTATCAACTACATCCTTGCTGACTCTAGAGTCTAATGGGGCAACTACACACTTGTTGACTCTAGTGTCTAATGGTGCAACTACATACTTGCTGACTCTAGTGTCTAATGGTGCAAATACATCCTTGCTGACTCTAGTGTCAAATGGTGCAACTACATCCTTGCTGACTCTAGTGTCTAATGGTGCAAATACATACTTGCTGACTCTAGTGTCTAATGGTGCAAATACATACTTGCTGACTCTAGTGTCAAATGGTGCAACTACATCCTTGCTGACTCTAGTGTCTAATGGTGCAAATACATACTTGCTGACTCTAGTGTCTAATGGTGCAAATACATACTTGCTGACTCTAGTGTCTAATAGTGCAAATACATACTTGCTGACTCTAGTGTCTAATGGTGCAAATACATACTTGCTGACTCTAGTGTCTAATGGTGCAACTGCTGGGATGACTTCAGCTTTCAAGGGCTTCACCTTGCGGTTGCTGGGTTCATTGTTGGGGTCAAAGACATATGCTGAGAAAGTGCAGTTGTATCCCAACAAGGTACCTGTGAATAGATGATCCCATTTATAACTCGACTACACATAATTAAGGACTGGTAAAGGCTATATGGTAAGAAAAACCTATCCAAAAATAGCTAACTTTACCTTCACAAGGACAGAGAAAAGTCTACTTACCCTGGACAGATAACTTTAACTACTCAATGACAGATAACTCCAACAACAGATAACTCTAACTATTCAAAGGTCAGAGAACAACTACTCAATGACAGATCAATTATTATAATCAAAATGACCAACTTAATAAAGAATACAACTCATCAAACTAACCAATCTTCAGAATCAGTTAACAGATATGTTATTAGAATGATAAACATATTATTTTAGGAAAAAATCTAATGGAGCCACATCTATTTTTTAATTCAAAAATATATATTTTTATGAAATGGAATTAAACAAAGTGGAGATTTACTAATGGATTATTTGATGAAAGGTAATCAAACCTGACCTTCAACTCTATCTTCTTCTGATGGTGTATGTGGTTGGGCAGCAATGATACTTTCTGGAATATCTCCAGGATGGAGGGCCACAGTGACGTCCCCTTCTATCAGGGAAAAGCCTTGGTTGTCACGGTGATTGACATGACGATACAAAGGGATGCGACTCCAGCCCAAAGTTATTGGTCCTTGAATAGAATTAATATAAATGATTGTAAAAACTCCAGGCTTCTGCACCATCTGGGTTTGTTTTGTGCTTCCCAACATTTATCACCTGGTGGTCAACTCTTAGTTCTCTGTCTACTGCCCAATTAGTTCTATGATAACACAAACTGAACCGAACAGTACTGCCGTTTATGTTTTATGACAACAACAATGGATCAAATATAAGAGGTAAATAAGAGAACCTGAGTTTCGTCCACTTGTTCGCTGCAAACGTTCTAATTTAATGATGACATATGGGTATGCTCCAAGTTCACGTTCGACATCATATGTGGACAGATCCAACATATCATAAATGTAGTGCTCTCCAGGAAATTCTAGCTCCAACACAAAAGAACCATAGCTATCTTTAGTTTTTGCAGTAACCACAGCCAGACTGTGAGACAGACGAGAGCGCAACTTGACACTGCCAAAGTAAACGCCAACATTCAGTCTAAGATCTTCTCCCTGGATGTTGGCGAGCCACGGTTCCTAAGAGTAGGACAGATCAGTTAAATCACTGTGAGCTAAACAAAGATAAGTCATGCTCTATACTGTTACAAACATTCATTAGCCAGTGAATGTTTCTCTAACATCTGCTCAGTGAATGTTACTCTAACATCTGGACAGTGAATGTTACTCTAACATCTGGCCAGTGAATGTAACTCTAACATCTAGCCAGTGAATGTTACTCTAACATCTAATCTAGCCAGTAAATGTTACTCTAACATCTGGCCAGTGAACGTTACTCTAACATCTGGCCAGTGAATGTTACTCTAGTGAATATTCCTCTTACATCTGGCAAGTGAATGTTACTCTAGTGAATGTTACTCTAGCATTTGGCAAGTGAATGTTACTTTTGTGAATGTTACTCCAACATCTGGCAAGTGAATTTTATTTTTGTGAATGTTACTTTTGTGAATGTTACTCTAACATCTGGCAAGTGAATTTTACTTTTGTGAATGTTACTTTTGTGAATGTTACTTTTGTGAATGTTACTCTAACATCTGGCAAGTGAATATTACTCTAGTGAATGTTACTCTAACATATGGCAAGTGAATGTTTCTTTTGTGAATGTTACTCTAACATCTGGCAAGTGAATGTTACTCTTGCGAAAGTTACTCTAACATCTGGTAAGTAAATTATGTTACTTTTGTGAATGTTACTCAAACATCTGGCAAGTGAGTGTTACTCTAGTGAATGCTACTTTTGTAAATGTTACTCTAACATCTGGCAAGTGAATTTTACTTTTGTGAATGTTACTTTTGTAAATGTTACTCTAACATCTGGCAAGTGAATGTTACTTTTGTGAATGTTACTTTTGTGAATGTTACTTTTGTGAATGTTACTTTTGTGAATGTTACTCTAACATCTGGCAAGTGAATGTTACTCTAGTGAATGTTACTCTAACATCTGGCAAGTGAATGTTTCTTTTGTGAATGTTACTTTTGTAAATATTACTCTAACATCTGGCAAGTGAATGTTACTTTTGTGAATGTTACTCTAACATCTGGCAAGTGAATGTTACTTTTGTGAATGTTACTCTAACATCTGGCAAGTGAATGTTACTCTAGTGAATGTAACTCTAACATCTGGCAAGTGAATGTTACTCTAGTGAATGTTACTCTAACATCTGGCAAGTGAATGTTACTCTAGTGAATGATACTCTAACATCTGGCAAGTGAATGTTACTCTAGTGAATGTTACTCTAACATCTGGCAAGTGAATGTTACTCTAGTGAATGTTACTCTAACATCTGGCAAGTGAATGTTACTCTAGTGAATGTAACTCTAACATCTGGCAAGTGAGTGTTACTCTAGTGAATGTTACTCTAACATCTACCCATTCAACTGAAACAAGTTCAAAGAGAGTGAACCATTAATCCAGTCAATTATTTCAATAGAAAATTTGAAGTCACCACTGAGGTGAACAAACCTTCTGAATAGAACTAGATGGAAATGTCAGGCAGGAGCGCATGTTTTTAATGCCACATGGTTTTAAGATGCCGAGTTCAGGTGAGTCTCTGTCAGAAAGCACGACACTGACATCAGATGATGCCGACCTGGAATCAATGGATGTCATCCGTGTTAAAGAATCTTATATGAAAATCTAGTGAGATATCTGTACAACTTAATGTACTTGTTTGTGTATATGAATCTTGGACATAAAGTAATAAATGTGAGCATCTGTTGTGTCATATCAAGCAGCTATCTAACACAATGCATGGGATGTAGTGCCACAGACTTCGATGTCATGGCAGCTACAGTCAGCTGACTACATCATGGCAGCTACTGTCAGCTGGCTATGTCATGGTAGCTACTGTCAGCTGGTTATGTCATGGCAGCTACTGTCAGCTGGTTATGTCATGGCAGCTACTGTCAGCTGGCTATGTCATGGCAGCTACTGTCAGCTGACTACATCATGGCAGCTACTGTCAGCTGGCTATGTCATGGCAGCTACTGTCAGCTGGTTATGACATTTCCACCTGGAACTATGGATATTTGAAGATCTTCTATTATCAAATTAAAATTAGCAACATTTTTCATTGTTATCATAACTTAAATGTGGTGAGGCCTCACAATGTTGATGCATTTCACATATTCACTTCTTGTGTTCAATGGTGAGGCCTCACAATCTTGATGCATTTCACATATTCACTTAAGTTCAATCATTACTTTGTATGATGAAAATCTTTTTTTTTTTAAATGTCAATGGTGATGATAATGATTACTCAAAGTAAGCAATAACCATTTAAATGTCAATGGTGATGATAATGATTACTCAAAGTAAGCAATAACCATTTAAATGTCAATGGTGATGATAATGATTACTCAAAGTAAGCAATAACCATTTAAATGTCAATGGTGATGTTGAGTTAAAGTAACTATTGACCAAATAAATGTGAATGGTGATGTAAATGTTGAATCACAGTAATCAATGACCACAAAAAAGCCATGGATGAAAGAGGTTCAATAATACATTTGTGGGTTTATACGTCTGTACAGACGTGTAGTGCTGTATGCTTACAAAGGTCTCTGTCTGTTGAATTGATCATTGATGTCTAGGAGAGGTTTGCCATTCTCTAGATGAATCCACGCCATTTGAAAGTCCACAGTGTACAGCTTGCAGGGCTCCATCAGGAAAACCTGTCACAATGTAAAGAGAATGCCTTTAGATTGGCCGCTTCAATGGCTCTTCACAAAAGCTGGGGCTTATGGTGGAAGTTTTTCTCATGACCGAGTATAATATTAAATGAGGACAATTTATTTAATACTACGTAGAATACAGCATCAGTGCTTTAGAACTGTCAAACAAATGCAGACCAACTCTGACCTCCTTCATCGTGATGTAGTCGTAAGCCTCCATGAACTTGTGCCGCAGCAACTCCATCAGACTTAGGCAAACATTGATGATGGCTGTTTCGGTCCAATTCTGCATGAACAACTGGTCCCAAATGTACATCACACCTGGAGTGTCCAAGACACTAACAAACCCCTGTCAGACATCACAGTACAAATTAGATCACACACTTAATAAACCCTGTCAGACATCAGAGTACAAATTAGATCACACACTTAATAAACCCTGCCAGACACCAGAGTACAAATTAGATCACACACTTAATAAACCCTGTCAGACATCAGAGTACAAATTAGATCACACACTTAGAAAATATCCCTACATTCACATATGAATACAAATATTACAAACTTAAAAGAAACTTTACCTGCTTTGAATGATGCCACTGACTTAACATCCACACCCCCCCCCCCAAATAACCGTTCATTGACTAGCTAGCTGAAAAACTTCCTCAATTACTAACTGCCATACTTTCCCATTAACTAACTGACTTAGTTCCCCATTGACAAACCAACTTACCTTCTAACAAGCTGACTTACTTTCCTCTTAACTAGCTAACTCACTACTCTATTGACAAATGATTTACTTCCTCATTGACTAGTTGACTTACGTTCCCGTTGACTAGTTGACTTATTTCCCCATTGACTAGTTGACTTACTTCCCTATTGACTAGTTGACTTATTTCACCATTGACTTGTTGCCTTATTTCCCTATTGACTAGTTGACTTATTTCCCCATTGAATAGTTGAGTTACTGCCCCATTGACTAGTTGACTGACTTCCCCATTGACTAGTTGAGTTACTTCCCCATTGACTAGTTGATGTACTTCCCTTTTAACTAGCTAATTCACTACTCTATTGATAAATGACTTACTGCCCCCATTGACTAGTTGACTTATTTCCCTATTGAATAGTTGACTTACTTCCCCATTGACTAGTTGAGTGACTTCCTCATTGACTTTTTTCCCCATTGACTAGTTGACTTACTTCCCCATTGACTAGTTGACTTACTTCCCATTGACTAGTTGACTTATTTCCCCATTGACTAGTTGACTTACTTCCCCATTGACTAGTTGACTTACTTCCCCATTGACTAGTTGACTTACTTCCCCATTGAATAGTTAACTTACTTCCCCATTGACTAGTTGACTTACTTCCCCATTGACTAGTTGACTCACTTCCTAACTGACTTCCTTCCTCATTGGCTATCTGACTTACATCCTCAATGACTATTTGACTTACTTCCTTGTTGTCTGGTTGACTAACTTCCTCATTGTCTAGTTGACAAACTTCCTCATTGTCTAGTTGACAAATTTCCTCATTGACAACTGACTTACAAAAAGATTTTATGATTCAATGAATTTCTGACTTACCTCTCCAATCCATCTCCTCAAAAATATTGTTGGATCTGCTAAGAATTGAGTTGATGAACTAGGAGCTCTGGGGGTGTTTGTTGTAGTCAGCTGTAAGAGGGCCTCAGCTTGCTCTCTCTCTTGGTGGAGAAGTTGGACCAGAAACTCCTGCATTAGAGTTAGCAACATTCTACTTAAGACTTATTATGGGCAATCATGTGGACAGTGCTATGTTAGGATAAATAAGGTAATAATGTTGACAGTATGTTATGTTAAGGTCAACAAGGCAATACTGTTGACAGTATGTTACCTTAGGGTAAATAAGGTAATAATGTTGACAGTATTGTTATGTTAGGGTAAATAAGGCAATACTGTTGACAGTATATGTTAGAATAAACATGGCAATTATGTTGACAGTATGTTATGTCAGGATAAACAATGCAATAATGTTGACAGTATGATATTTTGGGATAAACAAGGCAATAATGTTGACAGTATGTTATGTTAATAATCATATGTGTTATGTTGACAGTATGTTATGTTAATGAACATATGTGTTATGTTGACAGTATGCCATGTTAATAAACATATGTGTTAGCTCTTACCTTGGGATTAACCTGGGCATTGATAGGTGCAATCCTTCTCAGGTGGTTATGAAGTTGTGGGTCATCTTTCTCTAGTCTCATCATGACCTGCTCAGCCATTGCAAACACATGGGGCCATGTGGGGAAACAGTTGGAGTTCAGAAGGTCCAAATACATAGCCAGCTCCAAGATGTGCTCACCTGAAGGTCAAAGGTAATTTTAAAAAAATACCATCTTTAAATATATAGCAAGCTTTGACAAGTGCACACACCTAGTGGATGCTACATGCTAAAAATCCATTGCCAGACCTGTTTACCTTCAAACTCCTAAAGTCATACAATATCGTCTCAAACTCGTACAATACAGTATCTTAATAGCAAATAAATAATCAGTATACATAATGTATACAATAACTACTGGCATCACATGTCCAGTGGAATCGAGTTAAGCTGGTATAAAAAAATTGAAATGAAGGTTAAAAGCACATGACTGATGCTTATATTGCAAACTGCGGTCAATTTGTTTTGCTGACGTGCATCTGCTGTAGATATCAATTATATGGCATCCTTCCATCTTCTTAAGACGATGGAGTAGCTATGTAGTACTACACTTTGACAAGTGGCTCAACTGCATTTCTCTTTCAATTAGTATTTAGGTAAACATGCAGATCACATTATTGCAGTCTATCACTGTTAAAAATAAAGCTACTGGAGAAATTTAACATGGTTAAAACTCGACGTCAATTCAGCTTATAACTAAATTGATTAAAATAAGAATCAATTGACAATTTAGGGCGTCATTTAAAAAAAATAAGGATCAATATCCACTATGCCTATTTTCCATTCACATATTCAGTCTGATAACTATGACAAGCTGTAAATGGGTGAAAGGAAAGGGGGTATTAAAAATCGTACAGCTGTTTTGTGCATTCTAAAAAATAGGTTTCAAAGGCCCTCTCAGATCCTATACAATATATTGAAATCTAATATTGCTGCATGGAACAGTTAAGAATACATTCTCCAGTTTCTGTACTCTCCGTGGTCAATTGAAAGAAATAATTATGTCTTAAAATTGCATCATATAGCACCGAAGCAAACAAATGCGAGAAGGCCGTCTATATAGTATGCACGCAAAAAAGTCACATTTTCTAACCCCCTCCCTTTTTGGACACCCCCCTTGCTTTGTTACCATGAGCTAACAACCCCCAATAATTTTTACATTTATCTGATGTTACAGTAAACACATGTGACACAGGTTTTCACTACTGGCGATTCAGCGTGCCCAGTGATTCCAAGAAAATCTGCCACATCGCCCTGGGTTCTGGTTACCTCAAGTAGGGCCATGAGAATGGGGCAAAGAGCCACAGATGCCAGAATCAGGGGGCGGCTAAATCGCCCTTAGAAAGGACCTTCATAGCTAATTATAGAAAGGACCTTCATAGGTCATTAAACTATAAAATTGCATTGACTTTACAGAAACAAGCACAATAAGTTGTCCTTTTACTGGTCCGCCCGGGTGAGGGGAATATTTTGTCTCTATGGGTTGCTGCGGCTTCCTCACAGAGGCGTTGTGAAATATTAAACAATTTCATAATTTCATTTCCACTTTTAATCCAGTGTGAAAACTTTCGGCCATGGTGCAAACAGTAAATCACTTGAGTAAATAATGTTTGCAGTTACTAGATGGCGCTTAGTAACCTACATACATGTTATATTTATTTTTGCCAAACCCTTTATTTTATTTTGTTTATGTATTCGCTATTTCGAAGTGTACTTGTTAGAGCCAAGTGAAACCCTAAATTTGGCAAAGGCGCCAGGAAACGAAAATTTTAGAACCACTGGCATACCCCAACAAATTATATGTCACATGCACATTGAATATACAGGGGGACTAAATATTACTATAACACCTCTACTACTGAGTACTATCTGAAAAATATTCTGAAAATACATGGCAACATCAAGACCATAATTCCTACTAAACATCGGGTGACATTTTACAGCATTTGAGAATTAAATATGCTATTTTTGGCCTTTCAGAGGTTTGAGATAAATATTGTAGAATTATTTAGTAATGCAGATACTTTCTGCCAAGACACCCCCCCCCCTTCCCAACGTTACGAAATGTGGTGGTGTAATTTTATATGCTGAAATATTTAGACCACCCCCCCACGCAAAATCTTCAAAATTAACACCACTCCTTTTGCCTCGCAGGGCAAACATAATATACTTATAGATTGTAACCAGCCAATCGTATTTTCTTGAGCCATTCACTGCTGGGTGTAGAATGCAAATTAAAACTAACAAACAAAAATGTACTTTTTAATTACCAGTAGTTAATTTATTTATTTTTCCAGGGGGAGGGGGGGGGAGTATACAGGAATTTATATATTTTCAACCCGGTCTCTTAAAATTGTAAGAATGGCGGGTTTTGATGTAAAATCATTGTATGCCAAAATCATAAGAGTAAATAGGTGCTCCATTGCAAGCTTTGACAAGTGCACACACCTAGTGGATGTTACATTCTAAAATCCATTGCAAGCTTTGACAAGTGCACAAACCTATTTCACATTACATTCTTAAATCCATGATTTTATCATTTTGGTTTGTGAGAGGTGTAAATGTACTAGAAAATGTGTTTAATTTCTATGCACTGTCATAAGGTTAGAGGTCAAACAAGTGGACAGTGTTCAAGGAGAAAGATCTATATTTTGAATAATTCTTTGTAAATGACCGTCCCATACCTTTGTCATCTGACATGGCCTCCTTGCTCCTAAATGCCAGCTGGATAGGAAACAGCCAGTAGACAAGGTAGGGCTCATAGCTTCTGTCATACACATACAGGACATTCAGCGCACGTATTGTCTCTTTTATATGCTCCATTTGTTTGTACTGAATCATGCTGGTAGTTTTACTATATGTCTGCACAAAACAAAATCAAATCATAAAACAGATTATTGCATCTCTGTTAAATAACATATACAACTCAATGGGCTTTAATTTTATAGAAAGAAGAAAGTTGCCATTAAAATAACATATAAAGAAATCACAGAGTGTAGAAATATCAAAAATACACAATTTTGCTGTGGTAGTAGTCAATGTGAAATGCAACACATACACTACAGCACATGTGTTCAGTGACTTACCTCTACCACAGTATTTTGTATTAATCCATTGATTGGTGACTGAGTTGGTTTATTTATACGTAGGTCAGTCAGACCACGACTCACTGACACAGCAAATCTTTCACGGACAATTTTTTCAACATATCTGAAAAATACCAAAATGACCAAAAATGAAAGAAGCATATGTCTGTATGTGTTTAGACCATCAAAACTAACACACAAACCACCTAATCTTCCATAGATACACAAAACCTACCACAGATACCATTAAATCTATCATACATACCATCAAACCCAACCCACAAATCAGTCATATATACACTTAATGTGCCACATCCAGCCATATACAACCCAAAGCTCCCACACATACCATCAAACATACAAAACATACCACCTCACCTACCATAATTATCCAATCCTAACATACATACCACCAAAGTCCAAAGTTAACACACATATACCTAATCTACCACACATACCACCAAACATACCACACATACCTCACATATCATCAAACCTACAAAACATACCACCTCACCTAACTAATATATCCAATCCAACGATACTTACCATATATACCACCAGTTACCAAACATATACCAACCTACCACACATGCCACCAAACCTACTACACATGCCACCAAACCTACCACACATGCTACCAAACCTACTACACATGCCACCAAACCTACCACACATGCCACCAAACCTACTACACATGCCACCAAACCTACCACACATGCCACCAAACATACCACACATGCCACCAAACCTACCACACATGCCACCAAACCTACCATTTTTACACCACCAAACCTACCATTTTTACACCACCAAACCTACCATTTTTACACCACCAAACCTACCATTTTTACACCATCAAACCTACCACACATGCCACCAAACCTACCATTTTTACACCACCAAACCTTACAATTGTATACATCTACAATATATAAATAGTTTAATTATTAAACTTTTCACTTCATGGAGAATTTTATCATGCAAAACTACTTAGTACTCTAATGCTATCACAATTTTGCTGTGTGGACCAGTTGAGAATTCATTCTCTAGTTTTCTCTGTTTTTGCAACACTTTTCAGCCAAAAGAATAAAATTACGTCATACAGCACCCAAGCAAACAAACGTGAGGAGGGGGCCATCCAATATAGTACGTACCCAAAAAGTCAAATTAGTAGACTAATGCTATGACAATCTTAGTACTCTAATGCTATGACAATCTTAGTACTCTAATGCTATGACAATCTTAGTACTCTAATGCTATGACAATCTTAGTACTCTAATGCTATGACGATGTAGCCACACACCAAATACAGTTTGACCTTTCATACTTACACTTCTTTCATCTTTTTCCTCTCTGCTTTAAATAGAACATCTGCCCACAAGTAGGATCTCAAGGACCCAGGCAACTGACGTCCATGTAGACGGCCGGCAACCACTTCAAACTTTCGTGGGTCGCGTAAGAGAAGTGAGACAACTGCACTTCCTATTGTATCACTCTGAGGTCCCCAAAGAGGTAGAGGATCGGTCTTGACAGTAAAGACTGGAGCTAACCATTAAAAGTAGACACATTGTTTTAACAGGTTCTAATGCACAGAGGAATTTTACAGCAAAATAATTTTTTGTGTTAAAATCCCAATTATTAAACCGTTTTCAAACCAAAGTAATTTGACGTTTACAATGTATGGTAAAAGGTTGTGACTATCAATGACAGCTTCATACAGTTTTTGTCAACCAGGTAAAAGCATTTGACAGGGTGGACACATACAAAGTAAAAGCATTTGACAGGGTGGACACATACAGAGTAAAAGCATTTGACAGGGTAAACAGATATAAGCTCTGGGAGATTGGTAAACATACAGAGTAAAGGCATTTGACGGGTGGACAGATAAAACTCCTATGAGATGGTGGAAACATACAGAGTAAAGGCATTTGACTGGGTGGACAGATAAAACTCCTATGAGATGGTGGAAACATACAGAGTAAAGGCATTTGACGGGGTGGACAGATAAAACTCCTATGAGATGGTGGAAACATACAGAGTAAAGGCATTTGACGGGGTGGACAGATAAAACTCCTATGAGATGGTGGAAACATACAGAGTAAAGGCATTTGACGGGGTGGACAGATAAAACTCCTATGAGATGGTGGAAACATACAGAGTAAAGGCATTTGACGGGGTGGACAGATAAAACTCCTATGAGATGGTGGAAACATACAGAGTAAAAGGACAGCACCTTGAGAACATCAGGGCGATCTAAAGACGTTGCCACAGTGCTGTGAGTAGCCAAACATTCATACCCCATGTTACTAAACATTCACACCCCATGTTATTTCATTTTATGACCAGAAACCATAGGACACCATTGTTTTCTAAACTATAATAAACCAATGAGACGAGTCAACTGTTTGATCATAGGACATGTGCTATTCTCCTTTAAGTGCACATGATTGCCTTAACTACTGGTAAAAGACTGACCTTTGATCTGTCTTGCCACTGACTTTCCACCTACTGACTCAGAAGTGCCAGCTTGTTTAAGTCTGCTTGGGGCTGGGACTTTGTAGATGTCAGTAGCCTTTAGGCTGGGGGTGTTGCTTGTCTTGTTGGAAATAAATCAATGAAAAGTTGTTAAAACATCAAATGATAGGAAGGTTACATAGGTAGACGACCTACTTCATAATTCATGGGTATTCAATTTCATAACAGGGCTTGACGTGCAGGGGTGTTTCACGCAAACCTGCTACACTATGTTTCAAACTAAATCCTACACTGAATGTTTCAAACCAATATCCTGCAATAACGTTTAACACCAATATCCTACACTGAAATTTCAAACCAACATCCTACACTAAATGTTGAACACCAATATCTTACACTGAAATTTCAAACCAACATCCTACACTAAATGTTGAACACCAATATCTTACACTGGATTTTTTACACAAATATCCTACACTGAAATTTCAAACCAACATCCTACACTAAATGTTGAACACCAATATCTTACACTGGATTTTTTACACCAATATCCTACATTGAAATTTCAAACCAACATCCTACACTAAATGTTGAACACCAATATCTTACACTGAAATTTCAAACCAACATCCTACACTAAATGTTGAACACCAATATCTTACACTGAAATTTCAAACCAACATCCTACACTAAATGTTGAACACCAGTATCTTACACTGGATTTTTTACACCAATATCCTACCTTCAATTTTGTATCCAATTTGTACAGCTCCCTATCCAGCCCTGTTGTAAACACTGAAAATGTTTCACGCAAGAACTCAGCATAGCTCCCTGTCGGTGGTGGCTCCCTTCAGATCAATCAAAAGAAGACTTTCGTTAAAGTATACATTCCAGGCCATGAAGACGCAAACCAAATCATCAATTTTACAAACTATATTCCCCCATAAATATCATGTCTGACAGTGGTCGTGTAGAAAGAAATGTCAAAATGAAGTAACTAAAAAATGCAGCTGCAGGAGGGAGGATTAACTACATATTAGAAATGTAAATTTGACCTAAATAGCTTGGTTGAAACTGGTCATTCTTTCAGGTCCAGATTACCAACAATGAATAGCTTGGTTTAAATAGGGAATGTCTGGTCGTAACAAAGAATTCTATTCACCCTGGTCCAATGCCCGTAAGCAGATATCCATGCCCAGTTTCTTTAACAGCTTTGTACATTTGACTGTTGAGCCAATTCTGTGCATCTATGCGTAGTCGATTCTTATCATTTGCTGACATATGAGAAGGCTCCTGTACAGTAAAAAAAATATTGGAACATTTTCTGACATATTGAAGGCTCTTGTACTGAAGAGTTCTTGATCACAATGATCTAATTAAATAAAATATTTCTTTTACTTACCAGAATTTCAGGGTTGCGCTGAACATGAGAGAGATATTTCTCCACAAAGTGTCTTCCCAATACTTCCATCAACATTTCCTTCCTTTGAGGCTGGCTAAACTGTTTTTCTACTTTCTGGGCCAGGCTGTGGGAGATTTCTTCTTCCAGCTGTCAACAATATCAAAGACACTTTCAAACATTAGCTGGCTTGTCACAAAGTCCAATTTATTAATAAGCTCTCCAGTCTCAAGCAAGATACATTTTTAAAAAGCAGCTGGCTTGACAGACAATTTAATTGAAGGATCGCTTTAAGACTAAGTTTTAATTATTTGGTTTTGTGCAACTTTTTAGAGAAAATAAAGAGTAATCCCTCTGGCCAGGTCAGACAATAATTTATTTGAAATTTATTTATCAAAATTGAGATTTAGTTGACATGCATTTCTTATATGAGAAAGAATTAAGATTTTTTACCAAAAAATATTCCCTCGGAATAGGAGACAGATGAAGTTTTTATACAATAATTTATGAGACAATTAATGCCACCAAATCAACTGACCTTATGCCATGGTGCATTGGGCAAGAGTGTTTGCTGGTAGCATGAGTTGATCCACAGCTGGTTAAAAGGTCTTTGGTCAGTGGGCTGACCAGCTGCAGCAGCGATGTTGGCTTTGTTAGAAACAGTTGCTTTCTTCATCTTTCTAGCACAATTTAAATAACATCAACTCTAGCTACAGGATCCCACAAAAACGCTCAATATAAATCCACTAACAAGCAAAAAGTTTCTTGTAATTTTGATGGGCCCACACATAAGAAAATCACAAATAATTTGCGTCAAACAAAGAAAGTGCTCAAGAAGAATTTGAAAAATATAAAGAACATGAATGAATTCACTGCCAATGCTAACAGCTTAAGTTGCACATTACGACTTGAGCCCACAGACAATCTTGAAAGATGTAAACACTAAAGACAGCTTCTGATTATTGTAGAATCTATTTACATCATGTCCAGGAACACTTTATAACTAAGTTAAATGAGACAATCAAATATACTCCATGAAAACACAGTCACAATGAGGCATGGGTTACTTTGAGAATACCACAGTCACTTTCAGTATAACACAGGAACCTTGATGTTATTAGTCCATGTAAACACAGTCATGATGAGGGTAACATAGTCACTATGAGGCAGTCACAGTGTTGAAAACACACTCGATATGATGATGGTAATTTACAGCAATGAAGTTGATGAATATCACAGATAGGCTTGTTGTAATGGGAAGCTGAAGTTATCCCATCAAGTCCACAGTTCAGCCAGTAATCACTTGTAAATCTGGAGGTCTGTCTCCATAGCAATACTTTACACTGGCATCACGGTACGAGTTCTCATGCTGCACGCTCTACCAACATAAAATGATGGGAGAAAAAAGTTAAAAGATGAGATCAAAACACAAAAATAAATCTATGTTCTATCAACCTACCCGCCTCATCAGACCATTAGAAAAAGGGGGGAAAAAATCCTTTTTTAAAAAATGACTGTAAATTGACATGAACAATTGATAGATTCTCAAAAGTTTGTGTTTGAACGCATTCTTTTTTTTTTTTACTATATAATATAGTATAGTGCGTTCAAAAAGAAATTTGACGAAAATTTTAATGTGTGAACTGAAAAAAAGATTCAACCAAATTTCTGTTCAATCAAATTTCTGTCTATCAATTTTCCGTTGACGAAATTTCTTTCGATCAAATTTCCGGTAACCAGTCAAAACAGATGAAGTTACTAAAGATCCCGCACTTGTAAAGTTTAATTTGACTGACTTAAGAAATCTACTGACCAATCAAAAAATTTATTTCTTGCAGTGTTAAGGGTCAGTAAGAAATGTGGACTGCGCATGTCAGTCAAATGAAAACATGATATTTTTTCCCCGCTTTATTTTTTGTTCCATCTAAGTACGGAAAATAATTTTTCTCAAACTTTCAAAGACTGTGACGTTTTTGCCAATTTTCCCAAACTTTCTGGGACCTGGAAATTTCTTTGTATTTTCTCAAAACCTTTAAAGACTGTGAACCCTGTAATACTTGTGCAGCTGTGCATGTGTGTGAAACCACACCTTGCATCTACAGCTCTGGGGGAAGAGTTGTCCATTTAAAAATCTTTTAATTGAAATGAAATTGTGGGACGGAAATAGTTGAGCAGATCTGAACCACAAAACACTCTTTAAAAATTACAGAATGCTAGACGTTTATGAGTTATTGCAACTGAGACACACAATCAAACATTAAGATTTTTAGTATAGATATTCTAAGTGGAATGAGGTGTATGAGAAATGTATTATAGATCTAGAAACAGAAAGAACTTACCTGGGAGGATGTTCTACACTTAGCCAAACACAAGTCAAACAAATTCTCTACTTCCCTGATGAACAAATTGTGTGGAGCCTCTTGGTTTTCTTTGAGTATCTTGCTCACTAAGTTTTGCTGAGATAAAGAAACCCAAGCTCATTATAGGAGAGCAGTTGATATAGATATTATTGGTGAAATTTTCCAAACTATATTAAATACCGATTTAATTTACTGAAAGAACATGAATAGATTATGGCAATCTAGACAGGACATTTTTAGGATTTTGGGTGAAAGAGTTCATTGACATGCTTTACATAATTAATTCACAGAGAGAATCACATCGCAAAAATTGACAGAATCTTACATTTTTTGGCTGGAGACAGCAGGATACACAATGTTCGTAGACACTACAACAGCCGTTGGACAAACAAGTATCGCAGGAGAAGTGCTTGGTGGATGATTGTTTGGGATTGCAGCAATTGTTGATACCTACATGTTCTCGCTTGCAGACATAACCTTCCATTAACAAAGACAAGGGGAATGAGAAAAAGTGCTCTAGAAATGAAATTGATTTATACATTTCTTTTTAATTGGAAGCTATCAATTATTTATGCATTCTTATATAATTCATTGGAATACTTTGGTATTAACCCAAAGTATTTAAAAGAGCCAAGTTTTTCCAAGGTTTTGCTAATGGTGCACATTTAAAAACTCTATTTATTAACTGACATTTTTCGCCAGGTTGCAACCTGTTACATAAAAAAGTTACAGGTTCTGCACCCTGGCACATGTGAACCATTGCATACACAGGTGCTTTCCAAACTGTGTATCGGGACACAGGAGTGTATCCCCTGCAGGGTGTAGGAAATATGCTGTAAGACATTCAGGCATTTTTTAGACATTAAAGTAGTAGATCAGACATATGGATCACATGATGATACTGTATTATGAGTTGCCAGTCAAAATTTTTTTCCAAATTCATTTAGACGTCTAGTTGTAAAAAGGACATTGTTCTGCACAATTTAAAAATTGCTTTCCCTTTTTTTCTGTAGTCTTTTCTCTTCTGTGGTTTGGAAATATCTTAAATTTTTATTTGGCATCATACATCTTTTCCCACGGCTTCTCTAGGAGTGCAATTCATAATTATTCTGATATATTTCTTTTGCAAAGAGTTTGATCTTTAAATATTCAAAGTTTTTAATTAATTTACTTAGTAAAAAATGTCCATGTTTTTGTAGGATTAAAATTGTATAATTTGATTCTGTAGAATGGATAAGTTCCAATAAAGAAAAAGCTGGTGAAGATGACGTGTTTATCTGTTAGAGAAAACAATTCTCGTCCCAGTGTTTTGTTTGTGGAGATAAACCTCCAAATAAAAGTATGGCATCTAAAAAAGTAAGCCATCGTTTTAACTCCAAACACAGTCATTTGCTACAAAAAATTCATAGAATACTTCACCGAGCTTTTAAAATCAATTAAATAACAGCTTGCAAAATTTAGCAAAAGAATGAAGGCTTCTTAGAAAGCTCAATGGGCAAGTTACTTTGTTGGTCAAAATATTTCTAAAAAGAAGGATCCACACACTCTTGACGAAAAGCCCTTGAAGGATCTTACTGTGTTATTAGTCGAACAATATTTTGACCAGAATTTGAGATAAGAATCATTAAAATCTCTTTTGCAGATATCACAATTGGAATACATAGGCTATTCAAAACATGTCTGACAACATGCAATGAAGGATATTTATCAAGATAATAAAAAGTTATTTGTATCGTAATAAGTGAAATCCACAGATGTCATTGACTAAGAGCTATTAACTGATTTGTTTAGGATTTATTCATTAGGACAGAATCTGGGTTCTTACACTCTCACACATATTTTCCTCTTAGAATTTATAAATAACAATCACATAATTCTTGTAAATGTATGTATATACATATATATATATATATATATATTTAAAACATGCATTAAAAAAATATATAAATGGCAGGTTTTCGTGTGGTGTCATCATAAATTTCATTATTACACTTTATGTTTGTGTCTGTATGTCTTAATATGGGTTAGTTTATTTTAGAAAAACTGAATTAAAATAAATACAGCAAGTACTGTGTTCAGGTTGAAGTAATAAGGAAGGATGCATATATCTTAAAACTGAATTACTTTGTTACGAAATGATGAAAAGTTTTGAAAGCACTGGCTTAGAGGCTGTTGATACAATAATCAAAAAAACATATTTAGGTTTCAGACTTTAAATATCCCAATGAGGTTGGTGCCAGATTCAGGCTTTGTTGCTGGAGGTAGTAGTTTGTTTTTTTTTCCATTTGGCCCTGCATCCTTAAGTTAATTGCATTATTTACTTTCCTAGCACTCTACAAAAGATTCATGCAATCAACCAAATTTAATAATTTAATATTTACCTTTGTGGTCCACAATGAGCCAGCGACCTTGCCTAGAGTTTCTACACTTAATCACATCGGTATCGTTGGAATCTTCAGTTGGCTGCCATTGAAAAGGCTGCCTCAGGGTTCTCTTGGACTCATACTCAGTGAGAATATAATCAGAGGACTGAAACCAAATAGGGAATAGTGAAAATGTAATCAGAGGACAGAAACCATAGAGGGAATAGTGAAAATGTAATCAGAGGACTGAACGATCCCCTTTCTACAACACCTTACCTAAAAGAAACAAATAATGGTTTCCCACTTTGGGAAGCACTAATCTCTACTTAAATAGTCTTAATGTTTTTGTTGATGTATAGAGCTTGGCAACAAATTTTTCAAGTTTCATTTAGAGATTTCACTATTAAGAATCAGTCTACCATAATTTTTTAGATTAGGTCTGCTAATGATTCTCAACAGGCATCACCAACAAAGTCAAAATCCATAAGAGGATTATAATAATTACTACACAAATTACAGTTTCAGTTTATAATTATAATGACAATGTAAACCACAAAACCAATTTTTTTTACATTCCTATCAATTTTCATTTTTTAAACCAGGGCTTTATATCTACCTTGCTGGTTGCTGTCCACTATGTTTGACTGCCGACCGATAGAGATAGAGTATTGCTTTTGTACTTTGATAATTTTATTTAAATGTGATAATTTAATTGTAGGAGAGTCTTAGTAGACTTACTGTAGACTAACAATAGTGAAAATAGGCCCTACTTATATGATTAGGCCTGAATAGGCCAATATTTGATCCATTCTTATGGAACCTTAAGGAGGAATCTTCTCTCTTTTTGTGTGTTTTCAAACTACATGATTGATGACAACATGAGGAGAGGGGACAACCACAGATTGTCACCACTTCTTGTAACATATCATCATGTTTAGGCAACAAAATTGTGCCCAATGCCAGTTTGGCATGAAATCTCAGTAAAGTTGAAACATAATTGACCTACATTTTATTATTTAGCCTACTAGTTTGTAATTTGTTTTATTTAAGGCCTGTTAGTAGTATTTAGAGCTCAGCAAAATACAGTAAAATAAAGCCTGTCTTGACAGTAGGTCAACTGTGAATTTTCAAATAGTAAGTCTAATATTAAATATGCAGTAATTGATTAAGCAGAATGAGTTATATAAGTACGAGTATAGTACAGCATAGGCCTTGGCTTATTTTTAAACTACACATCGTCATTTTTAGCCTCCACAGCTTGTCTCCTAGTGATGGCCTTGAAAAATCAACATCATTGTGTAGCTGTGTTGCCCGCCCCTGTCCTGCCTGGCGAAAAAGTTGTTTACATGCGAAAGCATTCTAATTTTTTCTCAAGAATGTCAATAGGTGCTGCAATTTATAGATTTTCTGTAGTAGTACTAGCATGTTCAGATTTAATTAATATATGAAGCCTGCTGAGTTTCTTAGCAGATAGACTTTCGGAGGCTTAGACTTACTAAGACTTACTGAGAGATGGACATATAAGACATTTTTTTTTATTTTTGTGTGCAGAATTAATATTTCTTTCTCCAGGATTGTATATTATTATTTTCCCACTTGGTGTAAGTTGATACACTTTTTGCTTCTGCACTCACATTTGTATTGCCATAAAAATTTATTTATATAACTAAAATTTTTTTTAGTATCACTAGCTTTGTTATCGTTTTTATTTGCACTTTGTTAGATCAGTCTTTTGTTACATATTGTTTCTTCTATGAGCCAAATATTAACACATAATTAATCTTTATAACCATAATGTAACAGAAACAAAAAATATATAAAATTTAACTGCCATAATGATTAACTATGCTATTTATGAATTAGAAAAAGGCATGTGTCTTAATTATTTATGTGAATTTGTGATCCCACTGATGACCAAAAGCATCCTTTTAGACATATTAACAGACATAGCAGACGCCTTGATGAATGCCTTAATAAGGTTAATATTAATATCTACCAGCTAAGTCTCGTCACAATATTTTAACTGTAAGAAGTGTGAGAAGGCCCAAGTCAAGTTTTAAGATATTAAATATATGGGTTAGACGCGCCCTAAGCATATTACACCATGGGTAAAGTGCAAAGCATCCTAAGCATAACTTGCTATGGCTACTTTGCCAGTGCTTCCTTCCACACATATTCGGGATGAAGCATTGAATGTAGCCTTATCAGTTTCGACAAAAATAAATATTTATTAATTTTAAATATTATATATTTTATAGAACAAAATTAATCAAACATCGACCTTCTTTAGCAGTTTTTGAGCTACGAATTTGAAAATGTGCATTTTATTCAGTGAAATAAATAATTGTTTCATCATTACACATTACAATAATTAACAGAGTGCAGAGGTTGAGTGAATATCCTACTAATTCAATGATATTTGGTAAAAAATATCATCCAATGAACTTCCGTTATTCACTCAGTTTCCATTGAAATTGACAATATTATTATTAGGTGGAGATGGATAATTATGATTTTACAGCCAATAAACAAAAATTAGTGTCAAGGGCGAAATTGAGATAAATAAAGAGCATAGCGACTTTATTGTGGCAATCACTCAGATAATTAGTATGCAAGAACACCAAAGAAAAAGAGAGAGGACAACACCATGAAGTCTCAGAGGTTATTTTTAAAAATAATACAATACTGGTACTGCGCAACAGCAGACATTTATGAATATTTTGATAGCTATAGTTTGTAATCCGATGACAACAATTAAGATATGTTCATATCAAAATGGGGTGGAAAAGGAAGGGTCGATTGTATAGTGCATGCATATTGCCACAATAACAAATTGAGTCCTGCAAAGCCGCAATTAATAATATAGGCATGCATATATTTTTTATGAGGGCTCATCTTGCCCCACCTAGTCACTTCCTATAAATTAAAACTAATGTCAATGTACAAATAAGTTTTACAACTATTCAACAATTAATTTATTAATAATAACAAAAAAAAGTCGCTTTTCATTAGACTAAGTTAAGTCTAATAGTAATATTAGTGATTATTAGTGATAACAATAACAATACATAGTAATACTTGCAATATATATATTTTTTGTATATAGTTAAATTTAAACATAGGCCATGATAGTACATGATAATGATAGGCATAGGCCACAGAATTATATTATATATTGAAACTGTAGCAACACAAAGTTTAGGACTAAATTATCTTATTAACATCCTCTCCTTAAAGTTAAAGTCAATCACAGTTAAGGCTGTTAACATTAATATTATTAAAGATTATAACATTAAACTTCTAAATCAGATGTGTAGAGAGTATGGAATCAATCATAGTATTCATAGAATGGGATAAAAACAACTAAGTAAGTAAGGCAAAGCATGAGTAAGAAGTGTCAGACAAGAGAGAGTAGTGAGTAATGTAACTTATTGTAAGATTGTAAGAGTAAGAGCAGAGCTGAGAGTATGACCGACACTCCAGAAGTCTAAAGTAAATAAGCCTTTGAAACGTTTTAAAACACATTATTATGGACAATTTACCTTTGATAATGTTGCCGACAAAAAATATAAAAGAGAACAAATGAAAATCACTGCTAAAACCCAACGTTTCCTTAATACGCGAGGGTACAGCATTGGTATCCTAGTCTACCTCCGCCATGTAAATAAATATAAGGATGACCTGTACAGATTTTATCAAATATAAATGTTAATTTTCCACTTTTTTGTTACAAAATTATAAGTGTTTTTTGAGTATGCTACTCCTATTTTCGAAAAAACGAATACATAACTTTAGGAGATTAAAAAAAAAAATTGGAAGAACTACTAAAAATAAGTCTTAATAAGTTCCGATGGTTTTAGCAGTTAAATTATTATGCACGGAAAAGGGACATCTGGCAGTTCTTTAAAGTAATTTCTTAAATTTTTACTCCTATTTACGTAAAAATATTAGGTTACTTTAAAAAAAAAAAAAGAAAAAAAAAACTTGAAGGACAACTAAAGATATTACTTCAGAAGTGTCGGAGTTTATTTTTAGTAGTTAAAAAATTTTTACTACTATTTACGTAAAAATATTAGGTTACTTTAAAAAAAAAAAAAGAAAAAAAAAACTTGAAGGACAACTAAAGATATTACTTCAGAAGTGTCGGAGTTTATTTTTAGTAGTTAAATTATTATGATTATGCACAGGGCAAATTGACATCTGGAAATTCTTAAACTAAAATTAATTTTTGTAGATCTCAGACATATTTATTATAATATATCATAAATAATCGTTTGTGAGCTGGTGTATGCGGCTCATGCGTTGGCGTATTACTTTTTTAACTTAAAAAATATCTATACAATAAAATTAAAAACTTTAGAAGTAGTGCGGATATTAATTTTTTTCAATGAATTTGACGTTTCTGCTCCAAGTCCTAATGCCTAATCAGCACGCTCGGCGGCTCGCTCAAACACAACAGAAGAATTACATTATTACTTCTGTACTAGGCCTATATATACAATATATATAAATAAAACTGGAAATAAAGCAAACTATTGGAGTAGAAGCGTGAGTTAGCGCAAATACCAGAGACAATAGTGTTTAAATGTTCGTTATTTCCAGGTTTCATTGTAGCCTTCATCTTTATTTTGCCATTGTTGCATTCCGTCAAGGTACACATAGGTGTATCTAAATTACCCACCCATATGATAGGCCATATGAACGGATTTCATACTGCTGCGGCAGAATTGAGAATCTCCAAATGAAATGGTAGAATCAAATGTGTATCAGCCGGTATTGTGCGCAATTTAATCTTGGTTGTTTATTTGCGTTTCACACTTCCGCGACATGTTTAGTTAATTATTAATGCTACTCAAAGTGATGCCACAAAAGTTTACAATTGTAAGAAGTTCGAATATTCAAAATAATAAATATATATTAACAAATTAGCCACCGGTCCTTGCTGGATTATATTTGCGGTCCGTTACGCTCAAAAGTTTGAGACACACTAATCTAGACCAGGGGTTTCCAAACCTTTTTCACAGCGGGGCGGATAAAAGAAAAGATGACGACCCCGGGCCGGAAAATCATTCTGTACAATACTTGCAAGCCAGAACGAAAGCTCTTGGGAAAAAAAGGCGAAAAACTAAGTTTAGTGTTCCTTGTTAATCATGGGTGAGAGGCGTGCAATGTACAAAAAAAATAAAAATAAATAATAATAATAAATAAATAAAGACAACCAACATATTTATTTGATAAAAAAGTTATCAAATAATATTAAGGTGACTTTAGAAAAATTTAGCTACATCAGACCTAGTGTGCACAATATTCGAATATCACCAACTAAGCAGCAAAAAAAGGGTAGTGAGATTAATGAAAATGACGTTTGGCTTTCAAGATTTCATAAATGTTTGGTTTCGAATTGCTGCAGTTTATCAAGAAAATTGTTTTCAAATGTTTATCACTCGCTTTCGTTCGATGTTTTGACTTCAAATACTTCATTTTTTAAAATGTTTGCTCACAGACATAAGTTGTTCCAAACACTGATGCCATACCAGCGGCAAAGTTCTTAAGTTTCAGAAACTCAACATCAGGTTAGCAGCGTGGAATCCAACAAGTTTTCCTTCTCTGTGGGTAAAAAATACGTTTTATCGAGCAAATTCAAGTACCGTTGGCGGGCCGGATAAAATGGCGTCGCGAGCCGGATCCGGCCCGCGGGCCGTAGTTTGGAGACCCCCCTGATCTAGACGACCCGCAGTGACCTACTTTGAACGGTAGCGATGTCCTGCGGCGCCCAACTGATATATAAGCCGGCATTTGTGGGAGGCACCAAGGTGGCTAATGATGACAAGCACCCGTAATATTTGGCGGCCTAGATTAACAAGGACTACATCAGAGAATAGGTCTCCACCACTCTACTCACACCCGTTCATGTAACCAAACACAGGTCACGTAGACAAGAACAAACAAAATAAGAGAGCATGCAGACACTGACAAACAAGGTCAAGAGTTAATATGTTGTTTTAATGTATGATATTATAAGTATTATATAAATAAGGGTCGTCCACAAAGTATGTCATGCTATTTTTTGAAAAATGCCCCCCCCCCCTAAAAAAAAAAAAAAAAAAAAAAAAAAATCACAATTTGTCACAAAGCTCGGATCCCACCACAACTCCATTTTTCTCTACTAAAGTACGTCACACTTCAAACTAATTTTCTGACAATTACAAACTAATTATTATTACAATTTTTCCAAACACACTTAACTAATAAACTTTTACATTTATAAAAATGTTTACTTTAAATAACTATCACATTAATAAAATGACCTATTTATTTTTAGTAGACTAAACATTAAAAACAAATACATTCATCTCAACAACAAAAAATATCATTGTCATATTGAGGTTATACATGTATGATTTTTGTTTAATGTGTAAGGTCACAAGTTATGTTCCCCCCCCCCCGGTCACAAAATATCATAATTTCTTAGACCCTACACTTCAGAACGTAGCGTACTTTATGGACGGCCTCTGTGAGACCATATGTAATGTTTTTACTTTTACAAGTACAGTACTTTTTAGTTTATTCTTTTTATTTTATTATTTAAATTACTTTTTGTTTAAAATTATTTTTTTTTAATTTATTTTTTTTTAAAAACTTTTGTCCTGGTTATTGGTGAACTGTAACCAGTGCAGCTAAATACTACAAAAAAGTACTTTAAAAATAACTGAAATTTGAGTATATCTGATATCCAGGTTTAAATAAATTAAATAACTAAAAAACTAATATTATAATTCATCCAATTTGGTAAAAGAACGCTTCAGAGACAAACTTAGAAAAGTTCTCCGCGTAACCACAAATAATTTGTTATTTTTGACACCCATAATTTGAAACCATTTTAAATGTCCTAGTTTTCTTAGTTTATTATTATTATTAATATTTTGTATGTCCTGTTTTTTAATTTGGAGTGGCTATAGGTACCCGGGTAACTATAGTATCAATTAGGTATTCGGACCCAAATGGTCACGTGAGGGCTTTATAATTAGTCGGTTGGTCAAGTGACGGTTATGACGGATACTGGATACTTCCTGTTGTTTTGCCATCTTAGAGCCATTGTTATCAATCGAGAAATGTGACATGTATTGAAGACTTTCTTAATGTATGTAGCATTGAAGAAACACGAAGAACAATGTGACGTACAGCTAAAAGCAAGTAAGAATACGTTTATGTTTATAATTTTATTGTATTTTTTAATTCTATTTTAAATATAGTACTATAATCATCAACATGACATCATTCAAGATCAAAGTTTTTTTGTTTTTTTGGCGGCAAATCGGCTGCTGTCTTATCTGTAATTGTAATGAAAAGTTTGGCTGCGGCTATGCGGACCCGGTATCAGAAGTGGATACTTCAATTTTAGTTCACCGCAAAAATTATTATTATTCACACTTCCCATAAAACAAATGTTCTTTTGAATAAAAAACAATTCGGAGAGATCAGCCCGCGGCCGCCATCTTGGTTATCGTGACCCACGAACTAAGGTAATCTACCACTTGAGCGTCGGCCAAGAAAAAATCCAGCTGTTCCGGTTGGAAGGGCTATTTAAACAACTATTCTTTTATTATTTTTAATGACATTGACATTGGTTGTACATATTCATTCCCATAATTAATAATAGACAATTTTTTTTAACATAGAAAAACTATAACAATTTTTTTGGAATAGAAGATAATGTGTGAAAATGGAATTATGCATAGTTCTCCCCCAAGTTGACAATGAAGTTTTAAAAAATACAATTTCCACAAAAACGGTTGTGGTACATGAATCCACATGAAGTAAATATGAAGGGGAAAGATCACCGGCGCTTCTTGTGCCAAACTGTCTTTTTAGTTTACGCTTTCTGAGCATTCACGTTTTCCACATTCTGTGTGTGGACATCCGCGTTATCTGGATCAAAAAAAATAATTGTCTCTTTTTATTCCTGGCATATCGGTAGCTTGGCAGTAATAATTTAAATGTATTAGTATTGTGCTATATAACTTTATAGCCTCTATACGGAAGCAAAAATATTAACAGACTCCAATGTAAGAATTAGGGGTGTGCCGGATCCGTTTTTTCCAACCGGATCCGGATTTTCTTATGCGAAATCCGACGGATCCTGATTGCGGAATAATCCGGATTCCGGTTTCTCCCGGATTCCGGATTTTGGTACTTTGCAGATACCGGTAAATCTGAGGGGTTGGATGCCTTCTGAACAGTTGGCCTAAATGGCTAAATGACATTGGCTGATTGGAAGTTGGAAGTGAAGAACTTTGAAATAAATTAGAAAATAGAAATTATTCAGAAATCACTGAAATCAGAATAAAACGCAGATTGATAATAAGTTATTATCCATATGTAACTAAACTCGCTGTTAAGTTCTAACTCGCTGCAAGGTCAAAGGAAAACAACTTTACTATTAGTCTATTACTTTCATTACTTTGGCACTTGGCAGTGTAATTTTTAACTATTGTAGTTCACTAATTGTTTTGAATCTGAGGAGAAAGTCAGACTCATCATCTGAGTTCATCTCGTCTTATCATTGGCTCATTGGATGATGGATGCTTATTGTTATTGTTCAAATGTTCATAGTTTATGATGTGTATTGAAATGGATAATTAATTGGAAAAAACAAAT